TGAATTAAGACTGACTTCTGAGTTGGATGGATGTCCATTGTCCACATCTGAAAATAATTATTCATGATGTTCATATTATGTTAACTTGGAAATAGAAGAGTCGTGATAATATTAGAATCTTGGCTGATTGATTACAAAAATAAACGAACTTACTGCTATTAGAACTTAATCTAGTAATAACCTTCTTTTTTTGTTTTACTTAAGGTCAATATTAAAGACTTTTAGGCTAAGTAACCTAACTTTGACCGTAACTATAACGATATAACCGGCGTTTTTTGTATGGAGTTTGAGAGATTTTTGAAGTTTGACTAAGTTAAAGTAAGATGGTGCAACCCAGCCTTAGACATAGAATGTCTTTCCATTATTACATAATGATACATAGATCCTTACTACAGAATTGAGAGATAACAAAAGTATCAGCCCAGTTTATGAGCCATCATAAGCATAAATGGGCGTGGCTGAACCAATATAAACATTCAATAACAATATCAACGATTTACATTACTTCAGATATTCCAATAACATGAACTGAATACGAATACAATTTCATCGCTTCAGAAAATAACTAAACAACAAGCAATAAATAAACAGAAAGTAATACTTCAAATATTGGCATCACTACTGATTCCATATTGAAGACAAACAGAGTCGGGCGAACAAAACTCGCGGGCAAATAGACGAAGGCCCCAATTATATGCAGGCGCACGCCCGGGCCTCTATTACGGCTACTTAGCAATCTATTCGCGGCAATTAGCCCGAGTGGGCCCAAACTATTAATGGAAGGAAGCCAGAAGACTGGCGAAGTTTGCAGGCCGCCCCGGCCGATGCATTTTTGGATCGAGCCCAAAATAACTTGTTGCACCGACAGGCGCGCGACCTGTTGCGCGGCCTACCGGCCTAGAGGCACGGCACGCCATTTTTGCCCGTTGTCTGCAAATACATAATGAATGCGAACGAACGCTTGCCTCCGTTTTGTTGCTCACTAGTTTGTGGGGCGCCGCTGATAGTCAGCCGACGCAGTATTGGCTGCTTCATTGCCGCAGCGCCGCTCGAACGGCGATATTGCGCGCAAAGTCGCGCGTCTGGCATTGTTGGAATTGCAACTGCAGCGTCTAAAGTCAAATTACGAGAGAGAGTGCAGGAACGTTTTGTAGCACAAACTTGAACAATGTGACTGCTTTCAACCCATCCATTTTTTTTTTTTTTATGCATAACAAGGCAGGTATTTGACCACAATCGCACCTGATGTTAAACGATTCTGATCACCATTCTGATCTGAAACGCATTCTCACTAATGTGTGTCTCAAAATCACTTGCATGCAGTCTGATATGCTCAAACGTTCACAGAATTATGCATAGGTACTAGTTTGAACAGATCTCAAGATATTTGTACTTCAAATCACAATACTGAAATAACAAAAACCCCTAATAAGTCTTCACATAGAGCAGGAAAATTGTTCACTATCCTAACATAAGCTGAAATAACGAGACGATATGACAATAAGTGCCATCAAACGAGGATTTCGGGCACTCATCCTTAAACATTGAAGATTTTTGTTTACCGCAGATAATAAGATGTTTCCCATTCAGCGAGGGTTGACTTTGACCCAATTAGCTTAGTCATAGTCGTTGGGATGACGGGACTCTTTTCTTTCTTGTCTCGAGCCTCGCCGTTGTTTCTATAAATACGCTCCATTAAGTGTGGAGACATGACAGGCAACAGGCACTTTATGATGCATGATTTGATTTAGCAAGCCCTTTATGCGAAACTTGAAAGCTCATACTGTGTTGTTTAGTGAAGTTGGTAAAAGCTGTTGTCGTTAAATTCTGTTAACTGTAAGTGGCTAGGAACCTCTGTCAAGCACTTACTGCATAAACTAATCAGCTTTGAAAGGTAGAGTATAAAGATGTTAAAATTGTGTACCTGCATCCCTGTACATATTATAGGTAGGACTTATATTTTCAAAATAAACAAAAGCATTAAACTTTTTTTAACTGATTAGGAGACTGCACTTGTATCAGTGGCGTAGCTTGGGGGGGGCAGGGGGGGCCATGGCCCCGGGCGGCATATGAAAGGGGGCGGCGGATAAGAAAAAAAACATTGCATGAACAAGAAAAAAAAGGTCGACTATGTCTACGTTGAGACTAACAAATCTAGCTATACTGGCAATTCAAAATGAGATACAATTTGATATCGACGATTGTGTAAAAGATTTTGCTTTGAAAAAAGCACGAAGAGTACATTTTTAATCTATTTTTTTAAGTAATAGTAACAAAAATATTTAAGGAGCTTACTTACCCCTCTAAAACTTGCGCCACAGATAATCTAGATCAACCGAAATAAAAAAGTGGTTTGTAAATAGTTAAAGCCATCTAAGCTACTTTTAAAACCGTGTATTTATTATTTTCTGCAAGTTCGAAATTCAAAATTAGTTAAAATGGTAACTTTTAGAAGTAATTAAATCTGTAACTTGCTGCAAATATCTAATGAATTCAAACAAATTATTTTAAAAAATAGCTTCGATACATATTATACATTTTACAAACCACTTCTTTTAATTTCGGTCTATAACAAAAGTAATCAAGAAAAAATATGGTGGCGCTGGTTAGCTAGGGTACAACCCTTAATAATAAAGCACATTGTTATTCCTTCTAAGTTCAATAAGCACTATACAATACAGGGTGTTTCTTATAAGGTGTCAAGCCGAAGGCAGGTGATAGGTGAGGACTAGATCTATTGATTTCACCCCTATGTATGTATGTTGTACGATTTTTCGTAGTTTAGAAGTTATCGTTAATTTTGTGATTTTTTCAAATTTTATGACCTAGTAGGCTTTAAATTTTTTTATCTTTTTTTGGGTTGACTTTTCTCAGATTTCTTTTTTTTGACAGATTCCCTATTAATTGCAGATGTTTGAAAAAAATAATCACCTTCCTATCTTTGATTTTTTATTTACAAAATTTTCGCTAGAAACATAAAAAATATGCTTTTAGCAGAACATTCTAAAATTTTCAACTTAAAAGTTTGAAAAAAAAAGAACTCATAGGTCCAAAATAGTTTTAAAAACTGCGCAGTTTTCTAAACTTTCATAATAATACAAAAAAAAAACATGTACAATACGCTATTTTTTTCTGTAATCGCTCCACTAAAGTGGTAAGTCGGAGATTCAATCAAAAAAAAAATCAAAGGCAAGAGCTTCCTCGTTGTGGATAAAAAAATGTTCTGTTCACTTATTGTCTCTAAATGTGTTCTACGTAACGTAAACTTAGGGGATTGCAAACATTAGTTAGTCCTAAGAAAGTCAAAAACATGTAACGGAATCTCCGACTTACCACTTTAGTGGAGCGATTACAGAAAATAATGGTCTATTTATTAAGTACATGTTTTTTTTTTTATTATTATGAAAGTTCAGAAAACTGCGGAGTTTTTAAAATTATTTTGGACCTATGGAAGTTCTTTTTTTTCGAAGTTTTAAGTTGAAAATTTTAGAATGTTCTGCTAAAAGCATATTTTTTTATGTTTCTAGCAATAATTTTGTATCTTACATCAAAGATAGGAAGGTGATTATTTTTTTCAGACATCTGCAATTAATAGGGAAACTGTCAAAAAAAATAAATCTGAGAAAAGTCAACCCAAAAAAAAGATAAAAAAAATTAAAGCCTACTAGGTCATAAAATTTGAAAAAATCACAAAATTAACGATAACTTCTAAACTACGAAAAATCGTAGAACATACATGGGAGTGAAATCGATAGGTCTAATCCTCACCTATCACCTGCCTTCGGCTTGACACCTTACAAGAAACACGCTGTATAATTTAAGATAATATTTACTCTCAATTGACAAATAAATACTTTAATATTTGTTATTATTGTTTATTGTTATACACCTAGTGTTACATAATAAAGCTGAGCTATTTAAGAAAATCAAACTTCCTGTGGGTTTCAAGCAATTGCTTCTCTTTAATGTATTTTCCTTCTGAAGCAGTGCGTGGTAGTTTATTTTGACTTTCAACAAATAAGGTGAATAGTGTACCTGAAGTCCATTCAATATAATATTTACACTTTAAAATATTTATAATTAAAATAAAGGGCGGCGGATTTCCGGACGGCCCCGGGCGGCGAAAAGCCACGCTACGCCACTGACTTGTACTATGAGAAACAAAAGTGTCACGACTCGAACTTTTCTTTTTTCAAAATAACTCATCGTTTTAATCTATACTTATAATAAATCTGTAGAGAGGTCAATTCTGTACATGAAATATATTTTCAAAATAACTATCAGGGGGTGATTAGTGATCGATACTGATGCCAAAAATGCAATCAGTAAAAATAAATGTTTGTCTGTCTGTCTGTCTGTCTGTCTGTCTGTCTGTATGTTCCTTATAGAAACAAAAACTACTTGACGGATTTTAACGAAACTGGGTACAATTATTCTTCGTACCTACTCCTGGGCAGGTTATAGGATACTTAGGAATTCCCACGGGCACGGGAATTAGCGGGAAAATCCTTTTGTATGAAAAATCTAAACTGCTTAAGTTAGACGCTTGAAATTTGGCATGCAGGTACCTTAGTAAACTTAAAGCTTAGTTACAACAGGATATTGCAAAATTCCCACTGGAACGGGAGTTAGCGGGAAAAAACATTTGTATGAAAAATCTAAACCGCTTAAGTTAGACGCTTGAAATTTGGCATGTAGGTACCTTAGTAAACTCAAAGCTTAGTTACAACAGTATATTGCAAAATTCCCACGGGAACGGGAGTTAGCGGGAAAAAACATTTGTATGAAAAAATCTAAACCGCGTAAGATAGATGAAGGGGGTAAAACGGGATCCACGCGTACGAAGTCGCGGGCGGCCGCTAGTTTTAGTATAATTTTCTTTTCTAACTGGTTAGCTAACTTCGCCTGATGAGAGAAACAAAAGAATCACGCCTTTCAAACTTTTCTCTTTTCAAAATTATTTTTTCTTTTTCTAATTGTCAATTCGTCATTTGTTTCAGGGCGCGTCCTCGAGCCTGGTGGTGAAGTTTGCTGACACGGAGAAGGAGCGGCAACTGCGACGAATGCAGCAGATGGCCGGCAACATGAGCCTGCTCAATCCGTTCGTGTTCAACCAGTTCGGGGCGTATGGCACCTACGCGCAGGTCATCACGGAGCAGGTAGGCTGTTGTTGTTTTGCTAGGTCGTCGCCGCGTGCGCAGATAAATGTAGAACACCGAGTTTTACACCCGTATTCACACACGATGCTGTGTGTGTGTGTTACTCTACTATTCAAGTACTGTCTATGAATATGTTTTGGGACCCTGTGCGTCCATCCGCACTGTGAGACCTCATAGTAATATTTGTGAATTCGGGTGTAAATCGCCATGATGTCGTCCTTAAATCGTTAAACCAAAATTGGTAGGTAGTAAATTGTATTGTTCATTTTTAATCAGTTTGGTATCAGATTAGTAACTTTTACCTTTATAGCGCGATGTTATAAGTACTTTTCTATAGTTCGAAACGTTACTAAAATGTTCTGTTATTATTAATTTTTCAAAGTAACTTCATACGAAAAGTCGAAAACTAACGTTTTTGCCGAAGTGACTCATGGCATGGTCTCAAGTTTCTGCCAATATGATATTAGGAAGTCACTGAACTCCAAACGCCATTAATGTACCTTATCTTTAGGTCACAATGTAATAGTTATATGAATAAGGTGCTAATTGTCGTGGAAATATACGGAATAGAACCTCTAAAGAGTGAGTGTTCTGATTCACAGCAACAACAGGCAGCCCTGATGGTGGCGGCGACCGCGCAAGGGTACATCAGCCCGATGACTGCGCTCGCGTCGCACGCTCTCAACGGGATGGCCAACTCCGTGGTGCCGCCTTCCTCTGGTAAGTGAAGTCCGGTAATTATTTATTATATTGCTGTCGCGCTCGCACACTCATTGCGGCCGCCCGTCGCACAGTCGCGACAGCAATATTGTAATTACGCGCGAGATAAGAAAGGGTAGCTTGGGGTCATTGGACGAAATTCTACGTGCCCGGCGACCGGACTTTAATTGATAGAAGATAATGACTGTGGATAAAAGACAGCTGAACCTGTTATGCTTCTGGTACAGTAGAATAGGACCAACCCTCTTCCCGTGGATATCGTAGACGAATAATGGCAAACATAAGGCTTCCCCAACACGTCTGATTAGCATAGGGCGTGTGAACCATTTGCCTCTAGTAAATTATTGGTCGTGCTCAGGTGCTCCTGCAGTCAAGACTAATAGGGCCCTGATGATGATAGGGCAATTGCTTCTAGCTTAAGCTTGCTGTCTGGAATTTCGTTAAACCAGAAGTAGTTATTTATATTCAAGTATTTATGATAAAGGAGTGAAGGAGCGTCTTGGCATTCTGGAGCCCTTGTAGTTCACGTCTTAAACTACAACGCCAGTGGTTCGAATCCAGCTACAATCCGTTATCTAGCACAAGCTTATATAAATAAATAGTTTAAACATATGCCTGGGTCTGGGTGTTACCAGTGTTTTTATTTATTTTATTTTATTTTATTTTATTTTATTTTATTAGGGACAACAAACAATTGTACAAACGGTTTTACAAAAAGTCTTACAGATAATATATCTTAAATAAATGCACAACCAGCACCGTTATCCACGAAAATAACAAATAGAACAGCTACTAAGGTCGCACACGTTTGAAGAAATTATTTGACTAATTTTAAGTTTATGACAATGTAATATTTAAGTATGTTACTATGTATAATATGTATATTTATTTAAAAAGTATATACTCGTAAGTAGTATATCCGTTAAGCTAGCACCCATAACACAAGCAAGTTGCTTACTTTGGGGCTAGCTGGCGCTTATTATTAAATTTATTGAAAATTCTCTCAGAACCCATGATGTCATCATATCAGCCGCGCTCTCTGCTGCAACATTAACCTAGAGGTCATCTCACACAGCACTCGATGTCCCAACATCCGTATATCCCAGGGACATCAGAGTTTCCGCGCTACGTCTCTCCTCACTTTCAATTCCGCTGGAACAACAACCATATTATGCGGTACCATAGCCATATTATATGATTAAGCATATCTGATCTTAGTTTGAAGATAGCATTGATTTTAAGATCGAAGATAAAATAAAAAGGGTGTTAGTCAGACACATTCAAATATCATCCTTCTTGAATTTATTAATGTTTCTGTACCTACTCAAAAAGTAAAATAACCCCTTTCAATGCCAATCGACCACATTGTGTACCCAATATCTAAAATTAATTCTATTCCAATATTTCCAACATAGAAAACGACCACGAAATCTAAATGAAGAGCAATAAAAGTTCAAAGGGTCGGCGGAGGGCGAGCCCTATCACAACAACCCATGTTATTGTAATCCATAATTTGATTTTGTTACGATTTCTGCTGCTACCAATGTCTTTACGCTTTGGTTGTTTAAACGGTCGATTTATAATGTTCTGAAAGAACACAAAGAACAACCATTTGATGAAGACATTATGTATCGAATCTTAAACAGACGCGAAAATGTACTTGAAATTAGTAAGCAGCTGCAGCTGTTTTGAAATCTAATACTTCTTCCAATATTGAAGCACGGAAGTTCGTAAAAAGAGTAGCAATTGTTAGTAATGCTGACATGAACCCCAAGATCTATCATCCTCAATAAGGACTTACGTTTGCAGACAGCTTCACCGGTCTAGCGATAGGGACGGGCGGCGGGCAGCCGCTGAACGGCGCGCTGCCGTCGCTCCCGTCGCCCACCATGCCCGGCTTCAACATGGCCGCGCAGACCGCCAACGGCCAGCCGCCGCCGCAGGACGCCGTCTACACCAACGGCATACATCAGACCTTCACAGGCCGTAAGTGAACTGCTTCCACCACAAAGAACTAACTACGTTTTATCAGCACGTGTCCTGGTCAAACTGCTCCACAGTGAAACCCAAACACAACACACAACAGCATTCACCAGCATTTACAGCCAGTGATGTAGCACGTAGCGTAGTGTAGTGTAACCGTGCTACAGGCATAACACAGTTTGCTACATAAACCAGACCTTCACACGCCGTAAGTTACCGCAATTGACAGAAATACAGCAGTGTAATGTAGCCGCTATAACACACCACGAGGTCGACACCAACAGCGTACATCAGACCTTCAAACCTTCACAGCCCGTAAGTGGAGCTACGACAGTAATACAATAGTGCTGCCGGATTACAATGATACCTTAGTATGTGGCCATTCCGAACTAATCAGAATTAGTTCCTTAATTCGGCTGTAACGACCCTGATGTCAGACTATAAACACCTTCAGCATTCGAAGCTAGCATAACAGCTAGCATAGCATAACAGCGTCCAGGCTATAGGGACAACCCCCCAACCCGAAAGTCCTGAGTTCGATGACTGAACAACTACTTAGTGCAGTGTATCAGTTTGGTTAGGACATTGCAGGCTTGAATCAAGCCGATTGTCCAGTGACAAAGATGACTCCGTGCAAAACGTAAGGCACGCCTAACGAGTCATGTCTGACACCAGGGTTTTTGTTACAGCCCCTCCGATAAGAAGACGAAGGCAGACACAACATGACGTGGTCTACACCAACGGCGTTCACCAGACGATCTCAGGCCGTAAGTGGGGCTAGAGCAATACTGTAGCGTAGTGTAGCCGGACTACAATGTAACTGTAGCGTACGTAGCCGGACTAGAAGCACGGCAGCAGTTAATCTGAACTCTTTCCTAGATTAGTTCTTCCGTTCCTGCTGCCATGGCCTGTTACCCGCTCTTCGTTCCCCTTGTATCGCGCAAATGGCTACCTCCAATCTATCTATCATTATTATACTATTGATATATTGATACATATAGTGGATATATACCTACCTACTTAGAATAGTGGAAATAGTAAGCCCAAAACGAATGACGCGCCTAAAAGTAACTAGCGGATTTACCGCACAATTTAGAACAATTAACGGCGGAGTTATCCGTTTTCTGTTTATCTCTCATCTACATATAAAAGTGACTTACTGACAATTAACATGTTCGCCTTGTTATGTTCTAGAGCCGATTTCAACTGTTCCAGCGGTGCCTGTGACCGCACAGGGACTGCCCAACGGCGAGGCGGCGGCGCTGCAACACGCGGCCTACCCGGGCATGCAGCCTTTCCCTGGAGTCGGTTAGTAGCGCACGATTGCGACCATCCCCCTTACCCCTCCCACGCTTATCCGGCCTCCTCTGAAACCATTCTGATGCACTCTATCCATCTCTCTTTCTCTTGCTAGACAGTTGAGACAGGTAGAGAGACATCAGAATCGTTTGTAGAGTCAGGCCTTAGCTTTGAGACCAACCAAGGTATTGCGGAAACACCTAATCATTAGTGAGATTATGTAATAAAAGTGACATTTAAAAATAACTACATTAAATCTTGGAACTCATTACAAGATGCATCATTAAATAATGATGCATCATTAAATAATGATGCATCTTGTAATGAGTTCCAACTTCGGTTGATTCGGAAAATCACAACAGACACTAATATCTATCTCATTTTTACATTAGTATCATAACTAGAGGTGTTTCCACACCATACTCTTGGTGACATGTCGTAATAGAACATGTTGAATATTTGTCACTAAAATGTTGTTTAGTCACGAAAACATCGTTAGTTGAACATTGTGTGCGCAGGACACATGATATGTATTTTTGGTGACAAGTAATGGCTCTATCAAACCCCCTTGTATCTATAGTAAAAGCAATTTAATGTGTAATGATAGTAGGATAATATCAATGTGCCACATGAACGAAATGTTGATTGTCAGTTATTTATCTTTACAGCCGATTGATTTTTTGGTACATAAATAGTACTAGGTATACCTATTTCAGTCAATGTTTTCAAGGAGAGAACATTATTTTGTCTAGTTACTATCAAATCAATCGACTGATGAATGGTTACGAAGATGTTCGTCGTAAATAGGGATCATGCGCTGTCTATTCACGCTATTGGAAATATTTGGTAAAATCACATAAGTACAGTAGTTGAGTGTTCGGTGTTAAGTGTCCAGTAATTAGGCAAACCTGATTTATTTATACGTGTATTATAACCAATTTAAATAGGTATTCAATGTGTCGAAATATGATTTACATGGGTCAAATGTATCTTTATTTACATTGTCTTGTTTTGTACTATTTTTTGCCATATGTTTGTCTCGAAGCGCTGGTAGGGCCCAAAAGATAAGGAGACATGTAAAGTGCCCCATAAGGGCTACCTTTTTCTTTTTTTATTATTTTCTATTGACGTTCATAAGTGCCACTTGTGGTCTAAACTGAATAAATATTTTTTGATTTTTTTTTTTTACTTACATGTGGAACTTATTTTATTTATTTACCGTCAAATATCTTTACAGATTCGCCAAATGAGTATTTGCATAATATGCAGCTTAATTACGTTACCTTGTTGCATGTCCATGTATGCAACGAATAGGTGTTTCATTGTGAAAATGTGCGTATTAATGTTCGACAGCTTATCCAGCGGTTTACGGCCAGTTTCCGCAACCCATCCCCCCACCGATGTCGACCATTGCGCCGGCGCAGAGAGAAGGTAAGTGGAGCCCTCTGACGGAGTCCGAGGAACCTCGCCGGGATGTTCTAACCCCTTCATTCTAGCTTCTTTTCCAGCGACTGCAAGCGTAGTTAGCACGCCGAGTTGCAACCACTTATGTCGTTGCCACTCGGTTATCCATTTTCCAGTTGTAATAACCCTTGGGCTTAGTTGCACGATCTTACTTTAACTTTAACAAACCTCAAAATACTTTCAAATTCCATACAAAAAGCACCGGTTATTGTTATTGTTACGGTTAAAAAAGGTGGTGCAACTCATTCTTTAAGTTAACAATTTCCAAAGAGCACGTAGTAAGTAGTAACCTGGAAAATGGTCCTTAGTTTGACAAATGTTGCATTACTATTTGTATGTGTGTTGCAATGTGCAAGTATTGTACAGAGGCAAACAGAAGCTCCCATTCGGCCTTCTTTTATACCCTGCAAAATTCTTGAAAGCTTCTTACACAGTCTGTCGCTGTACTGTTTGGTAGTTGTAAATGCACTTGATGTCCTCTGTGTTAAGTGGAGTGTTAAATGCTGGTCTTTATTCTTGTAGTTACTTTCAAAGTGGTTGATTTTAACCATGATACTGCAGATCGGATTTATATTGACGACATGCTACTTCATGGTTAATATTTTCCTCAGTATTAACATCCAGGTACTGATAGAGCAAGCTTTTTTGAAAAAAATGTGACCGTCAATTGTTGCTTTAATGACAGTCATCTTTACCTTCTGTTTTAAATCTTTCAGCAAAAAAAACAACACTTTTGCTAGCTCTTTCGTACCTGATCTAACTATAACTAATATTAAGACTCAATGCTGGTGTTCAGAGGCAGATTTGTGAGTTCTTTAAAGATTTTCTGATGTTCCCAGGCTGCTCGATCTCAGGCCCCGAGGGCTGCAACCTGTTCATCTACCACCTGCCCCAGGAGTTTGGGGACGCGGAGCTGATGCAGATGTTTCTGCCCTTTGGGAACGTGATCAGCAGCAAGGTGTTTATTGATCGTGCCACCAACCAGAGCAAATGTTTCGGTCAGTATCATTATTTTTTGAGATTCGAAACAGGACAATTCGTCTGCCGGTTAACTGCTCTGAACGCTGAGCTACGGGAGCATTGCTCAGTATACATCACACAGTAACTATGAACTGCACTGAAAAGTAAATCTAAAGAACAAAAATATGGCTCCAGAACACACATTGTCGCAGCAGAAAAAAATTCCATGATCTTGCCTTAAAATTTGCTTCTTTTAGTACTTATGAGATTATTTCTACCTCTCGTTTCCATTGCTGCGTCTACTGTGTATACAGATCTTCAGCTTGACCGTTAATAAAATCCAACTGCTAAAAATCAACCTGCAACGAAATGTTTCAGAAGAAAATACACTTGCTTTCTTCATGCTTACTTTCCAAATATTTACCATGACACATAGAGCAAATGCTCATTTTGCAAGAACCCTTCAATTCATAATTGCCTTAATTTTCCAGGTTTCGTATCTTTCGACAACCCGACGTCAGCCCAGGCGGCCATCCAAGCGATGAACGGCTTCCAGATCGGCATGAAGCGCCTGAAGGTCCAGCTGAAGCGGCCCAAGGATGCGAACCGGCCTTACTAACCCCAGACGCCGTCCCTGCGCGTTCATTACGTGACCATGGTGAGTGACGTCATCACCAGCAGCTGTCGTCATCACCATGAAGCAGCTTGGATCGTGATTTAGGCTGGCCTTACTAACCCCAGACGCCATGGTGAGTATTATCAGGAGTCAGGAGGGTGTTATTACCATCCATCCATTCCATAGAATCCATGAGAACGCAGACTAACAGTGTCCTCATCATGAATCGACAGTCAGCACTTCATGTCCTCGTGATTTAGGTAATATTGCAGTTTCATTTAATAATTCTGTTTTTAGACTTGTTAATTATGATCTTGTGGGGTGTTAAATCTATATAACCAGGTAAAAGGTATTGTTCGTTTGTTGCAGGTGGCGGCAGGAACATACCCTACGCCCACGGTGCGGTTGTTCGCGTATTATCAACAATTCTAAGGAATTTAATAAACGTTTATTGTATAGTAAATATCATTACCTACGTACTTAAATAAAAAATATGCAAGCCGAGTCGGCGAGTATACTAAATTAGTTAAAGTAATTTATTAAACAGCGCGTAGGAATGCTTCATTATTATCATTATCGATTAATCATTAAATTACTCTATTATATTATTATATATACAATTTATTAACTTTGATTAAATTATTATTATTATTATAAAATGACGTTATAAAAATTTTGTCATTCGTAATCATACTTCTTAACTTAAGTACTTACTTAAAGTTTAACTGAAACTTTAACATAAATTTATTATACTAGTTATTTGCTTGGAAGTAAGCCAAACTGAATTTATTAAGTAAGTTGAAAATGTAAGAAAAAATGTATTTTAATTATTGTATATTGCAAGACAAGCCGCCGGGTGTCGCGCGCCCATTGTTACCTTTGTTGAGGGCCTTCACACGGCTCGATTAGTTTACGGGGCGGATCAGAAACGATCTTGTTTTTGAGCGGCCTTAGAGCACTTTCTGTCGTGAGGGATTCCCTTGGTTTCGCTTTAATGATGTGTACATACAGCTGGTAGCACGCGACCCGCGTCCGCTGCAGCGCGCGACGCCCGGCCCGCGACCGCTGTCGTCTCCCCGCCGATCACACTAATATAAGTGTTCGTATAGATCACTAATGAATGGAGTATATATGTCCTATATTTTGTTAAATTTTATTACGTGTGTGTCTCATAAGCTAATCGCTGGGGTGTACCAATATGTCACTCAGGGACCTGTAACTACCGGTGTTCGGTGGAGGCGCGAACCTCAGTCAGCTTCGTTCGCTCGCTTAGGTATTTAGGCCAATTATTCTCATTTAATCCTTTGCTCGACCTTCCGCCTCTACCGAACACGAATGTATCCGGCCGATACACACGACAATACACGATGTGGGGTATTAGGCCGTCGTTCGTCGGACGCCTTACTTGGAAGCGATCTCGCCTTCAAATAGAGCTATACATTTTGCCATTTACATTGTATACTCTATCATCAAACCCTGTTTAAAAGCTCTACTCTTAAGTGTGTGTACGAAATAAGATCTCGATTAGCTGAACTTTCCCGTTTGACTCGATTCTCTTCCCTTTCGCACACGGTAAACAACCGTTACTGTATCGTGCAGTGTAAAGTCCCCAGTTGGTTCCTGTTCGAAGGCGAGTCCCGCGTCCCACGAGCGCGGCCGCCGGTACGCCCTGCGCGCACCTACATGTTAGAACATATTGTTGACAAAATTAAATGTTGTACCTATTTAACGCTGTGTACAAATCAAAGTGCACTTCAACATAAGACCGAACTTAGGCCTTCGTTTCGAAAGATCGTGTTATTATGTGTTGTAAATTCCAAATGGGCTGTGATATAAATGATAAAATATCAACTTATTGGACTGTACAGGCCGTATATTGCATTGTAATGTGTTTTGCTCTTAGGCGCTCGCGCGCACCAAGCATCTGAACACCGCGAAATGTTACACCGATATAAGAAAATAACGCACAATAATCAGCAGTTACATTTGAATGCCGAAATGAAGACACCGGCCTGAGATGTTTTCTGAAGTTTGCTCTAAAAGAAATCATAATTTATTTTTGTACATGGTCCTGAAATTCAGAAAACATTTCAAGTTATGGTTGACTTCTTCAACTTAGAAAACTTTGTCCTTGATAATGTATAGTTGCATGGAGATTTCGTATAATTCTCCGAATTCAACAGCGGAAAAGAACGCTTGGTGCGTGCGAGCGGCGCTACTCGCAAATTGCGACGTCAATTCTCAAAGAGCGCGCTTCCCCGAGTTAATTTCGTGCAAGTGTGTATACATATATAACTATTCGTGTTAAGGTGTTAAATACAATAATATGATGCGCGGGAGTCAACAGCGGATGGATCGCGAGCAAATTACAAACCTAGTGTAATTTCTATACAGAAAAAAAAACAAAAATAGATTCATAATCAAAAAAGTACCAATATAAATATAAAATACGAAGATACCTTAGAATATATTGTGTCGCGCGGGCGGGCCCGCCAGGCCTGCCCAGGGGGCACCGGGCGCGTCCTCAACTCCATATTTCTTTAGATCTCATGTATAGCTTTAATGTTACAAGTGTTCATTGCGTGTTTGTTAAAAGTTTATATGCAATTTTAAATATTAATTGTTGCAACGTAGGTATCTAAATATTTATGTGCCATAACCGTAGCTCCCTGTTTCCGAACATCGTCCGGTTGCGACACGTTCCGGTGAAAGTACAAGAGTTTAGCTTTAAAAGCTGTTTTCTATCTCTGAACCTTTGGCTCGTCCTGTTTTGCCGCAGGTTTACTTCGATTTCTCTTAACCTCTCACGCGATGACTCAAAACCCACAGCTAGAGACAATGGCTTTTCTAATCCCTCTCACTCTCTCATAAAGGTGCGAGGGGAGCAGAAAACCGACTGTTTGAAGTATTGTTCTTTATGTTGGTGGTGCTTGAGTCGTCAACCTTGAGCGCCCCGACCCCTGGGCGGGCGCCGCCCCAGCGGGCAGGCTAGCCCAGCCGCCCGCCTCTAGTCAAATATTACACTCAACACAAACATAGAATTTTATATTTACACAAATAATTATATTATATTCATATAGTATCCTAGTTTTAGGCGACTATGATTTACTTGTAAGCCGAGTGTATAAAACGACATGTCGTTTTAAGTCTAGTTCTTTTCTTGAAGTCACGATTGTGCAATACGTTGTTACGCTTTTTGAAATTGTTTTTGCGTCGTTTATGTTCGAGCATTTCTTTTGTTTTGTTACCGTTAGATTTTTGGCGCGGTCTCTAGGCCGCATCGCCCCGAGGGGCTAAGTTTAAACTTGCCAGTTTCTGTGCCACTTGCGGCCTCGTGGCTATTCCATGTTGATGTCCACTAACAATTATGAAATATGGTACCTGTGTACAACTTGATGTATAAGGTTAAATGCGAATAAGGTACCTGAATACATAACTTTAAGGATCGTATTCGAAAACTTGATTCAAACTGAAGCAATGAGTTTGTAAACGAGTTTTGGTTTTGCTCTTGATTCTTTACTGTTTCTGCTGTCAATTTGTGGTCAAATGAGAGGGTTTCGCGGTCGTGAGTGGCAAGGAACGGTCTTAGATAAAATAATTTGAAGGAGCGGATGATCGCTATGTACTATGCGTTGCTGCGCACAGCCGAGTGTGGTGAGGGCAGGCGAGGTGCGCCGCCCGCCCTCAGAGTCGCTGACAATCGAGTGAAAACAATCGATTTGATTCGATTCAGTGTGAACCTCTACGGTTTGTAGTCAAATACAGTTATATCGCTAGCAAAGTAAAATATTGAAAGCGTTTATTAGATTGAAGTACTATGATTATTAATTCTTGCTTATCGAAGCTAGCTTTAAAGATACTTTCAATAACACGATGTATAGAGTAACGCACAAATGTATTTAAATTACGCACAAATGTGTCAAAAACGCACAAATACTTCCAAGTTCTAAAATGCTGTCCAAAGTCATAAGTTATTGTTACGGGGAGTAAATGAATTAATTGTTGAAATTAATTGAAATGTCAGCGACTCGCGAGGGCGGGCAGCGCGCGCGCCGCGCGTTAGGGTACAGTATTCGATGCCAAACCGGAACACGTATACTTAGTATATCGTTAATCGATAATATCACCTCGTGGGTAATGTAGAAGTAACAGCCCGGGCGCGCCGCCGCCCGCGGCGACTTATAATATTGTGTACTTATATCTTTATACTGATTAAATTAAACTCCCTAAAGATATATTGCGGTGACGCGAACGTTTGTAATAGATTAATGAGTCCTCTCTGAATGTATAAAACAATCGCCAGTTAAAAGTGATTCTAGGATACAGGGTATGCTTTGCAATTATTTAAATGTATCTAAATGTTTTCATGTAGGCAGATTTTGCCGACTCTCTGACTTTAGACTACGATTCGTCGATCATCGCCCAACCCGGCGTCTCACTCTCGGGTCCACTGATTAGTCTGTCGCGACTTTTTATACTTCTCGTACTATCGTAGTGTAGCCGACTTCACCCTCATCAGTCCGCGCGACTCTGACTTACGCTTCGCTTCTTGGTTTCTGGTCCCGGACCTCCGGCCCACCCTCATCCCAATTACTCACTTGTTTTACTGAGTATCCTCATTCACTTGTCATTCGCCCCGCGATTGGCACCGGCCGGCCGCCGCTGCCGACTCTGAGCATACTCCAGCCAGACGTCCTGTGACCGAGCACACTGCATTCACTCGAGAACAAACGAAACGTGCTGTTACCGCAGTGCCACTAGCTCCGACGAGCCTTACGCGATTAGTCCCGCAGCTCGAGCGACGCTAGTTCCGCGACGTTGTTTAGAGCGGCGCGACGGCGCCCGCGATTCGTCACTCGCCAAACCGTTCGATACAACATTGTTAGTATTACGAAATCGAATTTCTTAAAACTATTTAACTCCTAAAATTTTATAAAGTATTTATATCGTTCGCATACTCCGTAGCGCTCGCGTAGAGGACGTGATGCACTCGCGGCGTAGCGCGCGGGGCGGCCCGTAGCGTGGAGCGGGCCGTAGCACGGCGGCCCGTACGGCGCTCGTAGCGCGGCCCGTAGCGCGGAGCGGGCCGTAGCGCGGCGGCCCGTAGCGGCGCTCCTAGCGCGTAGCGGACCGTAGCGCGGCTGCCTGTAGCGGCTCTCGTAGCGCGGCCCGTAGCGCGGGCGCCGCAGCCGGCCCGCGGCCCAGCAAAGAACACCGTTCGATGCTAGTTAGTAAGATGAATGCCAATATTTTAATCGGAAAAAAGAAACATTAGAATTGGAATAATTAATCATATTAATAACTATTTATATATTAAAATATGGAGAGATGCGCATAGTGCTTATATGAATTGTAGGACCTAGGAATGAAACAAACAATCTAGTCATATCTCCTTCTGTTATTTATTTTTTCTATCGCTTAACATAGTTTAGCTTGGAGCACAGTTTCCTGTTGGGTGCCGCAGTACGTTGCGGACGAGTTTAGTTGTTTATTTAGTCACTAGGCCGTTACTTTTGGAAGCACACGTTACGTTACCGACTTGCTTTAATGATATTTACTTAACTATGATGTTTCATGGTACACCGGCTTTTATTACTTATACAGTACATATATGAAAAATACTATTACATACTATGAATGTTTTGATAAGTTATCCAGAATACTGTATCGCCTAAATGATACTTAACTAATTTGATCCATATTTTACCTTTAGAAGATACGTTTAAAATTAAGATTAATTGATATAATTTATCAGCATAGAGCGGTAGATCACGCGTTATGAATGGTATAACCGTTTGGTTAGGATAGGATTTTAAAGTTACCTTAGTAAGGAGATATAATGGTTTAGGTAGACGATGTTACTGTCATAGATCAGCTATGAAGGCCGCTGGTCCCAGCGCCGCCTCACAAACAAGCGCCGTCCGATCTCGATTGTAATTACTCTGTATCCCTTACGAGCTGCTCTAGAGATGGAAGTGAGTAGGAAGGCAGATGTCCCGAACCAACAACGTGTATATTAGTTCCACAATAATTGAACGTGTACATACATATGTCATATCTTTAGGAGCTTACTAGCCTTTTGCCCCGAGGCTCTCGGGCGGGTGACAGGGTGTCGCTGTGTTAATGCTAAGTGGAATCATAATCATTCGCCGATCTAGATCGGCGCGAGGCTATTGAATAAGATTACATATTGTTATATGGGCGACTAAACAAACCGTTATATTTCGATCCACGACACTCTCCGTTCAACCGATTGGAATTAACAAGCTTTAGTTTACCTACATTGTAAGGTTGTATCCATGTAAGTTACCAAAATATATGTTAAGAAACTGCAGGACGCGGCGTTGGTCGCCCAGTCCCGGCCGCGGCGGAGTAGACGCCGATACTCCTAAACTATGTCCCAAGCATTGTTCTGGATAACTTATATTGGAATAGTTTAAGAGTACACAAAGTGCAAGCACCCTGGTCCCGAATTATTTCGCGCGCTCTCCGGACTTTTACCTCCAACGCGTAGTTAGGCAATTGAACATAGTTGTAGCTGTATATAATATGGACGATTAGTTGAAACGGAATTAGAAAAGGAATATGATGTAACTGATTTAGAATATGATAATAGGAGAGCGCAGAAAATACTTCGGGCCTCGGCGCGGAGCACAGCAGCCGTTCGCAATAGCTTAGCGCGGCGCCGGCGCGCGCGCCTGTGATACGCTTTGTACATACGTCCATTGAACCTTTATGTATTATATCGAGCCACTCCCAAACATTTCGTTCGCACGTGAACTGAACGACATATGTAACTATTGTAAAACAGGAATTATACATTAATCGAGAGTCATTTATAAAAAGTGGATATCAGTCGTTGATGACAAATTAGTCTAATTTTAGCGGAGATTAAAAAATAAGAATGACCTATACCCACTTTAAAATTCTGTCGATTCCACTAAGGGTAGGTCGTAACGCGAACCAAGTTTGAATGTTGGAGCCGTTATAAACAGCGTGTTACGATAGACAGATGCCCTCTTTGTGACCGACTCGTTCGGGTTGTAAGTTAAGGACAAAGTAGTTTCTTGAATTTTATAGGTCATCGTTATACGGAGCAGTTTGGGCTCGCTCGCCGGCGTCGGTCAAGGCCCGTCGCGACCGACTACCTCAGACCTGCCGCCAAGAGAGTCGAGTCTGTCTTTCCGCGTTCGATTTGTGCCTACATCGACAGAACCACCAAACCAGACTAGTCCGAACTACCTGTATGTCCACTGGCGTAGGTACAAATCGCACGAGCCGGTTTCCTTAGCATTGTACGTTGAGCCTCCCAGGGCAGTCAGGCGGCTGACCGCTGACTATTGAGATGTTTATTCACTTATTGTTATTACAGATCGCCAAAAATTGTAAAATAAGAGTGTTATGATCACTTTTTGGAGCGTCGCTAGTTAATTGTAATTGTTCATTTTTATTTATTATACATAATTATTAATTTATTTATAGTTTTAGACTAATCAGACGCGCAGTCGATGCGTGCGTTATGAGAAACATTATTATGGAACTAATACAATAATAATTTGCCTACTTTGCATGTCTAATTTAGTTAATGACGTTTAAACCTATTATCGAGTTATTAATATGTATATTGCTGAAATATTTCAAAACTAAATTACTATTCAATTATTTATTATTATACACTTATTACGTTTAGTATGCTAGAAATATGATGACGGATAATAAATAATTTTAATTATATTAGGGGAGTGTTTTATTTTTCAAATTCAATAATATTACATAAAATACCTACATGTGAAATTATTTTGAGATTTAAAGCCAGTAAGTACTATAACTACACAAATATAAATAAAAATTGTTCTACTTCAAAAAACATACACACAACCATACCTTTCCCACATCCTTTAAATCTTTAAATTACGCTACGTTTTACTTTAAAATTCATAGTGAGTCAAATTTTTTACACTAAGTTGTGGTCTGGATTCGGTTTTTGGCAATCCGGTATTTTACAGGTTATTAAAATGTGGTTTGAATTACATTACATAAAATAATATTATGTTCATTGATACTACAAAAAAACATATAAAAAAGAGATTTTACTCGAGTGTAAAATCAATTTTCATTGACCACCACCGGGTTATCTATTTACATAAAATCAGTCCAGTTTCGTCAAGGTCCGGGTTACTTACATAAAATCAATCCGGTTTCGTCAAGGACCGGGTTTGCAACTTACATAATCATTCCGGTTTCGTCAAGGTCAGCAAACACAGCTTCAAGTACATTCGAGAACCCAGAAGCGCCATCAGTGCGCAAAATTTCAGAACACACAGACACTTGAACAATCATCAAATGGACTTCTTACTGAAGTAGTCCGTGATTTTCATGGCCATTTTTTTCTTCGCCTCTGGAGTTACGTCGTACCGGATTCTTTCTTCTTCTGAACATACACTTTTGTTTAGTTTCGATTCCGCAGTTCTTTTGAGCGGCAACGTGGCAAAACACTTCGACTTGTCATCTGCACAAACCTTTTGCGTTTCATTCACTCCGGTTTCAAAGAGGTTTCTTCTTAATGTCGGTAATGACGTTTTTAGTGTACCCTGGTTTTGTTTACTATTATCTTCATCGATTATTTGAATCTTGTCCAAACTATGTGAGGAATAAGATTGCTTGTTTTTGGAAGCTTTTTCTTTGTCTTGACATTTATCCAATTCTTTATTATCCGACGCATCCATGGGTTCCGCACTTCTTTTGAGAGACGTAACAGGATCTGTCAAATTCAGGTCGCCATTTTCTTCGTCGAATTTTCGCATTTCATCCAACAGGCTTGATGTATGTTCAGTGTTAATGCTTTTTCTAGGTTTTACATCGCCAAATAAACTTCTTTTAGCCGACAATTCACTATGTGAGGACTTATTTTGTTTATCTTCGCCTTCTTTTACGTAACTTGGGTTGCAAAATGGTTTGCATGTAGAAGATTTAGTTTCTTTGTCTTGAGACATACTTGATTCTCTGTTATCTGACTCGTCCATGGGTTCGGGCATATTTATTTTAACTTCAGTCATACTGTGATCCTGATCGTATTCGCTTTGTGAAAATAAGTCTGGTGATTCATTGAGAAACTCCTTTAGGACTGACTCTGATAGATCTTCACTCTGAAAGAAAGTACATAAATAGGTATAATATACGCGTGTATGCGAGGGGTGAACGTAATTATTGAGAGGCGACACAGTTCTTGTCATTTGAACGGTCTTTATCGCTTGATCAATCGTATTACACTTATTTAAATAAAAGTTAATACATAAAAAACTCATGTGTATATTTGTATACGGCACAATAATTATATCAATTGTACGTGATATTATACACATACATTTAAAATTATTAATCAGAAAGAGATGGAAAGTCCAACAAGAAAATCTTAAAGTTAAGTTAAGAAGACAAAAATCAGGTTTTATAGATGACCCACGCTGAACTGTCCCACCAAACTCAATGACAGGGGGGCACTACCATCGTTCAACTGTATGGTTTCCAACATGGCAAAAATCGGAACCAGCGATCCGGTATTGACGGTGGCGCCCCACTGTCGATGTCATGGATAGGACAGTTCAGTATTTTGGAACTATAAAAAGCGAAGTTTCATTAAATGTAAAATCAAATAAAAATGGTGGAAATAACTCACCATGTCCATTTTATTCGACGGACCGGGCGACGTGACGTCAGCGGGCGCCGTATTAGAAGCCTTCGCCTCATCGTCGAGCAACGCCTGCTGCAGGAACGAAGGCAGCTCGCACCGCCTGACGTCTGTGCTCGTGTACTTCATTATGTAGTTGTATAGTTGTCCTGTGAAACGATCAAACGAAACATTAGCTCTTAAATTCTTAATGCATTGTAAGTATAACACACGGTGAAACGCAATTGCAACGAAACTGCAACTTCTAGTAACTTTTGAGTTGCATCCAAATTTCTGCCATAGATTCCGTTGAGTGAAATGGTCGCGTCATGTGTGGTCTGCAATGCAACTCAAAAGTAACTAGAAGTTGCAGTTTCGTTGCAATGAGGGTTTTCGCGATTGAAAAATCCGCCAGATGGCAATACGTAGATGCGAGGTACAAATGCTGCATGATTGGTTATTTTTGATATGACATTGACAGATATGTCAAAATCCACCAATCACGCAGCATTTGGACCTCGCGTCTACGTATAGCCATCTGGCGGATTTTTCAATCGCGAAAACCCTCATGGCGTTTCACCGTGTGTTCTGGGCCTAAGACGACAATCATAATCCAAAGTTCGGATAGTTGACACCACATACCTATTCTATTACCTACTTTTTGAACTTCTCCTATAGATTTTGTTGCTGGTGACGTCAATGTTTCGTCATCTCAATTGAAGATCTATTTATTAAAGCTACTAAAATTGTATTTAATCAATTCCGAATATTTAGAGCTTAAATAAATTGTGATTTTAGAAACCTCATCATCATCATCATTTCAGCCTTAGGACGTCCACTGCTGAACATAGGCCTCCTTCAATGATTTCCACAACGGCCGATTGGTGGCGGCCTGCATCCAGCGCCTTCCCGCTAGCTTTATGAGGTCGTCGGTCCACCTTGTGGGTGGACGTCGTACGCTTCGCTTTCCAGTTTAGAAACCCAATCCCTTGGAATTATTCTGTAGATAATGTTGTCAAATACCTTTAATGAGTTTTCTCATATAAAATTGTAACAGAATAGAAAACCCACTTACCAACAGTAACATTATGCCTGGCCAGCAAATTATACACAGCCACTATATCGTCCCTAAGACGCGCGTCTCCAAACGTGTAGTACGCGACTGGTCGCCTAGCGTGCGCGCACGCAGCTAACTGTACGAGCGCCTTGAGACGTGGTGTTCCGCCGAACGCGCCACAACCCCAGTTGCCAGTCGCTACGCCCGGGTATTGTAGGCTAGTGGCCGACTCGTCGGTGGCGTAGGATACGCCGATCCAGGCCTATAAATATTTCAAAATAAACTTGTTTATTTATTTGCTTGTCACATGGTAAATACAGGTGGTAAAATACAATTTAAGTACCTTGCACACATGCACCGCAAAACTGACTTTATTACTTAATACTTCTCCTCCTGTTATGTGAATGTTTTACTGAGGAAATTTTCCATAAATTCTAAAACAAACGACCCCATAATCTGACTTCTATTATTATCTGTTCATTAGATGTTTGGATGCGCAAGGCAAGGTAGACCATGACCTATCATACTGTTAAGATGACAAAAACAACAAGAACCTGACTTGTTAAATGGATATCACCAGTCTGTAATATACGATTTAAATATTTGTATCTAAGCATTAGTCAGTTAATTTTAAATATAGGTAATCATTACTTAGCACATTTTGGGATACATAATGATTCAACACTGCATATCCTCAACAAATATTTAATTACTACTATAATAACTATGTGTGATGGTATACCTGGATGATATTCTCATGAATCGTAATTATTTCGCGTGACATCAATCACGCATTTTGTCATGATTAACAGATAGTCTTTTGTTCAAATTGGATTTCAAATGACCTTATTAAGCTCCCTGGTGATCATGTCGCGGGTGTGCTCATGCCTGATGCTGCTGTAGGGCAAGGCGTCGATGGCCAGCACGGCGCATCGGCGGCGGCCTGACGAGTCGAAGGGAGTGGTGTCTTTGAAGTCTCCGCTCCAGTGGAACGAACCGCCGTAGCCGGAGTACTTGCTGTATCTTTCACAACCTTTGACACAGAAAATGTAGTACCACTTATTTCGATGAATGTAATGAATCTAAAGAAAAATAACAACTTAAATGTTTATGGCCAAAGCACATGAATCCAGGCTAGGGTCGTTATAGTAAGGAATTTATTAAAATAAACAGATGTTTTCACAACAAACACAAGGAAAAAAAGCTTGTTTATCGTTATTGTTAAAAAATAAAACATTTTCGGTTGTGTCGCTTAGCGAACAAGTATTTTTTTACGCCATGCGCTATTATAGAACATAATGTTTAGGATATTATTGAGTGAGTAGAGCGTCAAATGTTGCACAAGAAATGAAAACTACGTATTATCTTATTTCATCTAAGAAAGTAAGCGAATACAGCCTTTATTTACTCAGAGTAAAAGTTTCAAACTAAATGTACCTATCATCATGAGTGCTTCGTTAGGCTTCATCATCTCAGTGAACAGCATTGAAAGCATCAGCTCTGGGCATATTACGAATCTAATTTCTTCTTGGACACAGCCAAAATTTAGTACTCCGCCGCCTAGGAACCTGGAAGAAACCAACACATTTAATATGAAAGATGTACCAGCTACGTATATAAAAAAACCGAAGTTATTTCAGTATTGGGTACTAGATGCGACTTGTCTATCCTACTTCCTACTAATATTATAAATGCGAAAGTTTGGATGTCTGGATGTTTATTTTATTACTCTTTCACGCAAAAACTACTGAACGGATTTTGTTGAAACTTTGCAGCATAATTGTTTATAACCCAGAATAACATATTGGCTATAATTTATGACGATATGTGACAAACTAAACTTCACACGGGTGAAGCCGCGGGCAAAAGCTACTAAATAAAGAAAATTTTATTCTGGTCCTAAAACAGTGTTAGCTTTCAATTTGCTGTAATTTTTTTAGTTGTTATAAAATCAATGAGATTAACATCCGTATTCACAAATGATACTTGCTTAAGTGAAGCAGCAAATCGAACGCACAGCGTTGAATATAGCTCTGTGATTAGTTCGTGTGTGACCCTGTGCGTCCACGCGCACTGTGAGACCTCATTGTAATTTTTGATAATACGGACGTAAGTCGAACAAAACATTTCTACTAAAGCCTGGTCCGTGAGCACGTAGAATTTTGTCCAATGACCCCAAGCTACCCATCCTTATCTCTCGCGCGTAATTATGTTGCTATCGCGCTCGCACACTCACTGCGGGTGCCAGTCGCACAGTCGCGACAGCAATATAATTACGCGCGAGCGATAAGGATGGATAGCTTGGGGTCATTGGTCAAAATTCTACGTGCTCACGGACCAAGCTTTACATACTTGTTAGCAAAGTCCACTTGTATCAATCCATCGGCGTCCTCAATTGTAGTGTGGGAATCCACATGCAACGGCAGCGCCGCCAGCGATCGCTGCGAGGCGGCCCACGCCGGACATCTGTCCGGCGGCACCGTCCGCCGGGAGTACGTCACTACGCCGGACGGCACTGTACTGCAAGCAAACAACGCTCGTGTTACAATGATCACACAAGGATCGATTTTGTTTCTGCACTATTTTAAAATTAAGTAACACTTGGCAAGACAGTTTATACACTCGCGAGCAAAACTATGGAATCACTTACATGAAGTTGTTTCCACGCGAACTTGTGTACTAACGAATTTGTTAGTAACAAAAAAAGTGGCACCATTTTAAAGATTAAACTTTTATCTTTAAATTAATACCAAATTCATTTAAATCACACCAGTATTTAAAAAGATATCCCGGCTGATGTGAAGAAGTAACGAAAAAGACATGTATGAACTGTTTGATACGTCGCGAGTTGCGGCCTATTTACCCCCTATAAAAGCACGCATTTTTAGATTTTTGCTTTCATACGTTGATTCATACACATCTCCGCTTCTTTTGACACTTTACCTGGGATTCTACACCTTCAGAAGCAGCACAAATCGTTGCACTATTGCAAGAATAGAACTACCCATTCATAAATTCAAAGCACATATTAAAAGTACCTTAATAAAAAAGGGCTACTATAAAGTCGATGATTATTTAAAAGATAAAAATGTTTGGGATACTTTACTGCCCAGCTCGCATAAATATTTATAACTTTGTACATTTTAAAGCATGTAAACCTTTGAAAAAGAGGCTGACAATAGTGACTGAGTTTCTTGCGCTGCTTCTTCTCAGCACTGGCCCATTTATTGTCCTGAAGCAGTGGTAGGGTTAATACTGGGACGTGTAAAAGTGCTTTTTTTAAGCCTATTTACAGAAATAAATGAGTTTTATGAGTTTTTTACTCGCTAACAGCTATCCTACGAACATTTTTGAGCTCTTGCTGGACGTCGATTCCAGTCAAATGACGATTTCATAGAGATGTTGACATGAAAAAACGGTCTTCCCTCTGCGATGTGCGCCGGCGCTGTTCAGAACTTGGTCTCGGGATAAAGCCACCAGTCTCCCGAAAGCGTCTTAAAACTTTCGAAACCCAGGCCTGGCTTATGTGGCGCTGACGTGCGACAGCCCGCTGGCTGAGCCCTTCTTGAAATAGTGCAACGATTTGTGCTGCTTCTGAAGGTGTAGAATCCCAGGTAAAGTGTCAAAAGAAGCGGAGATGTGTATGAATCAACGTGTGAAAGCAAAAATCCGAAAACGCGTGCTTTTATAGGGGGCAAATAGGCCGCAACTCGCGACGTATCAAACAGTTCATACATGTCTTTTTCGTTACTTCTTCACATAAGCCGGGATATCTTTTTAAATACTGGTGTGATTTAAATGAATTTGGTATCAATTTAAAGATAAAAGTTTAATCTTTAAAATGGTGCCACTTTTTTTGTTCCTAACAAATTCGTTAGTACACAAGATCGCGTGGAAACAACTTCATGTAAGTGATTCCATACTTTTGCTCGCGAGTGTATTATGTAGTCAGCGTCAAATGGTTTGTGACGCCCAAAGTAGCCAAAAAGTTCGGAACACGTCTTTGTTACAATGAGGGCTATCGTTTTTATACTTAACAGTTGGCACCCCTGGCGATTGACAGGACCTTACTCTACAGTGGCGCCATCTTGATGAGTGCAAATGCGATAGTCCTCCTACCACTTTAGCGCTCACCAGTTGGCGCCACTGTCTTCGCTACTAGCAAGTGACAGGACCTTACTCTACAGTGGAGCCAACTGGTGAGCGCTAAAACGATAGCCCTCATTAGAATAAAGGTGTATTGTTTTTTGGCCACTTTGGGTGTCACGAATTATCTGACGCTCACTGTACCCGTATGCCATTTTTCATGCTTTACTTCACATGGGTAATGATGAATGACCTTTCTTTGAGCTAAATTAGTAATTAAAAAAACTTAAAGGAATTGTTTTCACCTTTTGTGCATACCCTTCTAAAATAGTGGCAGATGCATTTGAGTTTCTCTAGCACAGAATCTGATGGTGAAGCATTGAATAACCTGAAACAAAGAAAAAAAATCTATAACAAGTTCTGTATTGCAAAACAAGTGTGATTTACAACAAATTCTTATTTATTGTTATTTTATCTACTGTGTAAAGTCCGGTCACCGAGCACGTAGAATTTCGTCGCACACTCACTGCGGCCACCCGTCGCACAGTCGCGACAGCAATATAATTACGCGCGAGCGATAAGGATGGGTTGCTTGGGGTCATTGAACGAAATTCTACGTGCTCGGCGACTGGACTTTAGTATGAAACTGAAAAGACAGTAAAAATCACCTGTTGAAATTTATGAAAGGATATGAAGCATATTCTGATTCTTTTTTGGTTGTGTTTCGTCGTGGGAATGTACAGAAGAAAGCATTAGCCAGTAAACTTGAGATTTGCTGCTGTGACAGTGAAATAGACCGGTTCCTGTGTTGCCTGTAATTAAAAATTAATATTATTATTAATCAGTAATATTATATAACTTACAATATTATAGGTTAGGTTACTCAGTCAGTGTCTGAGGTATGGGAGCAGCGAGGGGTGACATTGACATAATTTTGATGTGACAAGACATACAAATCTGAAGTATTCCTGACGTTTGACTGTCACACGCAATTTTGTATACCCATTAAACACTATACAAGAATGCATGGTAAATTCAGTGAACTGCTCCTGAATCGAATGTACCTACTACTGCTATTTCTATTTATTTATATTAACCGGCAGACAGTGGTGACTGAGTTTGTTGCGGCGCTTCTTCTCAGCACTTGCCAAATGTTGGTCTCGAAGCGCTGGTAGGGTAAAAAGATTATGAGACATGTAGAGGCTCCTTAAGAGCGTTTACGTCTAGCGTGGCATGTCAAGTTTAGGTAATTTCGATGCTATTTTTATTCACACTAAAATAATTATGACTGTGTGCGTGTTCTCACGCTCTATAGTCAAACCAAAATACTTTGATCCACCATCGTAAAAGTGTGCCAGACTGTCAAGTGACAGCCCAAAGAAACTATAAAATCTTCAAATCTTCCAACACCGACTCCATAATTATAAATAATGGTATACATTAGTCCTAATCAATAATAAATACGTAAATTCTTTATCAAATAGTAAATTATCAAAGGTTTTTTACTATTTTGAGAATATTTTATACAGCCTATGTTCAGCAGAAAAAAAATTGAATTTTAATGGTGAGAGATTTTTTCAAATCGTTTCTATTCAAAACAAACTTTTCCTGTTTACTATTCTTTTTTTATCCGGAAAATGCATAACATATCATACCCACCAGCTGCGGGGGCAGCTAGTGGGTTATGTGGGGTTCTTCCTACCAGAAGGTGGGTAGCCCCTACACCCACTAAAAACCTGACTGTTTCTGCCATGATCCATATGAGTGATATGAGGGAACGCGGGACATCGCCATTGGCTGTTGCCTGTAGCATTCGTCCTTAGCCGCCACCAGACACCTCCATGTCTAGCGACCGAGGCCTGTTGACAATTATGTATACCTGGGACAAACAGTCCAGTTAGGTAGGTCCAACTTCGAGAAAGAGGTCAATCGTCGAATCCAACTCGGATGGGCAGCGTTCGGGAAGCTTCGCCATATACTCACGTCCGAAATACCGCAGTGTCTCAAGTCGAAAGTATTTGACCAATGCGTGTTGCCAGTGATGGTATACGGATCTGAGACGTGGTCGCTTACTATGGGCCTCATAAGAAGGCTCAAGGTCACCCAAAGGGCGATGGAGCGGGCTATGCTCGGAGTCTCCCTGCGTGATCGAATCAGAAATGAGGAGATCCGCAGGAGAACCAAAGTAACCGACATAGCTCGCAGAATTGCTAAAATCAAGTGGCAGTGGGCGGGGCACATAGCTCGTAGAGACGATGGCCGTTGGGGCAGGAAAGTTCTCGAGTGGCGACCACGGGCTGGAAGACGTAGCGTGGGCAGGCCTCCTACTAGGTGGACCGACGATCTGGTAAAGGTCGCGGGAAGAGCCTGGATGCGGGCAGCGCAGGACCGTTCATTGTGGAAAACCTTGGGGGAGGCCTTTGTCCAGCAGTGGACGTCATTTGGCTGAAACGAAGACGAAGACGAGATATTTAAGTACTATTTAATACTATTTATGTATTCTTCATTAGAGTGAATATCCCAGAAAAAGAAATTAGTTTTTTGAAAGGCTTTAATATGGCTTTTTTGTAACTTTTTGGACTTTAAATAAAAGCCATCATTATTATAAGCCATTTAATTGACATTTACGTCAAAGATTAATGCATTTCATTTTATTAATAGGAAATTGTCGTAGTTTTTTAATATCCGGTATCCGGCCGGATAGTGAGTTACTATCCGGTATCCGGCCGGATAGTAAATTTAGGCCGGATATCCGGCCTACCGCATAGTTACCGGATATCCGTTTCATCTCTAATATTAACTTTTAGAAAAAAATATAATAATAAATAACAATTTTAAATATCAATAAATGTTAGAAATGACTTCTCTACAATAGTCCAGTAAGCAAGGATCAAACTAGCATCCTCTCAAATAGATGATTTGATGCCAGAACCACTAGGGCCCAGGCTTTGTCACCTTAGTACATATAATATTAAATGAGATGAAAATTATTCATTTCTTTCCTCCATGACATCACTGTAGGACATTTTCATAAAAATATGAAGTATTTATTTCTTCAAAAACAATATCTATCTAAACAGTTACTTACATGGTCAAAGAGCTTATGAAGAGCTTTGAACTTCCACGCAGTTTGAAATTTTGTATTGTATGATAGTATTGCATCGGCAAGTTCTTTGCTGTTACGAATTGGCTTTGATAGCGCACTCTCTATGATTTCCCACCGTTTCTTCAAATGAGTTTCTCCATTTCTCTAAAAGAGTGTGAGAGTTACTTAACTATTTAATTGCACCTATAAAACCTACGTAGTTAAAATTAAATAAATAAATAAATGAGCAATCATAATGAGGATCAGTACTGTTGTAGAAAATTCAATAAAACTAGTATCTACGTTAATCTTTAAGACATAAGAAAGATATATCTTTTTGAATTATCCAAATCGGACCATTACTTACGAAGATATTAAGTAATAAACATAGGCCGTTTTTGCCGCTAAAAGTCAACGTACGCAAGGCCGCGTGACGTCATTATATCCGAATCGAGCGCAGCCGGCGTACTAATGGGATGGAAAATATTTTTTTCCGGCTAAACTATCAGTTTTAGAAAAAAACTTTTAATAACATTTATTCTTCAAAATAAAGTAACCTATCGACCAGTAATTTTTAAAAATAAAAATTGTGAAAAATAAGTATTGCTATGTCCAAAAACCACATTTTCATAGGATTCGATGCAATGCGGAGACGCGGTTGGGGTGAGTGTAACTTAATGATTGTTTGTATTGAACATAATAATACTTAATATGATGCTAATACCCAGTTTCTGGCCTGGGGGGGGGGGGCTTACTTTATTCTGATGAATAAATGTCATTACAAGTTTTTCTCTAAAACTGATAATTTGGCTAGAAAAAAATATTTTCTATCCACGCAGTACGCCGGCAGCGTTCGGATCGGATATAATGACGTCATCGTCCCCGCGCCGGGCGGTCAGTGAACTTTTTTAGTAATTTGGCCATAACTTCGTCAATTTTTGTCGTAGAACAAAAATTTTTGCACTGTGTTTTAAGGATTTCTTAGCCCTATAAATCTGCATTCACAGCTAAAAATCGAAATGATCCTCATTGACTGAATGTTTAATTAACTGAAAATTGTTTTATAAACAATAACTGCTTTTTAGTTAACCAAACTGTCTGTATTATAACAAATTTAAGTATATATATATGATATAATTGGCTGGCTATTACCTAAATAGAAAGTGAAATTACTCACATCTTCAACTGGATACAAGCTTTGGCTAGAATATGGCATTCTCACAAAATCATGGTTCCATACATCGGTGCCTGTTTTCGGTTTAGGCGGGACATCGTCTGGCGACCGTCCCATGCTAGGGATGTGGTATAAAACTGCATGGTTGTACGACGGCACGATTAGCGGGAATTCTGGAGCGCCCCAAGGACTTTGCGATCCATAAATCTCTGTTATTGGCACCCCTCGCCAGCTAACGGTGTCGTCCTCGGAACTCATTGTTTGTTTAAACCGCTGTCTGTTTATATCTACAAAGAAAAGGGTACTATGATCACTTCACTATCGCTTGTTTATCAAGAAACGGATTTTTTTGACCTGAATCACACACGTTTTATAACCACAGCTTGCAAGGCTCTTTTCAGCAGGTGCATAAAAATTTGTGGACGTTTCACCTCAAAAATAAAACACTTAAAAATAAAAGTTGATAAAATTTAACTGAGAAATATGTAGGACTATTTCCGTGTTGTCTAATTACAAAATAAATACCTACTAACAATCACAAATTCACGCACGCAATAAATAATAATCACTCACTGTCAGTGTCAATGTGTCAACGTGTCAACCGAACCGAACTGTCAACTTATTTTTTTTTTTAATTCAATTATTACGGCTTTGGATAATATGGATTATCTTTTCAGTGTATTAATTTTATATTCACCATACATAGCTGGGCACCGTTAATCAAATAGTTAACTTCGTTAATCGTTAAACCGTTAATAAAAAAAATTACTTCGTTAAACGTTAAAACGTTATATTTTGCAAGATTTAACGCAAGTTAACGTTAATCGTTAATCTTTTAACACATGATAATAAAATGAAAAAAAAATGTATGAAAGGTTCAAATAATTTCGAAAGCTTGTATCGCGCATGGAATTTATTCCTCTTTTATGGTAAAAGATTTTCAGAATAAAAGCTTGTTTTTAAAAAAGTTTTTAATATTATAATTTTATTTTTTATTATTAGTATCTCAATCTCAGAGCCTTGGTTCAATTACAATACAATTTAGCACCAAAGTGCTCGAAAAGACAAATACAACAAACCCAAACTCGATAAGTTTCCACCGTTTCGTTTAGGAATCCCTATGGCCACCTCTTGACTCCACCATCAGACCAGCTCAATACCATAACATTGCATTGTCATCGTACTTACATAAGTATACCAAATTTCAGCTCAATCGATTGAGGAAAGCTGGTCATAAATTCAGTTGCAAGATTTGTCCCACACATAGGTACTAACAAGTGAAGTCAATATAAGGCTTGTAATAATAATAATAAATAAATAAAAAATATCATTTTTTATATCGTTTCGAAACTGTTGTTTTGGGTTCTGGAAGTTCTGGAAGCCCGAACGTACTTGTCAGAACGCGTTTTTCTAGCGTTTTTAAGCGTGCCTGTTGTATCTTTTTGGTAAATAGTAGGTACTGGATTAACGATTAACGGACTTAGGATAATTTAACGGAAGTTAACGAGTCCGTTAACATTTTTTAATGTTAACTTAAAAGTTAATCCGTTAATAGAAACGTTAACTTCGTTAATTAACGAGTTAATGCCCAGCTATGATAATCACATTTATCAACTCGTAAAGAAATCTTAATCGTCAACTTGAGTCGTTCTGTATTCTATGCATAGATTCTGTATGAAACTCTCACAACGCACACTTATTGGATTCGTACAAGCTCACAAACCGCGTTGCACTGCATCGCGTGGTCAAACTACTTGTAGCTTTCGGCAAGTCGTACGCGTGGTATCATCATCACCACCCACCTTGCGTATTATAGGCTTATCTGCTTATGCTCATAAAAAAAAAATACTCTGCTTATGCTGAGGCGACGTACGTAAGACGCTCTGATCCGTTTACATTAAAAGTGTTTATAGATGACCCACACTGAACTGTCCCACCAAACTCAATGACAGGGGGGCGCTACCATCGTTCAACTATATGGTTTCCAACATGGCAAAAATCAGAACCAGCGATCCGGTATAGACGGTGGCGCCCCGCTGTCAATGTCATGGACAGGACAGTTCAGTATTTTGGAACTATATTATGTTGACGCTTGGTTAACATAGAGGAGAAAGATGATACGTTTACGATCCCTTTCCGAGAAGTATGACTTTTAATGACGATTCTGGTAATCCATTTGCTTGCACGGACACTTGCGCGGAGCCATTGGCGCAAAAGACGCTTGCGCAATGTGGCATAGTGTACTTGCGCCCTCATCTGTCATGTCTGTGGTCATGTCCACAGAGTATGTAATAATAATGAATGTTATGGTTATGTCAATAGTGTCATTCCACGAAAAATCTCGCATCTGGCTGTATTTTTATTTACAAGCGTTTCAATGATAGATTTTCTTTTTGCGGTGGTAATATCTCTAGATTAAAGTATATGGTACAGATATAAATAAAAATGAACCTAGAATTATTAGGTAAGTGCGTTTTACACGAGTGAAATAGTACCAAACATAGATTGCCAGAGTTTTACGATTGTTACTCTCTTTTTTCAGAATCGTTTGGTCAAAACTACCCTGAGGTGAGTGCAAATAGGAATGCAGTCTCAAATGCTTTATTTAACGTAGTCTACAAATCACTCAACACGCAAACGCTTTCAGGAGTTTGATGGCTCGCTGGACTCGATTTCTTTGGCAGCGACGTGTGCCTTCAACCGGCGTGGTACACTGCTGGCCGTAGGTTGCAATGACGGCAGAATATTCATTTGGGACTTCCTGACCCGGGGCATAGCCAAGTCAATATCAGCTCACGTCTACCCTGTTTGTAGTCTTAGTTGGTCTAGGAATTGCAAAAAGGTAAGTTATCTTGTGGTTCAGCCAGAGTGCTATGTTATAGGCCTCTCTGTATGGCTTGCTCTTTACAAATTAAGAAATATATTTGACATTGAATTATTAATTTACAATTACAGCTGCTGTCTGCATCAACAGACCACAATGTCTGCATATGGGACATCTTATCAGGGGAGTGTGAGCAGAGGTACAGGTTTCCGACAGCCATTCTTCGCGTTCAGTTTGACCCGAGGAACGACAAGCGCTTCCTTGTGTGCCCCATGAGACATGCGGCTTTATTGGTTGACACAGAAGGAGAACATAAAATACTGCCCATTGATGAAGATGTAAGTTCTTACCAATCATGACTGATTTCTGACAAAAACAAATCATTGTTGCTGATATTTATCTCTATTCTCACTTTTTTTCATACATCTTTAGTGAATCAGGAATTTTCTTGCCTTTCAAAATCAAAATTTATTGTTTATGTGACATATTTTGTTTAACTTTTCGCAGGGTGACATAAATGTAATAGCATCATTTGATCGCCGAGGAGACCACGTATATACAGGAAATGCAAAAGGAAAGATTTTAATATTAGACACACAGACATTAGCAGTGAAAGCCAGCTTCAAAATAACTGTAGGAACATCAAGCACAACAAGTATTAAAAGCATAGAGTTTGCTCGAAGAGGAAAGTGAGTAAAAGATTTTATAACTACCCTTTATTCTTCTAAGTACTTCATCAGAAAAAAAAATACTTAAAATGTGGAGATATTATTTGTTATTCTATTTGCTTCCAGTTGTTTTCTGGTGAACACATCTGATAGAGTTATAAGAGTATATGACACTAAAACTGTGCTCAAATGCGGTTTGAATGGAGAACCTGAACCAATACAGAAGCTGCAGGATCTTGTCAATAAGTAAGTATTACAACTGCTTGCTTTTTAACCGACTCCAACCAAAGGAGGAGTTCTCAATTTTCAAGAGTAAAATTAACACTAGGTACATTTCCACATAGCCATTACGAAAAAGGAAACTGAGGGAGTCACCCGAATTGTTCTGTGTTCCAGGGCCACAGCTGATATTCTACTTTTAGCATCATCATTTTGACTCTCTGCCATCAATTGCAGGAAAAATCTTGAGATTCTACTGATGCAGCGTCGCGATTTCGCGACTTCATGCGTTCGGACGTGCTATTGGAATCGCACGTTTTAGCGATAGCTCAGATACTCGGCTTGCGGAGAGGTCGTGCTGAAGAGTCATGAAGTGTCTTGAGGCATTTTGTGTCTGTTTACCACCAGATCCTTAGCCAGTGCATTAATTTTTGTTGAGTATCTGTGTGTCCTTCCCCAGAACGACGTGGAAGAAGTGCTGCTTCTCTGGTGACGGCGAATACATCTGCGCGGGCTCGGCGCGTCAGCACGCGCTCTACGTGTGGGAGAAGTCCATCGGGAACATCGTCAAGATCCTGCACGGGACTAAAGGCGAGCTGCTGCTGGATGTCGTCTGGCACCCGATACGGCCCATCATCGCTAGCATCAGTGCAGGTGCGTACTATGTGACGTCACATCCTGCACGGTACTAAGGGCGAGCTGCTGCTGGATGTCGTCTGGCACCCCATACGGCCCATCGTCGCTAGCATCAGTGCAGGTGCGTACTGTGTGACGTCACATCCTGCACGGGTCCAAGGGCGAGCTGCTGCTGGATGTCGTCTGGTACGCGATACGGCCTATCATCGCTAGTATCAGTGCAGGTACGTACTGTGTGACGTCACATCCTGCAGGGACCGAGGGCGAGCTGCTGCTGGATGTCGTCTGGCACCCGATACGGCCCATTATCGCTAGCATCAGTGCAGGTGCGTACTGTGTGACGTCACATCCTGCACGGGACTAAAGGCGAGCTGCTGCTGGATGTCGTCTGGCACCCGATACGGCCCATCATCGCTAGCATCAGTGCAGGTGAGGAAATATTGGGTGGCAAAAATGGATGTCCGCTGCTGGACAAAAGCCTCTTCCGAGAATTTTTACAACAACCGGTTCTGCGCTGCCCGCATACAGGCACTAACCACGACCTTCACCAGATGATCGGTCCACCTAGTGCAGAGATGGCGAACCAATGGCACGCGTGCCATTGATGGCACGCGCCACAATATTTATGGCACGCCACCAATAAAAAAATCACTATAAAATTAAACAGTAATTTATGTGTTTTTAGTTAGTAATAATGGCTAACGTATTTGCCTTCATCAGTTAGTGCCACTGTAGTGTAGAGTAATATCTGTCACTCGCCAATGGCGCCACTTATACGAAACCCCTCATTAGGCGTTACTTTTTGATGGCACGTCTATGACTACAGCAAACATTTTTTTAGAAAAGTGGCGCGTTAAAACGTTAAGGTTCGCCATCCCTGACCTAGTGGGAAGCCTGCCCACCCTACGTCTTCCGGCCCGTGATCGTCACGCACTTTTCTGTCCCAAATATAGCTTGCCTCACTACCACTTTGGGTCTAAATTCTCTTCTCTATCGTTTCGCTCTTAGCAGCTGTCGTGATAACGTGATAACGATGATAGAGGCGGCCAGCAGGCGTTTGCTTCTCCCGCAATGAGGGCTATCGTTTTAGCGCTCACCAGTTGGCGCCACTGTAGAGTAAGGTCCTGTCACTTGCTAGTAGCGAAGACAGTGGCGCCGACTGGTGAGCGCTAAAGTGGTAGGAGGACTATCGCATTTTCACACATCAAGATGGCGCCACTGTAGAGTAAGGTCCTGTAAATCGCCAGGGGTGCCAACTGTTAAGTATAAAAACGATAGCCCTCATTGCTTACTGTTTGTCGACGGTAATAAGATATACCTCTTTTTTGCGACCATTTTAATGTTGAATCTCAAGGCTCTCGAGTCAAAGTTCAACATTAACCAAATATACAAACTCATTCAAGTTAATACCTGTCATTGGTTATTTGAACCAACAGCTGTTCTTCGTTCATTCGTCAAAGGTTCTTGAACTCAAAATTTTACTTGCAGGCGTAGTGTCAATATGGGCTCAGAACCAAGTGGAGAACTGGTCGGCCTTCGCGCCAGACTTCAAGGAGCTGGACGAGAATGTGGAGTACGAGGAACGCGAGAGCGAGTTCGACGTGGAAGACGAGGATCGCTCCGTCGACCAGGCTGGCGAGACGCATGACGATGAGGAATTAGACGTGAGTCTCTACTTGTTAAATTCATTAAACCAACTCCTTTTACCCATGATAGGTAAGCTCTTGATGGAACGGTGATGACCAAAACGTCGCTAGACCAGGCCGAAGAGACGCATGACGATGAGGAATCGGACGTAAGCCTCATACTATTTGTTAAATTAATTATTTACGAACTTCTTTTCAACGGTCATGACCAATACATCACTATAGCACCTGTTGCTATTACGACGTGGAGGTCGAGGATCGCTGGGCTCCAGACGGAGCCCAGGCTGGAGAGACGCATGATGACGAAGTAAGTCGCATGCTACTTGCTAAATTAATCGCTAATTATACGCACAACAAGAAGGCTTTTGATCTGATTTCACCTGATGGAATAGTGATAATCAAGGTAATGGTGGAAACGAATTTCACCCGGAATCATCGACCATAGGGGAACTGGCTATCATACCTACTTAAAACTACCGAAACGTAACGATGCTGTGATAGGTGGATGATAGTTATTCAGGCAGACTTAAAGCAAGCCCTTGTTCGTTCGTTTCAGCCGAATGATGTCCACTGCTGGACAAAGGCCTTATCACCAATAAATTTTAGCAGAAAATACTCCGATTGGGAATCGTACCAAAGACCATTGGGTTTAAAACAAATGATCTGAAGACCACAGAAGTGGTCAACTTAAAGCTCAATTCATGTGTCTGTGGCGGCCATCCGCCACATTCCTAACTTGGACCACCGCCTTAGATTTTGGAGCGATCCGCTTCCGCCTATGAAATTGGGCCAGCCCCGACCTGACGGAACGTGAACGAATCGTTGGCGCATGCGTGCTGTGGCCATCACAATACGTCTGCGTCACTCGCACACCCGTGAAGACGTATGCTGCCGTCTCGCTTCAACGCCGGTCACCGATCTCCGCTCACTCATCGCCGTTGAAGATATTTGAAATATGTCGTCGTGACACTGCTTCCGCGATCGCTTTGCTCTCAACATTTAAATAATTTTACTGCTATAATTGTATCCTAATCAATCCCTTGCTATTCCTGTTGTTAAATATAATTTCCAATCCGCTAATAATATTCTTCCTCTCACCGTGATCTTCTTACCTTCATTTCCTGCCTCGAACTGCTCGACAATAATCTTAACGATTAAGAATCGGAATAGGATTCCGAGTAAAACATATGGTGGGTTGTTGGCAAATAACCCCCATATGTCATCTAGCTATGAAACCCAAATAGACCACGGAAGCATCTCGACTGAATCGTTTTAAACTTGCTTTGCAGGTGGACGTGACGACGTGCGAGCCGGTGGCGGCGTTCTGCAGCTCGGACGAGGAGGGCGAGGACGAGAACGTGCTGTCCTTCCTGCCCATCGCGCCCGAGATCGAGGACCCGGAGGTAACCGCTGCGACGACGCGTAATCTCACAACTGTTGCCAAGACTTCAATCTCAGCCACAGGACGTCCACTGCTGAACATAGACCTCCCCCAATTATTTCCACATTTATTGTACACTAGCTTTCCGCCCGCGGCTTCGCCCGCGTGAAATTTTGTCTGTCACAGAAAAACTGTATCGCGCGCGTCCCTGTTTCAAAAACCGGGATAAAAACTATCCTTTGTCCTCTCCCGGGACTTTATCTCTATGCCAAATTTCATCAAAATCGGTTCAGTGGTTTAGGCGTGAAAGAGAGACAGACAGACATACAGAGTTACTTTCGCATTTATAATATTAGTATAGATACGCATTGTACAGTACCAATGCGACCCTTGATCCGTTAAACTAAGACGAAGTGCGTAAGACAAAACCAAGCATTTTGCTGGTCTTTTTACATACACCATCACTTGGTTGATAGCGACCTGGGGCCGTAGTGTGTGTTTTTCTTTTTAATGATTGCGTTAAAAAAAAATAGGTATGAAGATTTTTCACGCAGTCGATATCGAATGCGTTTGATGTAAACTCACACTACGCCCTCTGTATCCAGCGTCTTCCGGCTACCTTTATGAGGCCGTCGGTCCATCTTATGGGTGGACGTCCCACCCTGCGTCTTCCGGTATGTGAGCTCCAATCCAAAACCTTGCTGCCCCATCAGTCGTCAGTTCTGCGTACTATGTGCCCTAGCCATTGCCAGTTCAGCTTGCTGATCCGTTGGGTAGTTGGTCCATCTGTTGCAGAATAATACTTTATCGTTTATAAACTACCTATATTGTGTATGCATATACAATATAGGTAGTTTATAAACGCATATGCACTCACTTTTAGACACGATAGAAGTTAGAAAAATACTCACATGTGCTAAGTGCTAATTCTGTTGCGATTCTTATCATTTCTTATTTGCATCGATGTCACGTCGCGCTGAATACTAGCACCGTATCCACTTGCAATAAGGGCTATCTTTCAACAAAAATCTAATCTCCCTACCCCAGGACGGCTGGGCGGCGACGCAGGAGTCGGTGACGCCGACAGAGACGCCGGCGGCGCTGGAGCCGGCCGCCAAGCGCAAGTGCAAGACCTACGACATCTCGCTCAAGATCGCGCCCGGTGAGACACACGCTACTTCTAGCGAACTTTCTTTATCATCATCATCATCATTTCAGCAATAGGACGTCCACTGCTGAACATAGGCCCCAATGACCGGTTGGTACCTGCGTCAAGCGCCTTCCTGCTACATTTATGAGGTCGAGTCGAGGTTCGTCGGTCCACCTTGCGGTCGTGGCGTGACGTGGCCACTCCAGAACCTTGCTGCCCAAAAGCCAGTTCTGCGTACTTTGTGCCCTGCCCATTGCCACTTCAGCTTGCTGATTCGTCGGGTAGTTTTCTTTATACATGGTTTTTTTATACTTGACTAAACAAGGATTGATTTTACTGCTCAAATGCCACAACTTTTCGCTAGTGACCGAAGTTCAACTATTGAAAAAAATACCTTTCCACACAAAATTGACATAAGGACGTTATTTTTTAGAGAATTTTATGTTGGTCCTTTAACCTTTAGCTACTGAGGTGGATTTAATTTCACGTAAATACTGACGTGGGGGCCTGAGAGGCCCGTACATATGTGTGCTTATATTTAAAAATATATAATCTTTTTAGAGTTTTATGTTTAATAATTATTAATAGTGGTTATATTTAAATACAATAAAACGATTTTTATGTAAATTATTTGTTAATAAGTACGTATTATTTCAATATTTAAAAAACGTGTAGTATTTTTGGCAAAAATCTCATGAAATCATGATTTACAAAGTTATTATGAAAAATATTCATAAATTCAACAAATCAACTTAGAATCTTAATTTTCAATAGTCTTTTTAGCTAATGATAAATCAGTAATCCTAATATGAAATAGGGGGAAAAAAATTACACACATCAAATAGTGCGAACTAAACACAGTCTGGATAAACTTGCTTTGCTCAGTTAAGGAAGCCATACATGTTTTTAAAATGAATATTTCATTTGAATCTTCAAAATACATGTATGGCACTTGGTTTCATCGTTTAAATCTTGATAGACAGGTACAGGCTTATCATTTCCTAGCATACGTGCCAAAAACTACTGTTCTTCTATTTTTCGTTAAATGCTGGTTATTTTTACTTACGAGATACCCCTTTCTCTCGGACGGCGTATTGTGGGCTCCATATTATAGATTTTTTCAAATTATTTCAAGAAAAGACGACAACTAAATGAAAACTATAGACAAAAAAAGTTACGCCAATACTGAGGTGGGGGCCGGAGAGGCCCACAAGAAACTTTAAAATTAATTTACCTACTGAAATTGCGCGTGCAATCACGTGCACCGTTGTTGACAGCCTCGGCGCAATGAAACTCGAAGGTACTAAAAGATTCGGGTGTGTCGTGCACGTGGGAGAGGAGAAATTCAACAATTTGACTTTTGCAAGGCCTGAGAGGCCCCCACGTCAGTAGTTAAAGGTTAAGAAAAGAAGTTTTATTTGAGTTAGTATAGAATTAACCATTTTTTTGTTTGATCAACTTTCTGAAAACATCCTCTAATAATATTTCCACTTTCTGCTAAAGACGTTTATTCTCCACGATTGATGTTATTGATAAACCAGTTTTGTCTTATGAATATGTTTGTTTCAGAACAACCCCTATCTTTTGGCGGCAAGAATAAACAGACAGCGGGAAGTAAAAAAGTTGCCGGGAGACCTAGAAAATAATAAACATATTTATAATATTAAGCTGCCTTTTGATTTTCTAAATGACGGCAAGGGGAGATCAAATCATACACAAATCTGTAGAAGAAAACATTTATTCTGCAAAAAGAAATCATATCGTCGATCTTTAATAAAATTCGTATCTAGAGTATACAGTAAGTACTTATCATCTGTATATAAATAAATCTCACTTAACAGAACCAAAATAATAATACATCGTTTATTCGAGACCAAAAAGACTCATAATAATATTACTCTTATTAGTCGGATCCCTAACTTTTACACATACTATAATACATTGCGTACACCTACAGGCGGCGATAGCGCGCCGTTGTCGTATAAATAAAATTCATCTATCGCGAGTTATTTACAATCGCCCGAGCGACGCGACATTGCCGCGACGCCTAGAGAGCGGAAGCTTTATACGAGGAGCTCCTTGGGGACGAGCAACATACCCGGCGATTACGATACGATTACGTCGAAAACGGCAATCTACGACAGACTCGGGAACGTCATCGCCCGGAGGTGCCCTTGTTATGATTACGCATTATGAACAGGTTGCAGCAACATTGACGCTCGTATTTGCCGGCAACGAATTTTCAAATGTTGTTCGTCCTCAAGGACCTATTTAGCTCTCGATGTCGTGCATCGATCTAATAATACATTGCACCCCTAATCCTCGTCGCGAGGACTACTCTACGACTCAAAACTTTCCGTTCCAATTTTACAAAAAGGCAAACAGGTTTCAGTCACTATAAATTAAAATTTCTATAAAATGTGATTATGCGATTTCATAAAATAATATCATTATGTGCACATTTCATTACAGCATTTATAATATACATAGATCAATTTCTATAAAAATAATTGTCGTTTGCCTTTCTATTCAACTAGATTGGAGTAGGTTACGGCTGGCGGCTGACCGAATAAATTCAATACTCCGTGTGTCACGGCTGCGGAAATCGGGCAAACGATTTCCTCCAGTGAGTTGGAAGACAACGTGGCAAAGGTTTCGTTTAAAAACTGAGGCACTTATCACTTGAACTGTCAAATATCTGTGAGGTAAGCTTTCACGAGCTCTCTTGCTCTTGGTTAAAGGTCACCGACCAAACGTCATTTTGGCGGACCGATATCATAACAACACGTCGAAAAGTCCGGTACACGTGAACCGTTTTTGTGAAAATAGAAACAGCGTATCGTTCAAACGCGGTCAGTCGCCAGTTACACTCACTTCTCCCGGTTACGCGTCGAGGTCGTCGTCCTCTCGCTGGCTGGAGAAGTAGCTGACGAGGCCCCCGAACACGCTGCCTTCGTCGCGCGGGGGCCCGGCGGGGGGCCCGGCGCGCGGGGGCCCCTCGGGGTCCAGCTCCGTCTTGATGGCGCGCGGGGGCCCGCCGGCCGCGGGGGCCACCGCCGGAGCGAACACCGGCGGCCGGCCCGGCGGGGGCAGGCCCGCTGCGTTGCCTTGCTGCGCAATTAAAATGCAAATAAATACACCGAACGAATTGTCTTAGTAGGCGCACACCGTTGATTTTTAGCTGGCCGATAGTTGTGCCCGATTTTAATTTGTATGAAGAATCGGCCAAATCGAATCGGCGTAGTGTGCGCACTCCCATACATGCCCATACTGATCAACTGCCCGACTAAACTATCGGCCGACGAAAAATCAACGGTGTGCGCCTACTCTTACTCGTACCTATATTGACGAAGGGACTAAATCTAGAAGTCTATGGTAACACTCCCAGGAATTTTATTTTCATAGGGGTCACTTAAAAATTAGAGATTGATGGTTAAAACGGGCATTCTAAAAAATATTTTAACAATTGAAACTAAGCAAAGGCAAACTAAGGAATGAATGAGGACATACTGAAAGCAAGCGAAATTCATTTATGTATTTTATTTTATTTCGGAAACCAAACAGTTGTACAATTCAGATATGTACCGAATATGTAATATTTACCGAATAAAGACTGAGTACAAAAACATAATTTAAGCGACAGCGCACACTGGGCGACACACGCGCGCGCGATCGCGTCTAATCGTCGCGATTGTCGCCCAGTGTGCGCAGTCGCTAAATGAAAATAAAGTTTACCTCAAGCGGTGACGGTGTGGCACGTGGCTCTGGTGGAGACCCGCTTTCGGGCCGGCTGGGCGGGCTCGCCGCGGGCCCCGGGCCCGGCGCAGGGCCCGCCACGCTCGGCGTCAGGGGCAGCCCCGGCGACGCGTGCGGGCCGGGCGACTGTCGCGGCCCCAAGGGCAGTCCGGGGTGACCCGGCCCTGGGGGTAAACCGGGACCAGGCGATTGCGGCGGGCGAAGCGGGTGGCCCGGATGACCGGCTCCTGGAGGTAAGCCCGGGCCCGGCGATCGCGAGGGGCCAAGAGGATGTCCCGGAGGAAGACCCGGACCCGGCGATCGTTTTGGGCCGAGTGGATGTCCAGGATGACCCGGGCCCGGCGACTGCGTCGGACCTAGGGGATGTCCCATTTGACCCGGTCCCGGGGGAAGGCCCGGGCCCGGTGATTGCCTCGGTCCGAGTGGATGCCCCGGATGACCTGGTCCCGGGGAATTCGTCGGGCCCAATAGATGTCCCGGATGGCCCGGGCCCGGTGATTGCGTGGGAGCAAGTGGTTGTCCCGGATGGCTCGGGCCCGGTGACTGCGCTGGGCCAAGGTGATGTCCCGGATGACCCGGTCCCGGCGATTGCCTCGGGCCAAGTGGATGACCAGGATGACCGGGGCCTGACGATTGCGTCGGCCCGAGTGGCCTTCCGGGGTGTCCCGCTCCAGGAGGTATGCCTGGGCCTGGCGATTGTCTCGGGCCTAACGGATGTCCAGGGTGGCTTGGCCCCGGAGGATGGCCCGGGCCCGGCGATTGCCTAGGACCAAGGTGACTAGGCCCAGGTGGGTGTCCAGACCCAGGGTGGCCGGGGTGTCCGGGTGGCAGACTTGAGCCGGGATGTCCAGGTGGCAGACTTGAGCCGGGATGACCAGGTGGCAAACTTGAGCCGGGATGTCCAGGTGGCAGACTTGAGCCGGGATGTCCAGGTGGCAAACTTGAGCCGGAATGCCCAGGTGGCAAACTTGAGCCGGGATGCCCAGGTGGCAAACTTGAGCCGGGGTGACCGGGTGGCAAGCTGGAACCGGGATGCCCGGGCGGGAGGCTGGAGCCAGGATGACCGGGCTGCAGACTAGATCCGGGGTGTCCAGGTGGCAGATTTGATCCGGGGTGTCCGGGTGGCAGACTAGAGCCAGGATGTCCGGGTGGTAATCTGGAGCCGGGATGTCCGGGTGGCAGACTCGATCCAGGATGTCCAGATGGCAGGCTGGAGCCGGGATGTCCGGGCGGTAAGCCAGAACCAGGGTGTCCGGGTGGCAAACTTGAGCCGGGGTGTCCTTGTGGCAAGTTTGAACCGGGATGTCCGGGAGGTAAGCTTGATCCGGGATGTCTGGGTGGCAGCCCGGAGCCAGGATGTCCGGGGGGCATGCCCGAGCCCGCAGAAGTGGGGGGATATGAGGGGTGGGAGAAGGGAGGGCTGCCCCGCGCTTGACCCGGCCTCTGCATTGATTGCGACGGTCCGTGACCTATGGAGAGATAAAAATAAAATTAGTTCCTAAAAATGATAAAACCTTAAAATAGGTATCATGCAAATTACACTGACATGACATTTTCATATCAGAACTTGCAGCTTCCTTTTTTGATTACTCATTTTTAAAGGTTTTTATTCCGGTTTGTTGCAAAAATACTTATTGACTTTCGTTCGTTCGTTTCAGCCAAATGACGTCCACTGCTAGACAAAGGCCTCCCCCAAGGTTTTCCACAATGCACGGTCCTGCGCTGCCTCAACTGCATCAACTTTACACCTTTATTTATTTATTTATTTTATTTATTTATTTATTAGGTCTACCAACATTGTTACATAACAACATGTATACTTAAAAATAACAATTATGAACAAAGTTACAATGCAACAACAATTATAGGCTGACACAACATGCAATATAGATTCAATGTAGTTTGTTCCGAACCGTTCCATGCACACATAAAAGACATTTAATCATATCAATAATAGTAGAATTTTGATTTAAACATGACTTATCTTATAAGTAGGTACCTACTTACTTACTACAAATGCAAATTATGTTTCATTTACTAAAAGAAAAAACGGTTACCATAGCTCAATCTGACACAAACAGTTGAGACGCCACAAAGGAGTATAGTTTCCTTTTATACTGTGTTTGGGAGTAGTGCAGGAGATCACTTTCGGTGGCACCAGTGGCACCTTTCAAAAACTGAGATAATCTATCATAATATAGTTTTCCCCTGGGTCTAAAACTAGGCATAAGTGAATAAATATGTCATACCAGGCGGCGGCGCGCGCATATGCGGCGGCAGATACGGCGGCGGTCTCTCGGGCATATAGTGCGGGCCGGGGTGGCGCGGCGCGTCGGGCGCGTAGGGCCCGTAGGGGCCGTAGTGCGGCGCATACGGGCCCAGCGGGTAGCGCGGCCGCCGGTCCTGAAAATAATAGCACGGTTACATCATCATTGTTTGTGCCTTGCTTTTCTCTCTAGTTTTCTTGCCTTGTCTCCTAAATAGTTTTATATCGTGCACTTAGCCAGAAGGATATCTTAGACTTGTCATGCTCACTAAAATGTCTCTGGGGTAGTGGCGTGTGAGGCGGGTCGTTACATTCCCTATAATATGGTCGAGTGAAGCGATGGCTGGTTCACACGTCATGTCTGTGAACAGGCGCTGTCTTCGGGGACTGGTCAAGGAAAGATATACCTGACATAAAATATATGTATCAAAACGCAACAATTTAACCTAGAAATTAGCACGGCACTAAAGAAATATATTCAAAACTGCCACGCGGTCTCGTGCTAGATGGGCGTCTTAAAGGCCACCTTCTATCAACGGGAGCGCGTGGTAAGTAACTTGCTTCTGAATGTATGTAACTTCCTACTTTTTTATATTTTTAAACCGGCAGACAGTGGTGACTGAGTTTGTTGCGGCGCTTCTTCTCAGCACTTGCCAAATGTTTGTCTCGAAGCGCTGGTAGGGCAAAAAAAGAATGAGACATGTATAGGCTCCTTAAGAGCATTTGACGATTTGCAAGAACTAATTTAATTAGTCTAAACAAATAAAGATAATTTTGATTTTGATTCAGTCAGTGGACGTCCAGTGCTGGACAAAGGCGTCCCCCAACGCCCCAACGACCGGTCTTTTTTTTAAATGCTTGCGCATACCCACTGGTCGATGACAGTGGGTTATGTAGGACTCTCCCCGCCTACCCACTAAAACCAGACGGTTTCCACCAGAGCCCAAAGAAACGGAGCCGCGAGTTATTGTCCTAGTTGGGACATTCGTCCGCAGCTCCGAACGACCGGTCTTGCGCTGCCCTCATCCAACCTGGAAGTAGGAGTTTTCTGCCTCGACAGTTCTACGAGCTATGTGAACTTTTGCAGCTACTACTTATTGAATGGTGGCAACTGGAAATAAAAACGAAGCATCCAGTGACAGCTTGTATATGTCACCGTAAAATTGTGAATTCCGTCAGATTATAATCTGACGTAGTTAAATTACAATCCAACCTAACCTAACCCACTGTTTACAATCTAACGCGTTTTATTATAAACTGACAGAGTTCACAATTTCACGTTGACATATACAATATAAAACATAGGTCTTACGCAGCTTCAAAAACATAAAAGACATGGCACAGGCTGGGTTGCACTACCGTAACCGGTGTATTTTGTATGGAGATTGACAGAAATTAAAGTTAGACGATGCAATCCAGCCTGACAATACAATGGAACAACAACAATACCTTGTTCTCCGTGTGCTTGATCTTGGGGTGTCTCGGGGCTTCGTCGCGCGGCGACGGCGGCCGCGGGGACGGCGACGTGGCCGGCGAACGATACTCTGGTTCCGTCTTCACTTCGGCCTGAGCAATAAAGGCGATGACGTCACAATTTAAGGTATACTTATCAATTTCAAGCAAAGTTGCTTGAAATTGATATAAAGTACTTCGTTCGTTTCAGCCGAATGACGTTCGAAAAAAAAACAAATTTCTGGACAAAGTTCTCCCCCAAGGATTTTCTCAAATATCGGTCCTGCGCCGCCTGTATCCAGGCACCTCCCGCAATCTTCACCAGATCGTCGGTCCTCCTAGCTTCAAGCAACTAAAAATGATAGATGAATGAAACTATACGTGTTTGACGTAATTCGTCTTTAATATCGTCATGCAGGCCCAAATGGCCCCCACTCGCATTTATTTTATTTTTTTATTTTATTTATTTATTAGGTCTACCAACATTGTTACATAACAACATGTACACTTAAAAATGACAATTATGAACAAAGTCCCATTTAGTCCCATTCACAAATGGTTAATGTTTTAAATTAAATGTATGAACAGTTTCCTGTAACATACCTTGATCTTTATCGGCGGCTCGCCCTCTGGCAGACCAGACGGGCCTGGCGGGCCCGAGGGTCCAGGAGCAGCTGTCAGACCAAGCGGGCCCGAAGAACCGGGCGGAGCCGTTAATCCCAGAGGGCCTGACGGGCCCGGCGGGCCAGACGGGCCGGGTGCGGGTTGGCCAGACGGGCCAGGCGGCGTGCGCGGACGGTAGGCCGGGTGTAGCTGGTGGCGGTAGTCCGGTAGCCTGTAGCCGGGCGGCGCGGCGCGCATATGTGGCGGATAGTAGCCCTGAGGGTATTGGCCTCGAGGCGGGCCCGCGTTTGGATGATTGAGGCCTAAATGGTGGAGCGGGTACATAGGATGGTTTTGCGGACCCCGCGGCCCGTACGGCGAGTTGCCGCCCGGGGGGTATAGCATGTGGCCTCTGCAAATAGAAATACGTAGTCGTGATTAAGGACACACTTGGTATGAAGTTCGAATTGCCAATTTTGTAACAAGTTTATAAAGAGCACAATTATTCCTGTAACTCAACGCTTATTACAACGACGACAATGCTTATTACAAAAGTAAATGTTTATTTGGATGCAAATTTTTAGGTTTTACACCTATGAATTAAATAGATAAATTATTTTACACAACAAATACCAAAGTACTCTAACAATCCATATTATTTATCATTAAATTTCGTAAAACAACATTAAATTTAAATCTAAAAGAAACACAAACGATAAATGATACAGAAATTGTATTATTTTTTTTAGATAGGGACAACCCACTACCCACCACCACCCATGGCCATTCCAACCTTCCGGTTATAGAGAAATTGTATTAAATTATCTTAAGCACTTGCCTGTACTGCTGGTTGATCATGTGCGGCATACGCGTGATGATGCTAGGCTCCTCCGCCACCGGCTTGAACGGCTGCGGCGACCCCGCCACCGACAACGTCCCTAAAACATCAATACTTTGTTTATCTACTACATAGTCGATTAAGGCCCGATTCGACCAAACTTTGATCCGAGAATAACTCTTGGTATAACCAGGCCTGTTCATCTCCGCGAGTTTACATCGAAAACAAAACACGCACGATGGCCCACCTACAGGATACTATTCGACAAGGCGTCACATACGAGCGAACATTGACTCACGCACGCTTATTCTTGTGTATGACGGAAGAAAATAAAGAAAATGGTGTAGTAAATACTGTGCAGTATTTAACTGCCTAAATAATAATAAAAACACAGAATGTACTTTTTTAAGTTGCCTCAAGACACTGAGAGGTAAATAAGTAGTTAATATTATAATCATGTATTTCCTCCGCCATTTTCCGCAGTTTGGCACCTCACGTCACATCATTTTACCGAAGTCAGCCCTATAGCTTCGGCGCAGTGCCGATCACTGACGTTAGTCAACAAAATGGTGCTTGACTCTTGAGACAGGCTAAATTACACCATATTGTTAATGACATTGAGCATACATTTTTTAAATACCTTCGCGAAGTAAAACTTCTGTACGTAGTACTTATTATTATTCTGTGGTATAACTGACACATTGACAGTATCAGTATGGGAAATATCTCAACATGTCGAATAAATGACTATTTATTCTGAGATTAATATTTACTGGTCGATGGTCGAATCCACCCTAAATCACACATGATCTGTTATTGATATACTGAAAAAAGAACACAGTTCTCATAATAAATGCTAAAGCCTGGTCCGTGAGCACGTAGAATCCCGTCCAATGACCCCAAGCTACCCATCCTTATCGCTCGCTATGTTGCTGTCGCGCTCGCACACTCACTGCGGGCGCGCGTCGCACAGTCGCGACAGCATTATAAAATAATTACGCGCGAGCGATAAGGATGGGTAGCTTGGGGTCATTGGACGGGATTCTACGTGCTCACGGACCAGGCTTTAGAAGTGTTAGGGCTTTAAAACAATATCAAACAAGTCAAGTAGTAAGTCAAGGTAATACAAGTCATTCATACCTTCTCGTAGTCCTTGTGGTGGCCCGTCGCGTCTGTCCTCGCCGGTCAACACGCCTCGCAACTCGGCGCGAACCTGTGTGCAAAGCAAACGATTATAAATCAATAAAATACTAAGTCAAATCTTAGGCCCTTTTCATGGTGAATCTCTAGTGCAGGGTTTCCCAATATTTTTTTTGCCAAGGAACCCTAATTGATTATACTTTTCCTAGCGGAACCCTACTTTGATAAATGGAAATTTAAATGAAAAACAATAAAGTTTTTATGCAACGAAACGTGGGATAATATTTTTTACGGAACCCTTGCTACCTTTCCACGGAACCCCAGGGTTCCGCGGACCACCTTTCGGGAACCGCTGCTCTAGTGTGTAGCATGGTTTATAGCGTGTTGTTCACACAAAGTTTGTATTTACAGGATCGTTTTAATGGATATGTGGAAGTAATGTTCACAATTCACATACTGCATTGAATAGAGTCTTGTGTGTGTCAAAAACGTATCATCATTTCAGTCACAGAACGTCCACTGCTGAACATATGCCTCCCTTAATAATTTCCAGATTGACCAGTTGCTAGCAGCCTGCATCCAGCGCCTACGCTACCTTTATGAGATTGTCCACTTTTTTCCAGGGAAAAATGCATTGAACCGCATACCCATCTAGCCGGGACAGGGTAGATTATATGGGGCTCACCAAACTAACCACCATATCGAACGTTTACGATAAAAAACCGGCCAAGAGCGAGTCGGACTCGCGCACCGAGGGTTCCGTACCATTGTTTTATGAAATTAAAATTATTATGTTTTATTTAAGTTATTAGTATGAAAGATTAAGCGGTAATAAGCGGTTTACGATTTACGAGGTATTAAAAAAAAACTACTTACTATATCTCGTTCAAAACAATTTTCGTTGGTAGTTTTTATAGTAATGTACATCATATGTTATTTTAGATTTTTCATTTTGTTATTTTAGAAGTTAGAGGGGGGGGGGGCAACTTTTTCCACTTTGGAAGCGTCTGTCACGCAAACTATTCGGTTTAGAAAAAAAATATTTTAGAAACCTCGATATCATTTTTGAAGACCTATCCATAGATACCCCACACGTATGTTTGATGAAAAAAATTTTTTTGAGTTTCAGTTCTAAGTATGGGGAGCCCCCAATATTTATTATTATTTTTTTATTTTTGCATCAAAATCTTAATGCGGTTCACAGAATACATCTACTTACTAAGTTTCAATAGTATAGCCACAGAATAATAATAAGTACTACGTACAGAAGTTTTACTTCGCGAAGGTATTTAAAAAAATGTATGCTCAATGTCATTAACAATATGGTGTAATTTAGCCTGTCTCAAGAGTCAAGAGGTAAAGTAAACCTTGATGATATAAATGACACACTCTCACAGGTTTTGCATTGGTTTACTGTTAACAACTTATTGTTAAATGCAAACAAAACTAAGTGCATTAAATTTACCTTACCTAATGTGAGGCAGGTTCCCACACAATTGATGGTGAAGAATGAACCATTAAATAGCATAAGTTCCACAACATTCTTGGGAATCACTTTAGACTCTAAACTTCAGTGGGGTCCTCATATTGAAACCTTGTCAGCAAGGCTCAGTTCAGCTGCTTTTGCAGTGAGAAAGATAAGGCAATTAACTGACATTGAAACGGCAAGGCTAGTTTATTTTAGCTATTTTCATAGTATAATGTCATACGGCATATTGTTGTGGGGCTCAGCTGCGGACATTGAAACTGTGTTCGTTCTGCAGAAGAGAGCAGTGCGGGCCATTTATAACCTTGGACCCCGATTTTCCTTGAGAGAATTCTTTAAGGAGATTAATATACTGACAGTAGCTTCACAGTTCATTTATGAAAACCTTTTATATGTTCGCAAAAATATAGAGCAATTTACTAGAAAGAGTGATTTACACAAGTTCAATACAAGAAACAAAAATAAACTTGCCGTTCCAAATTTCAGACTGCACAAGATTGGTAATTCATTTATGGGGAAATGTATTAAACTTTTCAATAAATTACCACAAACTGTTGTAGAATTGCCCATTCATAAATTTAAAGCACATATCAAAAGCACCTTAATGAAAAAGGGCTACTATAAAGTTGATGATTATNGCTTGTTCTAAGTCCGCCTGGCTAGCTACCACCATCTTACCTAAGTCTGTCGCCATAACAAAAATGTTCACAGCATTATTGTGTTCCGGCAGTAAGAGGTAAGATAGCCAGTTCCTCCGTGGTTGAGGATTCCGGGTGAAGCTCGCTTCCACCTTCGGCCTGATCGTCACTTACCATCAGGTGAGATACAGGCCAAGAGCTTCCTCGTTGTGGATAAAAAAAAAAAAAAAAAAAAAATGATGTGACGTGAGGTGCCAAACTGCGGAAAATGGCGAAGGAAATACATGATTTAGCATGAATTATCATGAATAATATTAGCTACTTATTTACCTCTCAGTGTCTTGAGGCAACTTAAAAAAGCACATTCTGTGTTTTTATTATTATTTAGGCAGTTAAATACTGCACAGTATTTAGTACAGCATTTTCTTTATTTTCTTCCATCATACACAAGAATACGCGTGCGTGAGTCAATGTTCGCTCGTATGTGAGACCTTGTCGAATATCCTGTAGGTGGGTCATCATGCGTGTTTTGTTTTCGATGTAAACTCGCGGAGATGAACAGGCCTGGTATAGCTCTTATAGTTTCGGAAAAAAATGGCTGTGACATACGGACGGACAGACGGACGGACGGACGGACAGACAGACAGACATGACGAATCTATAAGGGTTCCGTTTTTTGCCATTTGGCTACGGAACCCTAAAAAGGACCGTTGTGTGAATGCGCACTTACCTGCAGCCGTGGTGCATCAGGGAACCTATGGTGCGGCTGGTGCGGGAGCGGCGGCTGGTGCGGCAGCGGGTGCGGCGCGGGATAGGGCCCGCGCACCGGGATATTGAAGCCGCCGCCCATACCGAACTCAGACTTCTCTTTCTTGATGCGCTTGCTCTCCTGTTGGAGGGAAAATTAACGTATAAAATCACGTGCAATAATCATCATCACTTCAGCCATAGGACGTCCACTGCTAAACATAGGCCTCCCTCATAGATTGCTACAATGGCCGGTTGGTGGCGGCCTGCATCCAGCGCCTTCCTGCGACCTTTATGAGGTCGTCGGTCCACCTTGCGACGTCCCACGCTGCACTTTCCGGTACGAGGCCTCGACTCCAAAACCTTGCTGCCCCATCGGCCGTCAGTTCTGCGTACTATGTGCCCTGCCCATTGCCACTTCAGCTTGCTAATCCGGCGGGCTACGTTAGCGACTTTAGTTCGTTTACGGATCTCCTCATTTCTGATTTGATTACGAGTGAAACACCAATGAACGTGCAATCATGCTATACATTATATCATATTGTAATTTTAACCAAATTACATCCACTGTAAGAAGTACTGCTATAGGCTATCGTCGCTTTAAATTATGCTTTTTAAGTTTATAATCCAAGTTATTAATCGACCTTCTTTTGTTAGTTCTCGGTACTGAAAAGGTTCGAGAATAATCCAAAATAAGTGTTTCTGTTTACCTGTAACGCCAACCGCGCCTGCCGCTTCTCCTCGCGCTCCTTGGCCTTCTGTTCTTTAAGCTTCTCCTTCTCTTCTTTCTTCTGCAGACGCTCCAGCCGCCGCGCTTCCTTCTCCGCGTGAAGTGTATGGGCATGGTACGTCATCATCATCATCATCATCAACAGCCCTTTACAGTCCACTGCTGGACTATGAGCCTCCTCCAGTAAAGTGGAGGGTTTTGCCATAATCCCCACGCTTGGCAGGCGGATTGGAGATCGCAGTTTATAAGATTGATGTTTTTCAGAGAGCGCTGCTGCCCGTTCTCTGGTTGATGTGTGGTCCCTAAGTCGCCTCTTACGCCACCCGCGGGAAGAGTAGGGGTTGGTGACAAATGTATTCTACTCTGCCGTCACCACACGGCGTACGTAGCTTTCAAAAAACGCCACAAGTGTTTACCTCATACCTCAGCCTCTATTGTCCCTTTTCACACGTCCCGGTTGCCGGCTAACCGGCGCCGGGTATCCGGTGGTGAAGTGTATGGGCATCTTATCTTATCTTATCTTATTTAGGGCCGCGCATGAGCGCAGTGCACGTCGACCCATTGGGATCTTTTGTGCTTCCCTATACCTATCCATATAGTGGATTAAGAGCTTGGGTGAGAAGGACCTATATTCTTCTGGTGTCGGATAAGCCGACCCCAGGAGACCCATTCTAGTTCTAGCTAGCGCGTCACATTCGCACAGTAGGTGTTTCATGGACTCCGCATGTTCTCCACATGCTCGACAGCTGTCGTCCGTAGTTAGGCCCATTTTGTGGAGCATGCGGTTTGTAGTGTAGTGTCCTGTCAGTGCACCCGTGATCACTCGGGCTTGCCTTCTGTTTCCATTGAGTATGAGCTTTTCCCATGATCTTGTGTTTCCAACTAGGAATAGTTGTAGTGTATGGGCATGGTACGTAGCTTTCACAAACGCCACAAGTGTTTACCTGTAACGCCAACCGCGCCTGCCGCTTCTCCTCGCGCTCCTTGGCCTTCTGTTCTTTAAGCTTCTCCTTCTCTTCTTTCTTCTGCAGCCGCTCGAGCCGCCGCGCTTCTTTCTCCGCTTGCTTCGCTTCTCTCTCCTGACGCTTCTTCTCACGTTCGATCTAAATAATATAATATAAATAATAATTTGTAATATAATTTTGACATGATAGTTTTGTAAGCATTAAATTTAAATTCTAAAAATTGACATTGAATTATTATGTTATGTAACTATTAATTTTTGTTTGTATCTTTATATGGGACTAATAATTTGTATGCCACTCATAAGCCAAACATAGAGCTCTACCCATTATTATGTACCACCTAAATTCTACATTTACCTATGTTTTACAAATAAATTATTTGATTTGATTTGATAAAACACGGTGTTTTTGGAGTTTGATATTTACAGAAAATGTTATACATATTACGTTCACTTCCTCACTTTCATATGTCAGAATACATTTATACGTTCTGTGTTGACATAAATGAGACTGAATGTTAAGAAGACACATAATAACAATGGAAGGTTATTGTTACTTACTTGATTAGGTCGTAATGTACCGTCAGCTTTCAGGTCTGAAACATTAAAAAAAAATATTCACATTGTTATTATTTTCACGGCATATGGCAGCATTTATTGTCTGTTAGTGATATCCCACCAAAAACATTCTGTAAAAAACTGGCCAAGTCTATGGTTCCTTACTGCGATTTCTTTATTATTATAGTTAATGTTGTGTGACTTGGCCGTTGAACAATCTTTATGGGAGCGGGACAGAAGCGGCGCGTTGAAAGCGGTTTTCGAATATTTAATTTTTTGACAACTGCCCGCGTTGCAACTGCTTTGAAACTGCGCTGCCTTCAGTGTGCCTACTGTTGCGCTGCAACTGACCCGCACTGCTTCTGACCCGCGTTTGGTGTGTGGAAGCCTTAATACTTTAACATGCATTAAGGACTTATTAAATAAATAAAGGCTGACACTGTATAGGTTTGTTGTCGACACGACAAGAAGAAGAACAAAGAAAATTATGAACTGATTTTAAAGCATTTCTATAAGACGTGTACCTTTAATTTTAACGCCGACGAGCTTGGCCAGCGCGTCGTCTGGGTCGGGGGCGGGCCCCGCCGACTTCCGCGCCCCCCGCGCGCCGCGGGAGCCCCGGCCCCCGCGGCCCCCTCGACCGCGGCCCCGCCCACTACTGCTCGCCGCTGCTGCTGCGCCTAGTTGCGTAGTTACAATTAATGCTAGTGTTCAAACTTAATGTTGGGTTATAGGCTAAGAACTCATGGCGCGATTTTCACCCGCGCCCGCGGCGGTTGCGGGCCCGCAGCTACTGTAGAATGCAGATACTTATGTAAAAACTAATGCACAACTCACAACGCGGTTTTCGCGCGGCCCGATCGGCGGGCGACCATTTTGTACCAGTGACTTAGCACGCAGCGCGATTTAAAATCGAGCCGTGAGTTCTTATGGTGCGTCCAGACTGGGCGAACGGGCTCGCGCAACAAACTCAACATCCTGCTCACTCAAGAACAGAGTGAGCAGGATGACCAGCGTGCCGCGCGAGCCCGTTCGCCCAGTGTGGATGCACCATTAGAATAACCGTGCAAATAACCGCTCCCGTGAGTTTTGAAATAAAACCGCAATTCCACAACCGCCGCAGGCGCGGGTGAAAATCGCGCCGTGAATTCTTATCCTTAGTATTCACCAATTTATAATAATAAAGCCCGATCCGTGAGCACGTAGAATCCCGTCCAATGACCCCAAGCTACCCATCTCTATCGCTCGCGCGTAATTATATTGCTGTCGCGACTGTGGGACGGGCGTCCGCAGTGAGTGTGCGAGCGCGACAACAACATAATTACTCGCGAGCAATAAGGATGGGTAGCTTGGGGTCATTGGACAAAATTCTACGTGCTCCCGGACCAGACTATAATCAAACATCTAAAGCATAAATATTAACTTATTTAATCAACAAAAACATAACTTATCAGTAGGTAATGTACCATGTATTCATCATCATCACCATTTCAGCCTTAAGACGTCCACTGCTGAACATAGGCCTCCTTCAATGATTTCCACAATGGCCGGTTGGTGGCGGCCTGCATCCAGCGCCTTTTTATCATTCGGTACATTGTTTGTTTAACATAAATTTTAATATTAACAGCCAGTATTTATTGAATGAGCGATAAAGAGGGTGGCAAAATGTATCAGATTCCGTACCCCTACTCGCCGCTGAGTAAAAACTGTGTTGCGACCGGTAGTGTTCGTCATAGTTTCATTAGTAAAATTAATGTTCGGTCTTACTATTCACCAATATCTAAAATAACATATGTACTTCTAAATTACGAACCATACCGAAAATACGCTTTGAATACCCAAAAAACTTACTCTATAATACTCGACACCAACTTCTATCGCAAAAATTACTTCTATCCAGGTATATTCATTAAAGTAACTACAAACTATTTTACAACTAGCTATTTTAAAATATTTTTTAAAACTTGCGCCAAATATTATCCGACTCTTCAGTCTTTTCTTTGGCGAGATTCAGTGACAACTTTTCCAGCACAACAACACCAGTTCTCTCGACGAGTTCACTGAGAACTACAATAGAATTTTAGCCAAATTAATTGAAAACCAAAGAGATGTAAGTCAGAGGCGCTGCAATGGTGCGCTAGTGACACTCCATATGCGTCAAAAGCGCCGCTAGTACGTCATATCCGCCACTAGGACGTTAATGGGGCGTTAGGAATGCCTGGTATTAAAGATACGTTGCTAAAGCGTTAGGGGCATCTGCTACTTCTGCTAGTAATGATACACTGTTGAGGTGTTTGTAGCATCTGTTAAAGCCTGGTCCGTGAGCACGTAGAATCCCGTCCAATGACCCCAAGCTACCCATCCCTATCGCTCGCGCGTAATTATGTTGCTGTCGCGACTGTGCGATGGGCGCACGCAGTGGGTGTGCGAGCGCGACAGCAACATAATTACGCGCGAGCGATAGGGACGGGTAGCTTGGGGTCATTGGACGGTATTCTACGTGCTCACGGACCAGGCTTTAGTAATAATACGTTGACCAGGCGTCTGCTAGTTGTACGTGAACTTACTGAGATGCGCCTGCAGCTCCTCCTCCTTGGCGCGCGTGACGTCATCGGGCAGCTTCTCGAGCGGGACTACGGCCGTCTTGCGGATGATGTCGGCGAGCGCTAGCGGCGTAGCGTTCGACACTGCCTCTTCGGACCCGCCTTCTATAAAAGACATATAAATATTTAGTGTTTTTAGAACAAATAAAATAAAAAAACATTTATTCAGTTCAGACCACAAGTGGCACTTATGAACGTCAAAATATAGTAAACTAGCTTTCCGCCCGCGGCTTCGCCCGCTTTGAATTTTGTGTCACAGAAAAACTTTATCGCGGCGTCCCTGTTTCAAAAACCGGGATAAAAACTATCCTATGTCCTTTCCCAGGACTCAAACTATATCTATGCCAAGTTTAATTAAAATCGGTTCAGTGGTTTAGGCGTGAAAACGAGACAGACAGACAGAGTTACTTTCGCATTTATAATATTAGTATAGATAATAAAAAAAACCTACACTAAAAAGTAGAAAAATAATTACTAATTACCTACTTATTCATTAGGACGAATTAATATTTATGTAGGTATACCATGATTGATGCTTCTGGAGTCGGCTCCAAAAGTATCAATCATGGTATACCTACATAAATATTAATTCGTCCTAATGAATAAGTAGGTAATTAGTAACTATTTTTCTACTTTTTAGTGTAGGTTTTTTGGAGTCGGTTTTTTTTTTTAAATAAAATTTTACTTATTTCTTACTTTTTAGTTAACTACTTAATTATTACCTTGATGTTACCACTGAAGGTAGGCAGTACACTAAGACCATATTCTTCATGTCTAGTGTAAAATAATATTCCCTACAAAATACAGGTTACCATATAGGAAACCTAAAAAGACCTTAAACCGTCAGTCCACCTTAAAAACATGAAAGATTACAACTGTTGGTCTATTTGTACTTATAATATTTAAAGAATTATCCTCCAACTCCTAAGCATTTGTACCTACCATGAGCAGGAGTTGTACCTACCATGACCAGTTCATCGTGATGAGATGATGAATATCTGATGTAAACACTTGAATAACTTTAGAAACTCTCCTTATCTATAAAATTAAAAGAATTATCCTCCAACTCCTAAGCATTAAGGAGTTTTACCTTCTATCATCAGCTCATCAATATGAGATGATGATTTCCAGGAGCAAATACTTGAATAACTTAAGAAAAAGTTTGAAAAACGATATACGTGCCTATAAAATTTGAGGGTTGCCCTCGATTTCCCTAGGATCCCATCATCAGATCCTGACTTGGTGANTTTAGACTCTAAACTTCAGTGGGGTCCTCATATTGAAACCTTGTCAGCAAGGCTCAGTTCAGCTGCTTTTGCAGTGAGAAAGATAAGGCAATTAACTGACATTGAAACGGCAAGGCTAGTTTATTTTAGCTATTTTCATAGTATAATGTCATACGGCATATTGTTGTGGGGCTCAGCTGCGGACATTGAAACTGTGTTCGTTCTGCAGAAGAGAGCAGTGCGGGCCATTTATAACCTTGGACCCCGATTTTCCTTGAGAGAATTCTTTAAGGAGATTAATATACTGACAGTAGCTTCACAGTTCATTTATGAAAACCTTTTATATGTTCGCAAAAATATAGAGCAATTTACTAGAAAGAGTGATTTACACAAGTTCAATACAAGAAACAAAAATAAACTTGCCGTTCCAAATTTCAGACTGCACAAGATTGGTAATTCATTTATGGGGAAATGTATTAAACTTTTCAATAAATTACCACAAACTGTTGTAGAATTGCCCATTCATAAATTTAAAGCACATATCAAAAGCACCTTAATGAAAAAGGGCTACTATAAAGTTGATGATTATATAAAAGATAAAAATGTTTGGAATGTTTAACTACCTAGCTCGCATCAATACTTATGACTATAATTTGTATATTTTAAAGACTGTAAAACCTTGAAAAGGAGGCTGACAATAGTGACTGAGTTTCTTGCGCTGCTTCTCAGCACTGGCCCATTTATTGTCCCGAAGCAGTGGTAGGGTTAATATTGGGACATGTAAAAGCGCTTTTTTAAAGCCTATTTGCAAAAATAAATGAATTTTATGAATTTTAATTTATTTTAAGAACCATTTTGTTGACAAACGTCAGTGATCGGCACTGCGCCGAAGCTATAGGGCTGACTTCGGTAAACCGCCTCTGTGGTCTAGTGGTAAGACCACCTGCTTCAGACGCAGAGGTCCCGGGTTCGATTCCCAGTGGGGGCAGATTTTTCTGTTCGGTTTGGTTGGTGGTAGGGCTTGTTCTAAGTCCGCCTGGCTAGCTACCACCATCTTACCTAAGTCTGTCGCCATAACAAAAATGTNACATTCTTCATTTGCTTTTGGTAAATAAGACAGTCATGCTTATTTCCATTGGAAATAAAATAACCTGAATGATGAGTAATATCAGAAACCTAAATCACATCGTTACGTGCTTACATTGAGCGTGCGAAATTAAGACCACGATGAGGCAGATGAGGTCTTGCGTGTATAGACATGTCAAACACCCAGTATGCGCCTCGCAGTAATGCGATGTAAATTCATCATAATTTTATTGGACAAAGAACGCCACTGCTGGAAAAAGGCTTCCCCTAAGGATTTCCATAACGTTATACGGTCCTGCTCTACCCAGATCTAGATACTTGCCGCATCAATAAATAAATGAATAATACGATCATTATTTTTAATTGATTGGAACTAATTGGACATTCAGACGTAGGTCGCATACACTACAAAACTTTATTTATTTATTTAATGGAAAACAAACAGCATATATGTATTATTAATAGATGAGGCGGTTAAGATCAAAAATGCCTTACATAGTTTTCACAAATAGCATATCAAGATACAATCCAAAACAAATTATTTAGCATGCAGTATAACTACAATATATGAAAAAAAGTTAAAACAATACAGAAAATACCTACTAAAGCCATACCAAAATAGCAGAATATTAAGCAGTAAACAGATACTTCAACTTTTTACCGGGAGAGTGCTAAGTAGTGTCGCCAAATAATTCTTTATTACTTTGATTTTTGAAGTAGTTTGGTCTCACAATATGAAAAAGGTCAAAATATATATCATCATCATCAACAGCCCTTTACAGTCCACTGCTGGACTATGAGCCTCCTCCACTATAGTGGAGGGTTTTGCCATAATCTCCACGCTTGGCAGGCGGGTTGGAGATCGCAGTTTAAAAGATTGATGTTTTTCAGAGAGCGCTGCTGCCCATTCTCTGTTTGATGTGTAGTCCCTAAGTCGCCTCTTACGACACCCGCGGGAAGAGTAGAAAATATATATAACTATTGTTATTTACCCAGCTCAAGCGCGCGGCGTCGCTTGGCCCGCTCGGCGTCCGAGTCGGACGACAGCTCCGAGTCGTCCAGCTTGAACTCGTCCGAGCTGTCCGGCATGTGCTTGCCGCTCGATTTGTGCATTTCCTGGAATAATAACAATATAATTAATTTACTTCTTCCATGAGGAATGATAAAATATGTTTATACTTTATATGACGTCATTATAAGTACTCATGGCGATAAATAATAAACTTACTGAAATGAAAACTCATCTAAAACTGACTACTATGAAACTAGCATAATAAGTTCTTATAACGCTCTTATTTTAATGAATAAACTATTTATTTATTTATTACTAGGCCATTGCGTTACCGAGTTAGTCGTACATTGTCTTATTGAGCTAGTCCAATAATAGGTTAGCGAGCTAGTCCGCTACGTCACCGAACTAGTTCGCTGCGTTACTGAGCTAGCTGAGTCGTAGCTGCGTAGCTGCGAGACAGAGTCAGACAGATGAGTTACAGAGTAATCTCGCTGCTTTACCGAGCTAGTTCACTACATTGCCGAGCTAGTTCGCCGCGTTACCGTGCTAGTTCGCCGCGTTACCGTGCCAGTTCGCCGCGTTGTCGAGCTAGTTCGCCGCGTTGTCGAGCTAGTTCGCTGCGTTGCCGAGCTAATTCGCTACGTTACCGAGCTAGCTTGACACGTTACCGAGCTTAACTATTAATTAACTACTACTTACATCTTCGGATTCTGTGTTGGGCATCTCAGTATAGTTGATCTTCTTCTGTCGCGTGCGGTGCTTGGGCGACCAGTCGTTGGCGCCTTCGTCGCTGAGCCCGCCGTAAGTGACTCGCGCCCTGATGACGTTGCCGTCCGCATCGTACTGCGTGAGTCCGCTGCGTTTGCGGGACTTTTTGGATTTTTCGTGGCGTGACTTCGGCGGTCGAGATTTCCTGAAAATATTAATCACATTGTACTGAGGCTGATGAAAACTAGTTATTTAAGTATTAATTATGAGCTGAACTGAGACTAATTATAAGGAATTTATAAATAAAAGACGGAGCGTTACGAGCAATGGCCGTGTGTATTTCAGCGAGAGAAAAAACGTAAGTGGCGACACCTAGTGTTAACTTAAGAAAAAAACATATGGTCTGCGTTCATATTTCAACACTTGCAAACATGGTGGAAACAAAACAAAAAATATCATTTCGAAAGTCCAACAGCGCATTCCGAATTTGTAATGATATTATATGGTTTCATCCGAGTTAAACTAGATCTAGTTACTAGTTCGTAAAAGACAATTTGGCAGCGTATTTGAAGTTCAAGATATGACTATACTCACTTGGGTTTTTTATTGCTCCACTCTTTGGTTCCGCCGGATTCGCTAGATGTGTCGTTAAGGACGCCTTTCTTCTTCTTCTTCACTTCGGGGGATGATTCTCTCATTTTTGGGCGATCTACAAAACATAGTCAATGTAAGTAAATACATTTAAAAATGGCTACGTTTTAAAAACATTATTTGAAGTACAAAACGTCAGAAGACATTGGGTGCGTTTGGCGAAAAAAGACGCTTGGAAGCGCTTGTAAGCAAAATGGCGATCGATAAGCAGTAAGCACTGTCACTGCTAAAAATTAATGAAACACGTCACCATTATTATAGAAGTTAACAAAACGTGTCCTCGCGTAGAACTGTACATAGTTTTTTCTCAGCGCTAGTAAGCGCTTCAAGCGCTTTTTTTCCTCCGAACACGCCCATTAAAAGGGTGTCTTGTTTTCCATAGCTTAGATGAAAGAACATGCTATAGAAAACAAGACACAATTGAAAGAACAGACTTTGTAATTTTTAGATGACTGGTTAATTGTATCTCCTTCTCCAAGGCTATGTCTTCGGCCGGCGTTAGTATCACAGTTCGTTCGTTCGTTTCAGCCAAATGACGTCCACTGCTGGACAAAGCCCTCCCCCAAGGATTTCCACAACGGCCGGTTCTGCACCGCTCGCATTCACTTACCATCAGGTGAGATACAGGCCAAGAGCTTCCTCGTTGTGGATAAAAAAAAAAAAAAAAAATTCAGCCACCTCCCGCGACTTTCACCAGATCGTTGGTCCACCTAGTGCCACAGTTCTATAGCGTTTTATTTTTCTTTCCTCACGTTTACCTTTGTGGAAGTCGAACCTTAATTTCGAACTCCTCCTATGTTCTTCTGATTAATTTCGTTGCGGGTCCAATGACAGTTTAACTTTCCCTCGGGACAAACTTGACCTTCATTGGTTGGGTTTTTGTGGCGGTTAAGCTGTAGATCCTGGCTACACAGGAATTGCAGTGGTGGGAACGAGAGGTGGGAATAGTCCCGTTTACCTTTGTGGTCGGTGCGTCCGGTGCGGCGCGCGATGGGCAGCGAGTCGGACGAGCGCGAGTCGCTGGAGCTGCCGCGCTCTGCTGACGACGATATGTCTTCGGACGACGACTCCATGCTGTGGACATCATTCATGTTGATAACTTAGACGACTGTTACATACATCTACTGCAAAACTAATGAGGGCTATCGTTTTTATACTGAACAGTTGCACCCCTGGCGATTGACAGGACCTTACTCTACAGTGGCGCTATCTTGATGAGTGCAAATGCGATATTCCTCCTACCACTTTCGCGCTCACCAGTTGGCGCCACTGTCTTCGCTACTAGCAAGTGACAGGACCTTACTCTACAGTGGCGCCAACTGGTGAGCGCTAAAACGATAGCCCTCATTAGCACAAATCCGTGTACAGCTGGTGTGTGGATAGCGTTTCGCTGTCCTGTTTCGTGGCAGAGGTAAATTAAAAATTAAAAATATTTTATTCAATTGTGACCACGGGTAGCACTTATGAACGTCAAATACAGTAAAAAAAGATAGCCCTATTACATGTCTCCTTATCTTTTGGGCCCTACCAGAGCTTTGAGACAAACATAATTTATGGCAAGTACTGAGAAGAAACGCCGGAACAAACTCAAATATGTAGTTGTTTCATCAGTGGCCAATGAAGGATCGTCAATTTATCAATGACAGATGTCACATGGGAAACACGGCAGAAATGAATGACGCGCACCATTGTCCATTACGCATGCTTATTATTATTTATGTGATTATATTTTAGTAATAAATGTGCAAGTAAAAGTCAGTCTTATGGGTGTTGCAATAGGTGCCATCCCATGTCAGACCCCTCATCTCAATGATTTGCTATACCTACATACTTATGAAAGTGTTAAAGCCGTGCACTCACCCGGTGTCCTTGAAGTCCTCATCGGTTTCATCGTCGTCTTCAGAGGGAACTTCCAGCGAGTTAAGCTTGCGCGGCTTGCGGCGGCTCTTCTTGCGGAGCTTCAGTATCTCGACCGGCTTGCCCTGGGAGGTTAGGGAAATGTTTTACGTTACATTTAAGAATAAAAATACTTTATTCAGCATAGAAAAATAAAATAAAAATACAGTACATATAACAACTACAAGCTATGCTGAAGAGGGACGCTCAGCTATATTCGCGACATAACAAGCGCCATGTCGAGAAGCTGGTTTTCAGCGGGAACATTTGGTACATGTATTGGATTGGGAGAACTTTGTATGTGTTTAATGTTAAAAACCGACTGTAATCAAAGCTAAGCATCTAACATGATGCTTAAAACTTGATTCAAAGTCGATAAAAAAATTTATAGAATTTTCCTTGAATTCATGTTCGAGCTGTGGGGGGAAATTTTTAGGGGAAACTTTTTTGAAATACGGGGCTTAAGCCTAGATACGTAACTTATCAAACATTATTTTAGCAAATGTGCGAAAACGACAAGTAATTTAAGTCTAAGTGGGCGGAGTCACGTCAGATATCTGCACACGTGCTCCTTCGCTCTTGCTCCTTCGAATGGCTTACTCTCGTGTTCGATAGAGACACTAAGGCTGGGTTGCGCCATCTTACTTTAACTTTGACAAACGTCAAAAAAACTGTCAAACTCCATACAAAAAACACCGGTTATCGTTATAGTTACGTTCAAAGTTAGGTGGTGCAACTCAGCCTAAGAATTCAAAGTGGGCGGAGTCACGTGTGCGACAGAGACAGCCGCTCACTAGGTGGGCGGAGTCACGTGTGCGACAGAGACAGACGCTCACTAAGTAGGCGGCGGCCCGCGTGCGACCGAGACAGACGCTCACTAGGTGGGCGGTGGCCCGCGTGCGACAGAGACAGCCGCTCACTAAGTGGGCGGCGGCCCGCGTGCGACCGAGACAGCCGCTCACTAGGTGGGCGGCGGCCCGCGTGCGACAGAGACAGCCGCTAACTAGGTGGGCGGAGTCACGTGTGCGACAGAGACAGACCTGCTCGCGCGCTTCCCGCTCCTGCTTGAGCTTCTCCTCCTCGGCGGCCTCGATGATAGTGGAGATGTCTTTGCCGCGGCCTTGGTTGCCTGCACTTGTCGTTGGTTCTACGTATTCCTCCTGTGTTCAGAGAAAAGGCCAAATGTTAGATAAATGTGTACTTATTTTTGTAATTCCATAGCAATTTTAATTTAATTTAAAGTCAATCAACTCGAAGTCATGTGAACAAAATCCAGAACTAACGGCCGATGGGGCAGTAAGGTTCTGGTGTGGAGGCCACGTATGGAAAGCGCAGCGTATGACGTCCTCTCACAAGGTGGACTGACGACCTCATAAAAGTAGCATCGAAGGTGATGGATGTGGGCCGCTACTGACCGGTCAATATGGAAATCTTGTGGCGCAGTTTTGGGCTCACACTGTTAGGTTTGTTGTGGACATGACAAGAAGAAGAATGTGGAAATCATTGTGGGAAGCCAGTGTTTAGCAAAGGACGTCCTGTGGTTGAAATAACGACTTCAATACTATAGATCGAATACGCGCCCCACCAATTTTTGGTCGAGAGAAGCGCGGGGTGCGGGGAGTTTGATCCAAGCAATTCGAGCGTCATTATTGTAGTGTGCGTGAATAATTTAGCATGTACCCGGTACACATTGTACCGATGATAACACTCAAACATTAGCGGGAGAATGGTGGGGCGCGTCTTCGTGGATGAAACGATCTATACTATAGCCTTGATGAATATGGGCAATTTTATGGGCAATTTTTTTTCCGCCGGGCCAGCTAGCAGGCAATACTTTAGTTCACCTTGATGGCGGAGCTGATGAGGCGGTCGTACTCCTGCGCGCGGTAGCTGACGGGCAGCTGGCGCCGCGCGCGCAGCCGGTACACGCCGCCTCGTCCGAGACGAGCACACAACACTAGTCACCTTGATGGCGGAGCTGATGAGGCGGTCGTACTCCTGCGCGCGGTAGCTGACGGGCAGCTGGCGCCGCGCGCGCAGCCGGTACACGCCGCCTTCGTCAGATGATGACCAAGAACTGCTGCCGCTCGACTCTGGAGACAGAATACACATTTTACCAATTGACAGACTAGGTAAAGGGTACAATAAACTGAAGCGGTTAACGGTCTGGTAAGGCCGTTTGTAGACATCGGTTTTTTCACTGGACGACAGACTGTCAAAAGAAAGATCTTTACTTGCTGACCTAGTAGTCCACTAGTCCTAGGTGGACCGACGATCTGGTAAAGGTCGCGGGAAGAGCCTGGATGCGGGCAGCGCAGGACCGTTCATTGTGGAAAACCTTGGGGGAGGCCTTTGTCCAGCAGTGGACGTCATTTGGCTGAAACGAGGTACTTGCTGTCAATTTTCTCATTAGACCTATGTCCGATGCATGTGCAACACGTTCATTATAAACCATACACCACCGCTAAATTCTTGGAAAAAATGAGCTGTTGTCATGGTAAAAAAACGGATGTTTACAAGCTGCCTAAACGGACCTACGGGACGTAAATGTGGGGCATAAAGGTCGCCACGCAACAGGACATCATGTCCGACTCTGAATCTCTGACGCATCTATTCAATGGTTTCTGCACTTATGCTTGTACAATACACATCAGGCTTTACATTGTGACTGTAAAATAGCACCCATTTACAACTACGTAAAATACCACAATGAAAATGTATTTTCACAACACCTGCTTGAGGTATGCATAAATCATGAAAACCTCTTCTTGCGGCAGTGGCTGCGTCGTCTTCCAACTTGAACCTCAACAAACTTTTTTTTAACATTGTACAGTTATCTAGTAGCTCCCCAACTCACCAGAGTGCGACTTGTCGCCCTCCTTTCCCTTGGAAGGCTTCCGTTCGTCATCAGCAGGCGATGATGCTTCCTCTTCCTTGCGGCGCGCTCTCTCAGCCTCTACTTGTGTCACTAGTTCATCGTACTTGCTCAGTTCGTTCTCCAAGGATGATATCAGCATGCCCTGTGAAAGATAAGAAGATATAGAAAGAAAGAAACATTCATTGCCATGGACATCACAAAAGACAAAAGAGGCAAAATAAAAAAAGCAAATAAGACAGAGGTGACACATGAAACATACCTACAATGGAAGATATTTTAAAATAGAAAACGTTTCGATGAGGACAATCCATTCGCTGTAACGAAGATAATCACGATTCTCGCTCAATAATATCTACCTCTATTTTGTAACACCACTATAAATTGCAATGCGAAATGCAATAAACGATATGAATTTGAAACCAAGATATCCGGTTTTTTTTAAGAAAATTGAATACCAAAATTATTATTGTCTTCTATTTGAAAAACTAAGAAATGAAACAGGAAAATGTGAAGCGTAAATAATATAAAATCCATGGACCTATAANTCGTCAGATGATGACCAAGAACTGCTGCCGCTCGACTCTGGAGACAGAATACACATTTTACAAATTGACACACTAGGTAAAGGTAAAGGTAGCCTTTCGAAGCGAGCGTCTATAGCGTCAGTGGCGCCGCGACTGTGACGCCGCTACAGAGCGACAAATAATTTTCTATGCAAATGTATGAAATTCTAGGGAACGACATTCGAACGCAGCGACACTGTCGCGGCGTTGGTGGCACTAAAGACCAAAGCTAAAGACGCTGCGTCTGTGACACTTAGTTCGAAAGGTAAAGGGTAGAAGAAACTGAAGCGGTTGTACAATTTATATGAAGCTATTCGCATTATCCCGGATCCGGCATTGCTGCCGAGCGTTTTGTCACTGCGAAGTTCCGGCAGAACCACCGGACCGGAGCAGTGTGAACGAGTTTGTCCCGTATCGGTCCCCGCTCGCCCCGCCCCGTGCTCCCCTCGCGTCATTCGGCTCGCATAATCTAAATAATATAAAAGGAAAAACTGACTGACTTAGTGACAGATAACGCACAGCCTAAACGGCTAAACATAGGCACTTGAAATTTGGAAGGGACGTAGCTTAGGTACCGTAGAGGTGCACTAAGCAAGGAATTCCCGAAATTCCCACGGGAACGGGAATTAGCGGGAAAATCCTTTTGTATGAAAAATCTAAACCGCTTATGTTAGACGCTTGAAATTTGGCATGCAGGTACCTTAGTAAACTTAAAGCTTAGTTACAACAGGATATTGCAAAATTCCCACGGGAACGGGAGTTAGCGGGAAAAACATTTGTATGAAAAAATCGAAACCGCGTAAGATAGATGAAGGGGGTAAAACGGGATCCACGCGTACGAAGTCGCGGGCAGCCGCTAGTAAATAAATAAGAATAAATCTGCCAGTCCGGCATAGTGGGAACCGGGCCTTAGCGGTATGATAACGGACTTGCGTGACGTAAATGTTTGTATCTCGCTAAGCCACCACGCGCGTTCTCTGAGTAACAAGGGGCGCGCAACAGGACATCATATCCTGACTCTGAATCTCTGACAGATCTATTCACTTGCACTTATTGGTTTCTGCACTTATGTTTGTACAATACACATCAGCCTTCACATTGTTACTGCATAAAGTACCACAATGAAAATGTATTTTCACAACACCTGTTTGAGATAAGCATAAATCATGAAAACCTAAATTCTTTAAATAAAGAGAGGCAGGCAGTGGCTGCGTTGTCTTCCACTTGAACCTCAACAAACTTTTTTTTAACATTGTACAGTTATCTAGTAACTCCTAAACTCACCAGAGTGCGACTTGTCGTCCTCCTTTCCCTTGGAAGGTTTCCGCTCGTCATCAACAGGCGATGATGCTTCCTCTTCCTTGCGGCGCGCTCTCTCAGCCTCTACTTGTGTCACTAGTTCATCGTACTTGCTCAGTTCGTTCTCCAAAGATGATATCAGCATGTCCTGTGAAAGATAAGAAGATATAGAAAGAAAGAAACATTCATTGCCATGGACATCACAAAATACAAAAGAGGTAAAAACAAAAAAAAGCAAATAAGACAGAGGTGACACATGAAACATACAATGGAAGATTTTTTTTTTTTTTTTTTTTTTTTAAATAGAAAACGTTTCGATGAGGACAATCCATTCGCTTTAACGAAGATGATCACGATTCTCGCTCAATAATATCTACCTCTATTTTGTAACACCACTATAAATTGCAATGCGAAATGCAATAAACGATATGAATTTGAAACCAAGATCTCCGGTTTTTTTTAAGAAAATTGAATACCAAAATTATTATTGTCTTCTATTTGAAAAACTAAGAAATGAAACAGGAAAATGTGAAGCGTAAATAATATAAAATCTACAACAGTCTCATCACACGAAACATTTTTGTTATGCATTTACATTACAACTTTACACGATGCCACAATGTACACGTGTATTTACATATTTTTTAATTTATGTGCGCGCGCATTAGTTTACGTAAATACTTCAAATCATCATTAGTATTCGAAATTTTAATCAAGCAACTTCCCACAAAAATATTTGCAAGAATATAATTTTAAACAAGTAGGTTACTTCGAATATCATAATTTATGTTAATTTCTACATTATTACATTTTTTTCAATCAAAAATACGTAAAAATTTACTAACTTCAGAGGTCCACGTAATATTCTGCATTTCATTTCACGTAAAATATTAATTTGGAAAGGACGCTTATTTTTTTGACAACGTCAAACTCATAATATATTTTTAATAATTTTATTTATCTAAAAAGTTCTAAAGAGTTTTGTTAACTTTTTATTTGATCTGATATTTTACCCCCGAGAAATCGAATCAAAACATACAGATTTCTAAACTTATCTCAATATTCGGCTTTTTAATAAAAGTAGTCAAGATGTTCTGCTCTGGATTCGTTTCTCAATTGAGTTACACTCAGAAAAAAAATTGTTTTTACCTCAAAATTTTAACTTGGCTCTGTTAATTATTTAGTTTTAGTTATTTAGACTATGATCATATATTCTGTAGTTTATGGAGTCTATGGTCCTAAAATCTGTAGTCTATGGTCTTACAGTTTGTATAGCCTGACCAGGAACATAAAAACCCTCGCCATGTTGCGGAAAACTAATGGTACTAATTTCTTTTAATAGCAACAGTAACTGAAAACTTCATTGACATGTCACCTTGCATGTCAGTCTATTGCTGTCAAAGTGTAAACAAACTTTATTTTTTTAATGTGCGCAATTGGTTTTATGAATTAAATTGCTAAAATATTTTTATAGTCGTGAAAGAAAAGTGGTTCACAATGTGTTAAAGTATTTGTCGAAGAGAAATACTAAGGGTTCGGACAATATTTTCATTGAATAATGTTTCCGACAAAGGTTGTCAAATTGACTGACATGTTTATCGTATAGTACAGTCCACTATGAAAATTAGCTGTGGTTTGTTTCAACTACCTATTTTAAAGTTTTTTGTCACTTTCTAAGTGTTGAATTTTATGGAATTGGGAAAGAAGTACCGAGTTTGAAGCGTTCATGAGCAGACATTGCAGTTGAATATTCAAGTTCTGAATTTGATTATTGATGAATAATAAAATAAATCCTACTAGCTCGATTGATGGTTTCATTTAATTTATTTAAACCAGGTTACCTATAATAATATTTTTTCGTTAATTTATGAAAATATCAAATTAGCCCGTAATCCTGAATCCTGATACATAAAGTTAGCCTATTAATTTAACACAGGTACGACTGTACTCAGTGTTGCACTATCAAATGCAATTGACGCGCCTCTATGCCAGGGTTTTTATGTTCCTGGTCAGGCTATAGGGTCCTTTGACTTGTAGTCTATTGGTCCTACAGTTTGTAGTCTATGGTCCTACAGTTTTTAGTCTATGGTCCTACAGTTTGTAGTCTATGCTCCTACAGCTTGTAGTCTATGGTCATACAGCTTGTAGTCTATGGTCATACAGTCTGTAGTCTATGGTCCTATAGTTTGTAGTCTATGGTCCTACAGTTTGTTTTCTATGGTCATACAGTCTGTAGTCTATGGACCTACAGTTTGTAGTCTATGCTCCTACAGTCTGTAGTCTATGGTCCTACAGTTTGTAGTCTATGGTCCTACAGTTTGTAGTCTATGCTCCTACAGCTTGTAGTCTATGGTCATACAGCTTGTAGTCTATGGTCATACAGTCTGTAGTCTATGGTCCTATAGTTTGTAGTCTATGGTCCTACAGTTTGTTTTCTATGGTCATACAGTCTGTAGTCTATGGACCTTCAGTTTGTAGTCTATGGTCCTACGTTTGTAGTCTATGGTCCTAAATCTGTAATCTATGGTCCTGCAGTTTTTAGTCTATGGACTCACGTGGTTGCAGGGCGGGCAGAACCAGTCGCCCGTGGGGACCAGAAACAGCATTGGTTTGAGACAGCTAGCGTGGTAGCCTGCATCACACTTGTCGCACAGCAGAATCCACTCCGGTTGCTCTGCGCTGCCACAGCGCTTGCAAAAGCCGTCGTCTTTTTCTATAAAACATGTGAAAATTACGTAGCTATAGTCTGGTCTGCGAGCACGTAGAATTTTGTCCAATGACCCCAAGCTACCCATCCTTATCGCTCACGCGTAATTATGTTGATGTCGCTCTCGCACACTCACTGCGGGCGCCCGTCGTACGTCGCGACAGCAATATAATTACGCGCGAGCGATAAGGATGGGTAGCTTGGGGTCATTGGACAAAATTCTACGTGCTCAGTCACAGACCGGGCTTTATAATATCCTTCAGAAGAAGAGAATATTCAGATTTTGTTCAGAATGAAAGATTTACCTTCTTGTAGCGTGCGGGCTCTTTTCAAAGGCTCGATGGGTTCGCCGCTCTCCAGATCAGATTCAGGTGAAAATTCATGATCAGACTTGTTGAAGTCAACTGTGAATAGAATAAGTTTATTTTAAATTACAGCAATCTTTATTTAAATCTGGTTTGTAAATTTTGGTCTAAAAAAAAAACAGCTTTTTGTCTCTCCTCCTTGATGACTTGATAGTCCCATTGTCATACAAAATCTATGTCCGAGTCGCTTATAAAATGTATGTTGATCGACTGGTAGCTCGGGAGCAGCGATTTGCAGCGATTTTCACGAACTTTGGTTAGTTTTCTGACATTGATATTACTGGACGCGCCATTCCTACAATAAGGTGGATCGACGACCTCATAAAGGTAGCAGAAAGGCTGGATGCAGTCATAACTGGACTATGTTCATTGTTCAGCAGTGGACGTCCTGTGGCTGAAATGATGATGAATTGATATTGTGCTGTGTACTATCCTTAAATAAATAAATAATGACTCACGGTCTGGCTCCTCGTGCTGTATCTCGAACAGTGGGCCGGTGGAGTCGGAGTCGGCGTCGGTGGAGTCTGAAGCGCGCCAGCCGGCTTTAGGCATGGGCTTGGGCCGCGGCGAGCCAGATGAGCTGCTGCCGCTGGCATGCCACTCCTCTTCGTCTTTGTTTGTCTGAGGAATAAACTGATTTTTAGTATTTACAACTACCTTTTTTGTCGTGTGGGTTGGGAAATAAAAGTACCTTAAATGCTAGGAAGGGGTAAATAAGTAATCTCATGCACTTCATGCACTCTTTTCAGCACTTGCCAAATGTTTGTCTCGAAGCGCTGGTAGGGCAAAAAAAGAATGAGACATGTATAGGCTCCTTAAGAGCATTTGACGATTTGCAAGAACTAATTTAATTAGTCTAAACAAATAAAGATAATTTTGATTTTGATTTCATGACCCGCCAAAACGTGGCCGCACGCAGCACGGAAACAGCACAATAATGTTACGCATCATCAGAAATTGTATTGTAAATATAATATTTCTACGCATTTTTTTTTTGCCTCTGGTAAAATGGGGAGAGTTGCGAGACTTATCCCACCACTGCAACTCCTGTATAGCCAGGATCTACAGCTTGGTCTTCAATGAAACACAACCAGTGAAGGTTGAGTAGTCCCGGGCTATAGCTATCTTGGCAAATCGATAAATTAGGAAAGACTCCTTAATGATCTGATGATGATGAATCTAAAGCACAACTTGTTACCTATGGGCATACCCAGCTTCTGAGCTACCCCCTGGCCAGACTTGAAAGGAATCAGAAATTGGGGAGGGGCCTCCCCTGTCCATTCAGAACGCATGTCTACGCACCATCTTTTCAACCGACTTCAAAAAAGGAGGAGGTTCTCAATTCGACCCGTATGTTTTTTTTTTTTCTATGTTTGTTACGCGATAACTCCGCCAATTATGAACCGATTTGAACAAATCTTTTTTCAGCGNAATCAGTAACATTTCCGTACAATGGCAGTCCTGTAGGTCAACACGCTCGGCATTCAAATCCTGTCGCACCAATAACATTACCCCTCCGCCCGTTTTTTTGCCACTAATCATTAAATTACGATCCAATCTAAATACTTCATATCGATCGTCGCACAATTCCCTGTCAAAAATACCTTCATGGAGCCAAGTTTCGGTAATAACAATAATATCTAATTCGTTACTCAGTATACTTTGTCTAAATTCCGAACACTTGGTCCTGAGACCGCGTATATTTTGATAATAAATGTTTAAGTTTGAGTTACCCATTTCCAATATCGATACTCCATAAAAACAATAAGAACTTAACCGATAAATACATTATGTTTATGCTATAAAGAAGCAACGGCGCCGTGTCAATACGACTATTTATAATCTGAGAATAAGGTAGTTCAATATAAAAGAATGAATACTTAACACTCGAGGCAACTATTTTATATTCACTAAATACGCTTACAAGATTTTGTGAATATTGGTGACAACGATATTTACTATAGTATTTTAATAGGTTGTTTTTCAGAACTATAATTTTATATTTGCTAATTAAAGAAACAAATTGAATATAAAAAAATGTGANTGGAAGATCATTCATTTCTGAGGAGTTTCAAAACTACTGCAAATCAAATGGTATAAGACATGTTCTAGTTGCACCATATCACCCTGCCTCTAATGGACAGGCAGAACGCACTGTGCAAACCATTAAAAATAAACTTAAAAAACAATCACCTGGATCTTGGCATATGAAACTTACATCAATGTTATATGGCCTACGAACAACGCCAAACAGCACCAACGATAAAACCCCGGCAGAATTATTAAATAACAGACATTTCAGAACCAAGTTTGACTACCTAAATCCTCTTACTTTCAAAGATAAACCACAGCTTGAAGAATTGGAAGAAAATGAAAGCAGGAATGTGAGGTCAGTAAAGGTTGGACAAACTGTTTATTTAAGGAATTATGGCAAAGGCCCCCAATGGATCAAAGGTGTGGTAGAGAAGAGAATAGGAATTTGTAGGTACTTAATCCAATGGAATGGAAAATTGCTAAAAAGACACATAAACCAGATTCATCTATTTGGGGAAGAGAAAGGTGAAACAGAACCAGAACAACAAAGTGAAGAAAATAAACTAAGGGAAGATGATGATGATGAGGAGGAGGAGACCATAGTTATACCCTCACCTTCAAAATGGGCAGATATTATAGGAGTATCAGGGCCACAGGATATTGATGCTACACGGAGGATACAATATGAACAAACAGCACCTGAACAATATAAAAGGGCTCGCTCAGAATCAGCATCACCTCAACAGTCCCACAACAAAAAACCAAATTTGGACTTAACACATGAAGATGAAGAGGAAGATGAAGATCTAGCAAGTGAAGTGGACGATTAATTTAAATAGAAAAGTTAATGCATGTTATAGTTGTTAAGAGTGATGTGTTGTGTAAGTGTCAGTAATATAGACTAGTGATAGAACTTAAAGACTAAAGTGATAGTGAACAACTATCCCGGGGGAAAGGCATGTCATGTACCCCACTTGGGGGTAGATCTGAAAAACCAGTCTGGACACGTCAGGTGAGTCAGCACGCGTGCTCTCCCGGTATTCCCGAATATCTACGTATACAATAATATTATTATAGGTAACCTGATTTAAATAAATTAAATGAAACCATCAATCGAGCTAGTAGGATTTATTTTATTATTCATCAATAATCAAATTCAGAACTTGAATATTCAACTGCAATGTCTGCTCATGAACGCTTCAAACTCGGTACTTCTTTCCCAATTCCATAAAATTCAACACTTAGAAAGTGACAAAAAACTTTAAAATAGGTAGTTGAAACAAACCACAGCTAATTTTTCATAGCGGACTGTACTATACGAAAAACATGTCAGATTATTTGACAACCTTTGTCGGAAACATTATTCAATGAAAATATTGTCCGAACCCTTAATATTTCTCTTCGACAAATACTTAAACACATTGTGAACCACTTTTCTTTCACGACTATAAAAAGATTTTAGCAAATTAATTCACAAAATCAATTGCACACATTTAAAATAAAGTTTGTTTACACTTTGACAGCAATAGACAGCTTGATTATTGACATGCAAGGTGACATGTAAATGAAGTTTTCAGTTACTGTTGCCATTAAAAGAAATTAGTACCATTAGTTTTCCGCAACATGGCGAGGGTTTTTATGTTCCTGGTCAGGCTATAGTATTTACAACTACCTTTTTTGTCGTGTGGATTGTGAAATAAAAGCACCTTAAATGCTAGGAAGGGGTAAATAAGTAATCTCATGACCCGCCAAAACGTGGCCGCACGCAGCACGGAAACAGCACAATAATGTTACGCATCATCAGAAATTGTATTGTAAATATAATATTTCTACGCATTTTTTTTTGCCTCTGGTAAAATGGGGAGAGTTGCGAGACTTATCCCACCACTGCAACTCCTGTATAGCCAGGATCTACAGCTTGGTCTTCAATGAAACACAACCAGTGAAGGTTGAGTAGTCCCGGGCTATAGCTATCTTGGCAAATCGATAAATTAGAAAGGACAGCTTAATGATCTGATTATGAGGAATCTAAAGCACAACTTGTTACCTATGGGCATACCCAGCTTCTGAGCTACCCCCTGGCCAGACTTGAAAGGAATCAGAAATTGGGGAGGGGCCTCCCCTGTCCATTCAGAACGCATGTCTACGCACCACCTTTTTAGGAATCAGAAACTGGGGAAGGGCTTCCCTTGTCATCCATCAGAACGCATATCTACCCACCTTCTTTTTGTGTATCATCTTGAGCTCCCTGAGAGCGAGTTCCTCGATGTGCCTGCGCTCGGCCTCCTCCTTGATCTTGAGCTGCGCGATGCGGCGCGACTGTCTCACGGGCGCCACGTCAGATTCCGACTGCGAGCCGTGACGAGCTTTTTCCTTGCCTTTGGGTTTCTTCTTTAGCAGCTTCTTGGTTGATTTCTTGCCCGCTACAAAAATACACACACTTTGGAATATCGACACAAGACGATTTGAATTACCGTCGCACTATACCACATCATTAATAATGCCATTACAGATGCCACTCGGGCGTTTGAATGACATGTAGTGACGGAATGCGTGCCCAATGAACAAAGCACCAGAAAGACGAGGCAAACTCACGTAGGCTTGAATACTTATTATCTTATGAACTCTTATGTTATAATAGGACTTAAATCTTTTTAACTTGATTATAATCTTGAAAGAACAGTTAAAAATTGTTGAAAGAACAGTTTAAAATTGTACAATTAGTTATATTTTACTTTACCTAAGCTGTATAACGTTTCCTCCTCAGATTCATCAGTAGATTGTTTTTCTAATAATTTGGCTTCTATTTTTTTCCTGTAATAAATATCAAATTAGTGAAGTGCAAGCAATTGATTGTTATTATTTTATGATAATAAAACCAAGGGTTTTACCTATTCGACGTAATAATTTTCTTGGGTCTAATTTTTAATCTTTTCCCACTAGAAATAGGTTCATCACCATCACTGTCGCTATGAGATTCGGATTTATTTTTATCACTCATCGTCGCATCCAGTAGCGATCGTTTCAACGATTTACTCTTTTTATCCCTAACACTAGAAGCATCTTTATCAGTACTTTTATCTAAAACACTAGTATCATTGTCAGAACTATTTTTTACGACTTTTTTTCTTTTGAATTTCCCTTTGCTTGCTTTGATCTTCTTCCTCTGTGATATAGGGTCTACTTCAACGTTAGTATTGTCTTTTTCGTCGGCAGATTTGTTCTTGGTTTCACTGCTATTTACATTTTCCACGGCTTCCTTGGAATGCGACTCATTGCTGTCACTCTCTGGCGTGACGTCTAGTCTTAACTTCTTAGGCGGTAAAGGCTCTTCTGCCTTCAGCTGTTTCTCAGGACTGCCTTCTTTTTCGGTATTACCATTTTCGGCGTCTTCCTGCTCCACCGATGAAACACTGCTCTTCCGCTTCTCAATAATACTTGATTTACTATCGTGACAATTGTCAGTTTCTAATACAGCGTTGATCACCTCCTTGCTATCACTTGTGGAGTCCAACCTTGCTACTTCAGCTTTCTTTTTAACTTTGCCTCTACCCTTTTTTATCCTATTTTTCAAAGGACTGTCCCCATCCACAATACTTTTGTCATTACTGCTTCCTTTCTCATTTTCGGTAGAATTTGAATTAGAGCCATCAGATTTCTTTAAATTCCTAATACAATGTTTCTTGGGGTCTGACTTCAACACTTCTGTGCTATCGTTCGACTGCTTTTTTAACGCCCTTTTATTTACTGTGGGTACACTACTTTTTAACTTAACGCTTTTACCTAATTTGTTTTTACTACTTGAATTTGTGAGGTCATTTGTATGTTCACCATTCAAACACTCCTCATTGCCATTCTCGGCATCGGAGTGCTCTTTAGGACTATTCGCTTGTTCGATTGCTTCAGGGTTGCCAGTGTCATTGTCATAACCGCTGCCTTCCCCATAAAAAAACATAATTTCTTCTTCTATTTCTTCTCCAATTATGTAGGAACTTTCACAGTCTGCACCGTTTCCTTCACCAGTTACAACCATAACTGGTTCTTCTATTGCTTCACTAACTTCTTCTTTTTCTGTTTTATTCTCATCAGGTTCAGATTCTAATTTCTCTTTTACTTCTGGCTCAGCTTCCTCAGTATTTACAGGTTTTGTGGGGGTTTCTTCTGGTTCTGCAGTAGCAGTAGTTGTTTCTGTGCTCTCTTCTTCTTTACTTTCCTTTTCGTTTTCCTCAACAGTGTCTTCTGGTGGTGTTTCAACCTTTTCAGGGTTCACTTCAACTTTTTCTGTACTTACTTCCTCATTTACAGTAACATTATCTTTCTTTTCATCACTTTGTTCTTCATGTTCAGATTCAGATTCAGGACTTAGAAACTCTTCATCATTATCATCCTCTGCATCTGTCTTTTTTTCCTGAAATTTAATATTTTTCTATTATTATTATTTATTTATCAATGAGTAACATAATAAGCTTACAGAAAAACCAAAGCACTTACATGTTTAGTCACAATAAGAAATCATCTATACATTTTTAAGGGATTTATAATTAACTAGCTTTCCGCCCGCGGCTTCGCCCGCGTGGAATTTTGTCTGTCACAGAAAAACTTTATCGCGCGCGTCCCTATTTCAAAAACCGGGATAAAAACTATCCTATGTTCTTTCCCGGGACTCAAACTATCTCTATGCCAAATTTCATCAAAATCGGTTGCGAGGTTTAAGCGGGAAAGCGTAACAGACAGACAGACAGAGTTACTTTCGCATTTATAATATTAGTTGGGATTAGATGAAACTTATACCTGTTCAGTAACTTCTTCTGATTTTAGTGGCTGTTCCTGTGGTTCTTCTTGTTGTGAAGTATCTGGACCAGTAGACTCATCTTGGGCAGTATTTGAGACGAGAGGACTTATTTCTTCTCCGTTTTTCAATTGTGTTATAACTTTCACAAGTTCTTCTCTTGTTCTGACAAATTAGAAATAACAGATGAATTTATAGGCTAGTCATTCGCATTGGCATGCAAGAAAATTGAATAAACCAAAATCATTTACAAAATGTTATAAAATTAAGATAAATACAAGATTTTTATTGCTTTAGGTTATAAGATTTGTTCCTTAAGCTAATATTTGTTTAATATGCATTTGCACTGTCATAGTAGGTACTACTAGATCAGTCTATTTGTCAGCCAGCACAGTTAAATTTGAAGTTTCAAGTATTTTAATCATTTGCCTTACCTGGCTACTAGCTGCCAAGTCTCCTCGTCCTGATCTTCCTTATACAAACACAAATTGGCATCATGATCCACTTGATACCAATAAACACAACCGTTCTTGTCCCGTCCGATCGGATCTAGCCGCAGGTCCTTGCATGCAATGGCGTTTACAGCAGATTTGAATTTTGGATGACATGTGAATTGATACTCTAATAATAGCTGAAAAGTGAAAATAATAACATATTATGGATATGTTTCTAAAGTTTCTAAGAAGAATGTTTTCCAATATGAAAAGAGTTTTTTAAATTAGAGAGTTATTTAAAGAAGCATTTCACTTATAACATCCTATTGCAATAAGACAATGCATTAAATTTAATCAAACAATTAATAATTCTTCTGTAAAATAGCAAGTAGGACAAAGATTACAAATGTATTGGAATATGTTTGTAAGGTCAAATCAATGGAAAAAATTATACAGAAAGCTTCTAGATCATACACAGAGTATCATAAAAATATACTGGAAGTCTTGAGTGCTCTGTTTTTAGTCTATTACAGTTATCTACACTCTATAGACATGTATGTATGCACAAGTGCCTTCAGACTTTCATGTGAAAGTGATACCAATTCCTATTTGCTCAATAAAATGGTAATAAGGAAGAAACCGCATAGCTGCTACGTTAATTACCTTTAGGACTTTCAGTTTCACTGGCGTGCTAGCTTTCTTGTACGAGAACCGTTCTATTTCCCAAGCCTCTTGGTGAGAGCCTTGCTGGTGACAGAACTTTATGAGGCACCTCTCCCATCGGTTACTCTGCACGGATTTCAGCGCACGACGCAATAATCTCAAGTGCAATTCCTTCAATGGCTCCAAAACTACAACAATAAAAACTTATAAGATGTTTGTTTATCATCCTACGTGACAAATCATCACTATAACTGTACCTTCTTGCGTATCCTCGATATATTCTTGTAGTTTAGCTAATGTGGGCACTTCCAAACCGTACAGTTTTCCGAAAACTTTCAGGAATGAGTAAATAACAGCAAAATTAGGATCATTCGTACACGAAATTTCCCCATCAGACGCCATCGTCGGAACTTTAGTTTGCTATTTCACTTAACATTGTTGTAGTGTTTTTACTATTACTAAATGATTATTTAACTTATATCTATTGGAAAATTGTAAAACATGTACATGATTCACGAAAATATCTTCATTTTATTCACACAAAAAAGCTTCTTTTTATTTTTACAAACTCAATGACAGCCATCGTACCATAAACTGTTATTATTTTTTTTAATTCTAGGAAAGGTAAGAAGTGACGTCCCTTACTTTGTTTTTTTCAATTGAGTCATAGACAAATCGGTAGTTTCATTCAATTGAATAATTACATTGATTTGTCTTTGATGGGTTAGCTCTATGAAATAAACCACATCACTATTGGTGGTATGTCAAATAATGACAATAAAAAATAAAAAAGCCCAAGTCAACTGTGTTTGGTTTCGTTTACTTTTGTGAATTAAGCCATTAATTTTTATCTAAACAATTAGCTTTACATTTAAAAATAACCAACATGTCTTCAGTTTGTTGTGGAACCAAAAAGCAGAAGCTGAATAACTCGTACAGTAATAGTATAGAACGACCTTTGAATGGTTACCAAGAGTCTGTAGCTATTCCTGATATGTGTTACTTTTGTTTCGATGTTTTGTATTGTCAGCTGCATAGCATGGACCCTCCACAAACACCAAACTTTACCAATGAAGCTTAGTAAGTATATTTCGACCAATTTCTCATGTAAATGTAAACACAATTTTTTATCAAAATTCGAGGATGGGCTTTGTGAAGCCACCTACTATTCTTTGTCTAAAATAAGGTCACGCTGCAAATCAAATCTGCTCTTATTGCCTTCGTTTTAAGTATTAAATCTGAGCATACCATTCTTGCAAGCTGTGCAACAAAGTTGCTAAGTGTTCCCATTATGCCATCCATTTATGATACTTTCACTGAATTTATAAACAACTGTAGATGTTCAATAAGTTTAAAATAATATAGGTTGTTTAAATTAATCAAGTTTAATCTTTTGAAAACAATCCATTTAATGATATTTTTTTCATTTGTTTAACTCCTGATAAACGTTTTCAATTCTTTGTCTTAAAATTAGACTCTTTTTTTTTCTTACCATTTTTTTTTTGTTCTTTGAATGCATAATTCATTTATTCATCGCATCATTTAGTACATCGGATGTTAGTATCATTTTGCAGGTTTTCTCCTATGTTTAAAATTTTTATATCACAGCATTCAACTATTTTGTTGATGTGACCACATCCATGGCATTGAGATTATCTGGTTGGATTTGACCAATTAGAATAATAAAATATGTAATTTAATGTTGTGTGTTTGTGTTTCACAGTCCTTTGTTTGTAACATGGAAGATCGGCAAGGAACACCGTCTCAGAGGGTGTATTGGCACCTTCAATGCCATGCATTTGCATTCAGGTAAATTTTATTACAATGTTTAATTTCAAATACATTTTTAATTAAAATCATATAAAACTGATGAATAAATCATATTTTAAATTTAATCTAGCTAATAACTCATACTTAATAGACTAAAATTGCATTCTGGTTCATTTCACAACATGCTGATTATTTATACAGTAATGGCACTATCAGTTGTGTTACATAATTAACTTGTTATAAATTATTAATCATTATACTGGCTCATTAAATGGTTGTAAGAAATCACAATAGTAGTGGCTCAGTCTGAGATATTTTAATTTTTAATAACCACATCAAAATGGGAATAAATATTCCATTATGTTGATTCAAGATTGCCTGTGATTAACACTATCTGTGAGCATGTTCTAAGTTAATTTCCCCCACCTGAGAATCAAATCCTAATCTACAATTCTCTAAGTTCAATTGTAACTACTGCACTACAAACGCATTTATTAGATTCATTGTTTGAATGGTTCATTATTTGTACGTAAAGGGTTCTGAAGGTATAATAACAATAATATAATTGCTTATTTAACAAATGTAATATAAATATGATATGATATTTCTTTTATCACAATAAGGAGGAAAGAGGTGGCAGAGGTAAGTACTCAACATCGACTTAGCAGCGCAGTACTAAGAATAACAGCGCAGTACTAAGAATAACAGCGCAGTACTAACACTGCAGTTGCCAGCCATACAAGACTCAGTTTTGATTGTATGTTATCATGAATTTACTATACACTTATGATACTCCATTTGAGTCCTATTGGCTATAAATAGAAAAATCAGCAAAAATATTTGAAAGTATGTTCCATAAAATGTGTCAAGAAGAAAATTTGGGATTACTAATGTTTGGCCAAAAAACGTTTCCCAAATTATCTCATCGCAAACAACGTTTCGCAAATTTTCATTTGGCAAAACCAACTTATTGCAAACTTTTAATTCGCAAATGTCGTTTTTGGCATATTATTATTTAGCAAATTATTGTTTGGCAAAGTATGTTTTCCCAAATGTTTCATTTGGCAAAAATATTTCACGATAAACTATTTACAAAATAATTTGATTGGTGCATAGAATGGAATACAAATTAGCTTGTGGTTATTATTTTGTTTGGTGGGTAGTTTTATAAAATTAGTCCTAAATTAATTTTCATATTTCATTCTTTTTATCGAAATTTCCAAATGATTCAATAACAGTAGAGGTGATTCTTAAGGGTCACTGTTCTAACCTAACCTAACCTACTATTTTCTGCAATACCTACTTTCTGCAACCATACTATTTTCTGCAATCTCTTTGTTTTACATAAAATTCTCGTGAAAACCATGATCTGCCTTATGCTTTGATTTGTAGAAGTGTCAATTTGACCAAACAAATTATTTGGGATATAATATTTGGCAAAATAAAACATTTGCTATATAAACATTTGCCAAGTAAAATTGCCAAATGATAATTTGACCAAATAAAATAGTTGCGAAAAGTGCAGTTGCTAAAAGTTCATTTGGGAAATGAAACTTTGGCAATAAGTTGTTTGCGAAGTGAAATTTGGCGAAAAGTAATTTGGCCAAACGGAAGGATACCGAAAATTTGATATGCTCAAGTTAGCTCTAAGCTTCCAGAATGAGCAATATTATTACATCCTAACATGTTTTGTATTGGAAATTGATTATGCCATAATCTAATAGCATAAATAATGATTTAATGTCTGTGAAATTTATTCCTTAACATCAAACACATTACCTTTATTAATGAGATCATTAACACTGACTGCAAATGATTCTGTTCAATTAAAAACTTCACGTAAAATCTTCCAATTAGCGCGATAAGTTTTATCAAACTACACAAATCGCCATTACAACAATTCTGTACCAGCCTTCGTCCCCAGGCCTTCGTGAGTACGCTATAACCAGCGCGCTTAAGGACTCGCGGTTCATGCCGATCACCCGCGAGGAGGTGCCGCGGCTGACGGTCTCGGTCTCCATTCTGCAGCACTTCGAGGAGGCCGAGCATTACCTGGATTGGAAGCTGGGCAAGCATGGAATCCGCATCGAGTTCCTCAGCGAGCGCGGGTCGAAGCGGACCGCGACGTACTTACCTCAAGTTGCCACTGAGCAAGGTGAGTTTAATAATTTCGTTACAATAATGCTGCCTCCTACTAGGTGGACCGACGATCTGGTGAAGGTCGCGGGAAGAACCTGGATGCGGGCAGCACAGGACCGGTCGTTATGCCTTGGGGGAGGCCTTTGTCCAGCAGTGGACGTTATTTGGCTGAAACGAACGAACGAATGCTGACGAGCATTACGAATTTTTTCCCTTTCTTAAGAATCCACTTCAGTAAGCTAAATAAATAGGTACCTACAGTCCTACATGATTGTGTTGTGAGTGAGTTCACCACAATAGTCCGGCAGACGACGGCGTCATTTGCGTATCTAGCGTTCGAACTACCGACTCTCGAATCGGCTATCCGACACTGGACTATTGTCGCCACAATTTGCCTGCAAAATAGGATAAAAGCAGCTGGATATTTCCATCCTCTCAGGTTACTTTATAACATTCCAGGATGGGACCAAATCCAAACGATCGACTCGCTCCTGCGGAAGGGTGGGTACAAGGCGGCGATCACGGCCGACATGCGGCGCAGCATCAAGCTGACTCGCTACCAGTCGGAGGAGGTGTCGGCGACGTACCACGAGTACGCTTCACAGCGCTGCTAGCGGCCCGCGCCGCCGCCGCTTGGCCGGCCCCGCCTAGCCTCTAAGCGACCCGCCGGCGAGCCCGCGCCGGCCGGTGTACATAACGGGAGCGTAGCAAGTACAATCGACGGTCAAAATTTTGCTCAAAGTGATGAGACCTCGCGCTCGATCTTCGTCGACGTAGACCACCACTGCCAACTACATTCCTTAGAGGATACCGAGGTGCCATCGTTTATACAATGAATACTGTGCTTATGATTAAATACGTACGATCGATCCGCGATTATTGTGTGACTGTCTCAAACTGATGTTCAATTATGAAGATTTTCGCGACGGTTTAGCGCTTGGATCAGAGTTTTGACCGGGACATCTTAACACTTTTTTTAAGTTTAAATAATTGTAGTTGTTCTTGTCAGGTGAAGGATGTGTATATTGACATTATGATATGGATGTAAATACCCTTCGGTATTGCCCCACACGATCGATATGTTATTATTAACATAAAAGGCGATAACGCGACTGAAGCTTCAAGAATAAAATGCTTGTCTGAACAACGCAACAATATTTAAAAATAAATATTGTGGTTTCGTTACGTAGCCGATTAGACTTCAAGAGGCTTCATCATCTCGAAAATCATTGCAATAAATAATATCAAGAATTGGGAACGCACCAGTTAGTATAGGTACTTACAAGAATAAATAGGGTAGTGTACTCGAGGTAAGTGTTCCCATTCTTATTTAATTAAGGAATACATTATAACAGCAGAGTTTAATTCACTTGAGTTATAAAATGAAAATTCTAAAAAAAATAAAATAATGGTTGAAACAATACAAAAAAAGGTACTTTAAGAATATTTGTTATCTTAAAAGATAAGTGTGGTCCGTATTAGTTATTACTTTTAATTATAATTATGGTTGTTGTTAATAAGGCTGTTGGTTGACTTTGCGAAATTTCTTTAAAATTGAAGATACAGCACCAGGTTTAATCGACTTTGATCTGTTTTATATCAATTTACTTTAGGGAGTATTATAATTATGGGCCTTTAATTGTACAGATCCATTGGGTGTAGATTTAGCTTCAATAATCGGGGATTTCCCTACTAATCTTACTGCATCACAAAGTAAACTTATAGTGGGCTGTAAGTAAATGAAAGAGTTTCAAGCACATATCTTACTTTCAGAAACATAAATAATTCGATCCAAATTATTAAGTTTCGAAACATACCCTTTTTGCTACATTCTCACTATTAGTTACGTGTGTGATAGCAGCGTTTTCGAAGCAAGACTTAATTCTAATGCTAGTTTTAGCCAGCTAGATTACGAAGAACATTAATTTAGAAAGTGTTTCAAACTGACGCTTCGTTGGTATGCGAAACGGCACTAAGTTGTTGATGTAGTGACTTGAGAATAATCATATACCTATTTGCCACTGCGACATATACAGGCAAAGAGGTCTATCCCTCAGCTCAAACTTGATGCGTCATTAAGATTTTTTGGATTTTATGACAAGGCAATAGGATTCAAAATAACGTAGTAAGGTATATCTGTACTATATCGCCCACTACCTGTTATTCGGAGTCGGAGGACGTTATTTTGATTCTTATTGCCTTGTTTTAAGATGCAAAAATGATGAATAACTTCCTGAAAAATTCTAGATGGACTCTTATGTGTTTTTGGAAAATTGGATTCATGTCGTGTCTTATTTAAACATACAGGATTAATATGAAAATGTAAATATTCTCAAGTCTAGCATAGGGCACGTTTATCTTCCATCGCTAGGCACTTGAGTGGTTGTACTTTACAATGTTCCTTAGGATAAGAATCTGTTTTATTGTTGCCGGTTTCTCTTACAAGTGCAATTGTCTATTTAGACTTGAACCGAGCCTAGTTTTGAGGCGACTCGAAACTTCCATAGTCGACATAAAATTAATGATGTATAGTTTAATAATTAATATAGTGTAACAAGCTGATCATTAGATATTATAAGGTGCAAAAGGTAGTCGAAAATCACGGGCCTTCGAAGGGACATGGACCCAATTGTATGAAACCTCATGTTTGATGTCTGAAGAACTATTTTTGTATGGAAAAATTGGTCTTTTAATGCTATTTGCGATTATGTTTCGTATAAGAGCAAATGTTCCCTACCAAAAATGTGACTTTCAACTGCATATAAGTTGGGACAAGCATGGGAGCAATTTCGAGATGTTCATAATTTCTTTTACTTTAATTTAAAACAAGCATAAGTCAGTCAAAAACAGTTTACTTCAGATTTTGAATTTTATTTGTATTACAGAGTTTAGGGTTAGAGTTCTAATGACAATACCACCATTGAACTATCCCGGAGTTGCCCCCATTGGCTTTTGATCGAATTATCTCAAGGTGCAAGTTAAGAGCAGTTTTGCATGTGTTCAAAATAGAAAGTGTACTTTTCTGGTAACAGTTGTATGCATAGTTTGTTGTCCGTTTTTGTAATTCGTTATTATAATTAACTAACATAGATTACTTGAAAAGATATCTTGTTTTTTATTGAGTTTTAAAGTGGCATTATTGATTGGTTTGCCATTAAGTACTATATTTTTTTACTGGCTCTATTTACCTACAGTATAAAAAATGGCCTATCAATGTAATGATGACTATTTTAAAATGACACAAGATTTTAAGCAACAACTACCTATAAAGTTATTTATTAAACTCTATTTACATTGTATAAAAAATGGCCTATCAATGTAATGATGACTATTTTAAAATGACACACAAGATTTTAAGCAACAGCTACCTATAAAGTTATTTATTAAACTCTATTTACATTATACATCTACAAAATAATAAGTCTCATTGGTTTCTAGCCAAATCTTCTTCATACATTTTTTCTATCTCCATAACTTTTCTTTTTAGTGTGATATTATTTTTCATTTCATAATAAGTAATAACAGAGGAGGCTACCACTTGAGCCACAGCTAGAAATGTAAGAGTGGCTGTGAAAGGTCTAGTCAATTTCCTGACAAATTGTAACACAACCTTAGGGCCCTCCCTCAAGTCTGGTATTCTAGCAGTTCCATATCTATGGGCAAACTGAAAATAAGAGTCTTTCATTATTTTAGGTCACAAATAAATTGAAGAGATAGTAATATAAAGTATAGAAATATTCACCATCAATCCAGAAAGTGGGCCTAGAACCATTGGGTATGCAATCCCAAGTCCACATTGGACTGCTATTGAACGAAGCTCATAGCACATTGGGCATGCTCCATCTTTCATCAACAACATATTTGTAGAAACTAACTAAAAAGAGACGTATGTATATTATAAAAATAAATGACATAAAAAATTGATGTACTGGTGGTCTTCTACTTACATATCTATGGAACAGGGGTGTTAGAACTCCAGGCATAATGGATATAGGTATTGCAGACGCTAAGAAACCATAAAGGCCGAGTTTGAGCTTCGTCCGGTAATGCCTGTTGATAATGAGACCAGACACAGCATTGACGCCGCCCAGTATTCCTGGTCCATATCGTAAAGCCCAGCTGAAATAAAAAAATCGAAATTAAGGTAAGTTTAGTCGGTTATTCCCAGCAGCCCCCTCCGGCATCGCCCCCACTGGGGGCAACTGGGACATTATTGTTTACGAATTCCGGTGGTAAATAGATTTACATTATTTTATGTCACTATTGTGGAAGGTGGAGAAATAATAACTTTATTGGTTGATGCAAAACAAGGGTCTACGCTTTTAAAAGTACAAAAAGCCCAAGAGATTGAAACGAAAGAGGTTAGTATAACCTAAGTCATAAAGAACATCACTGATATTATACCTACCTAAATCAAGTACTTATAGTAGTATGGACTTACGTATCTGAAGGTGTCTCCCAGTTGGTCACAAACTCCCATGCGTGCTTAGTGGCTTCCATTTCGTCCAGCAACACGGCATCGTCGGGAATATTCGCCGATCTCATCACAGCCATGATGGTATTTAGTTAGTGAATAGTACACTCTGATGAATTAAATTTGGGTAACGGCTAAACGTTACACTGGAGGTTTTATTGAAAATACATTAGTTTTAATCGAAATATTTTACTATTTCTTCATTCCAATTTGCTCACATGTTGACATTTCACTATAGGTAGCTGTCATTACTGTCAGCAGAACAGCTGATCGATATTTTTAATAATTTGGGTTATGGCAAAGATATACAGATATGGTACAGCTTACAAAAACAACATCACAAAATGGCATGAGGAATTAATGGCGAACGCCAATAATTCAGGCAATTTGTGAAGGGCCATTACTAAAATGTTGAATAGAATACTATGCTAATGAAAAGCGCTAGATTTTTTATTTTACAACTTTATTTTAGTCAAGAGTTCGAATGCGTGATGAACGGAGCACCCGTTTGTGGATGTCGTAGGCCGATCGTCAGATTGGCCATATCGTGATGTGCCCGGGCATATCGTGAAGCCGACACTTCATGATCTGCCCATGTCTGCCCAACTTACACCAGCCATAGACAGACATTCTAAAAAATAATATAGATGACCCACGCTGAACTGTCCCACCAAACTCAATGACAGGGGGCGCTACCATCGTTCAACTATATGGTTTCCAACATGGCAAAAATCGGAACCAGCGATCCGGTATTGACGGTGGCGCCCCACTGTCAATGTCATCGATAGGACAGGACAGTCCAGTATTTTGGAACTATAAAAAGGACACAAATTGTTTGAAAGAAGAAGAATGATGTCCTCCTCAAGAATGAAAATAAAACAATAGCAAACAAAATATATAAAATAATTCATTTATTTGTCATTTAATTGTAAGTTTTATAAATAAAAATAATTGAATAATTAAATTTAAAATGCTTTTAATGACATGATAACAACAAAAACAATTTTTATTTTTACACACCTTGTAGACTTACACAAATAACGTTGTAAAATTTCCTAATTATTCTAAAACAATACAAGTACCTACATAACATTGAAAATCTAATGATTTTCTTTTAATTTATTACTTATTTATACTTAATTCTTATTTGAAGTCACAATAACTCCATTGGTCCTTGTCTTTCATAACTTTAGTAAATTTTATTTTATCAAAAATATACAATTTGCATTAAAAGGTAAGTACTAATAAAATATTTCAGTAAATGCTCACATTCTATGAAAGTACTTACCTAATTCTTAGATATCTTTACCAATAATTTTCGTTATTTATCATCGATAAAATCAAAATGGTTCGTATTTGGGCTTACCAGTTGGCGCCACTGGCAAGTGACAGGACCTTGTCCTACAGTGGCGCCACTCTAGTGAGTGCAATGGACAAGTTTCCATTTGTTTTTTCTTTTAATAAAACTTGAAAATATAAGTAAAATCATGAAAATATCTCTACTAATACAAAAGTTACAGGGCCCTTAAGTTGCGCATAACAAAATTCGCAATTTTTGAATGGCAGGGTGTCTTTGAGATCAAGCCTGTATCTTTACTGAAACCTACGACTCAAAATCTTCAGACATTTATCACAATGAGGCCACGTACTCTTAAGTATCTACCTCGCCAGAACATTAAACTATTTACAAGAAAATTAAAAACTTGATACAATAGACACAAAGTGCATTCTTCATTTTATGGTACTTTAACCTGCAGCATCTAACAAGTAAAACTTAGTCTAAGCATCATGTTTTATAGTGTCATGGCACTGGATTTTGAACTAATTAATCACATGTTAAGAGTCAACGTTGACTCATGATTTCGGCGGTTAGCCTTGTCCACCATATTTTTTGGCGTACGTAGCAACCTCAGAGGTCGTGGTCGGACTATAGTCACGAATTGAATTAAACCGAAATGGTCACCCATTAAGGTCTAAAGTCGGCTGCGAGGGCACCGGCTTCTCAACGTGACCTTAGCATCCGAATACCTACGGACTAGCTAGAAACAACGTGAAAATTGAATTAAACCGAACTGATTACCCTTTAAGATTCAAATTAGACTATCAAAGGCACTCTGTGCGAGCTCTGGCGTCTCCACGCGAGAGGCGAGTGGCTAGGCCTAGTCCTGGGCGCTAGCGCGGCAAAGTAAATTAAACCAAACTGCTGTCACGTTAAGGTCTAAAGTCGACTGACAAAGGCGCTCTGCGTAAGCGCCGGCGCTCCCAGCGCAGCGGTCGGATACAAGCGCGTGGCGAGAACCGACGTAAATTAAACCGTACTGGTTACTCATTAAGGTCTAAAGTCGACTAACGAAGGCGCTCTGCGTAGGCGCCGGCGGTTCCACGCGGCGGCCCCAGCAGTCAGACACAAGACGCGCTGCCCAACCTAGCGCTACCGTGACAAATTAAATCAAACCGTACTGGTTACCCACTAAGGCTTAAAGTCGGCTAACGAAGGCACTCTGCGTCGGCATCGGAGGCTCAACGCGGCGGTCGAATACAAGCCGAGCGCGTGGCGAGATCTGACGCTAACGCGGCAAAGTAAATTAAACCAAACTGCTGTCACGTTAAGGTCTAAAGTCGGCTGACAAAGGCGCTCTGCGTAAGCGCTGGCGACTCCACGCGGCGGCCCCAGCGGTCGGACACAAGCCGCGTGGCGAGATCTGACGCTAGCGCGGCAAAGTAAATTAAACCGTACTGGTTACCCACTAAGGTCTAAAGTCGACTGACAAAGGCACTCTGCGTCGGCGCTTTCAGCGCAGCGGTCGGATACAAGTCGCGTGGCGAGATCCGACGTAAAATCGGCGACCAAAGTAAAAGATCTGACGCTAACGCGGCAAAGTAAATTAAACCAAACTGCTGTCACGTTAAGGTCTAAAGTCGACTGACAAAGGCACTCTGCGTAGGCGCCGGTGCTTCCACGCGGCGGCCCCAGCGGTCGGACACAAGCCGCGTGGCGAGATCCGGCGCCAGTGCTGCGATGACGACCACGACGTTGGCGATCCAGAACGGAAGAGACGCTAGCAGGCGAGTGTACGTACCAAGGACATCGCCGTCGTATTGCCTGGAATAAAGGAAAGACATTACTGTGGGACATTTTAGATGGCGCCATCTAAAGCCTAAAATTTTGTCCAATGACCCCAAGCTCCAAGCCAAAGCTGTCGCGCTCGCACACTCACTGCGGGCGCGCGTCGCACAGTCGCGACAGCAATATAATTACGCGCGAGCGATAAGGATGGATAGCTTGGGGTCATTGGACAAAATTCTACGTGCTCACGGACCAGGCTTTAGTGTCAAACCAAGTAGTTTGTGCAAGGGCAATCAGACAATGGTTTCAGATCATAGAGACAGATTATCCCGTTTCAATTTTCAATGGATTTTATGGATTGTATCGATATCGATATGTGATCGTACCGTTAAGCGCAGCGTAAGACGACGACCTCATAAAGGTAACAAGAAGGCGCTGGATGCAAAACCGATAATTATAGAAATCATTGGGGGATACCTATGTCCAGCAGTGGTCTATAACTGATGTGATGATGATGATGATGACTTACAGGTTAAGCAGCGAGTAGACGGCGGTGATGGCCACGTGCGCGAGTATTGACAGCAGCACCGACGCCACGAATATCAGAGTATGGTAGCGCGCTTGTAGCCACAGCTTTAGGTTCACGATCACCACGTTTAGGTGGAACAGCAGAGAGCCGAACGACCTGATGAAAATATAATTGGATTATAAGACAAGGTTATAGAGTTCAAAATATGATAGCAACTATTGCCACAGTCTTGTGCAGAGAACACACGATTAATCTTAGGGGCCTACGCTATTTGCGAACGCACGCGTGCGAAAACCCGTCGCACGCGTCCGCGCCACACTTCGCTGCTCACTTTTAGGCTGGTTTTAGAATCGCGTTGACCGCTCGCTGATCGTCGGCGCTGACAAATCAAATGTATTTAATTGGGTATTTGACACCATTCGCCAATAATTCTAAACCACAACTTTTTAAAAAAGACACTTGTTTCTGGTCTTAAAAACTTAATTAATTTTTAATTACCTGTAAATTACGATTTTTGGTTACATTATAATTGAAAAAAGTAGTTTCATTAAGTTGATAAATTTGTGACGTCACATGCTAGTATTGCCGTACAAAATCTATGGGAGAGTGTCGTTTTGACAGTTTTAAAAAGTACGTCAATTGATTGGTGGTGTCAAATACCCTATTGAAGGGAACGTTCCTAAGTGACGCTGATCGCTCGGCGCCGACGCTTCATACATTTTGGCTGTGAGCGCTGACGGTCAGCGTGCGTCAGCGTGATTCTAAAACCAGCCTTACTCCAAACAGGGACGAGTGCGTGCGCCCGCGCGAATTTTAGCATAGGCCCTTAATGGGTTCTATTGTGGTCTTCAGACGACACTTTCGTGTCCTTTGATTCCACTTTGATCACCTGGGTGATCATAGTAGACTCCAGGCGATACTTTGGTATCCTTTAATTATATTTCTGGGTGATCAAAGTAGACTCCAGGCGACGCCTTGATGTCCTTTGATTCCACTTTGATCACCTGGGTAATCAAATCCAGGTGATCAGAGTAGAATAGAACCTTAATGGGCAGGTTCAAAAGTTCATTGTTTAGATGTTAAGACAAAGCGATAGATAAGGCTCAAAATACCATGGCATCTTTGTAGCTGTGGCAATAGAGACATTTCATTATCGATAGTATGTCAAAAAGCACTGGCAAAGCTAAAGTTAGAAGGCACTATAAAATCAAAAAAAATAACCTTCTAAAGCCCGGTCTCTGAACACGTAGAATGTTGTCCAATGACCCGAAACTACCCATCCTTATCGCTCGCGCGTAATTATGTTGATGTTGCGCTCGCACACTCACTGCGGGCGCTCGTCGTCAGCAATATAATTACGCGCGAGAGATAAGGATGGGTAGCTTGGGGTCAATGGACAAAATTCTACGTGCTCAGCGACCAGACTATATCATCTTATAACTCACCACAGGTCAACAGTCTTAGCGTCGCCATTGATGACAGGGATGCGGAACACGAAGTAAGACACGAGGTAGATGACCACCGAGTGGTAGACCGCCGCCAGCGTCCACGAGCTGAAGTACCACCACGACATCAGCCGGTTGCGGGCGATCTCCCGGTATAGCGTTGGGTTCCTGGAGAAAAAGGATGACTATACGTCCCGCTCGCTCTAAATAAGATGGTAGTAGACTACTTGGCGCGAATGTGAAGCGTCATATTAGCAGTTTTGTTTTATTTTCTAAAAATCGTATTTAGACGACTATTAATGTGTAATAATGGTGGATTATTAACCACTAAGAGTTCGTGAACGTGCATGAGTGTGGGCAAATGAAACAAAACAGTGCAGCGTGATTCTTCGGATTCTCTCGTACCTAGTCCATATGAAGTCTCAGTAAAGCACCACAACTTTACTGAGACTCAAAGGGTGGGAAGGAGTATCATCTATCATCCCACCCCACTTGGTCCCATTTTGTAACTCGTCTCACTTGAAACTTGAAAAGGCACAAATCAAGTTGGCCTCGACGTGTATTGCCAACATCAAAAAAGAAGATGATGATGATATGAGACAGTGGCAAGGACTCGAAATATGGGGAATCGACATAGTTGCGCTTAAGCTTCTCAGTCAGATAATTTGCTATCATCAAACAATCTGTTAAATTAAAATACACTGTCTAAAGAGATACAGGTACTTTTGCAATGCTCAGAATCACACTTTCAGTGGTAAAATGCAACTCAGCTGTAGAAATAATGCTTGAGATTGAACTCGAGATTTATCGAGATTCGACTCTTGCAATAGAATTGCTCCTGTGTTGGACATAATCATAGGCAGCAAAAGGAATGAAGGTGGAGCGACGACCTGATAAAGGTTTAAGTTAGGAAGGCGCTGAATGCAGGCCGCTACCAACCGGACGATGTGGAAGTCATTGGGGGAGGCCTATGTTCAGCAGTGGACGTCCTGTGGTTGAAATGATAATTATGATGATAGGCAACAAGTAGACCGACAAGTCTTAGTAAGATGTCAGTTATAACTAAAGGATAACTATATGAATCATTCTGTTTATTATAAAGTGCTTACTTGAGCAGCAAGTTGGACGGCCACCGCTGCTCCGTGATGGACAGCAGCAGGACGGGAACTGACGTCAGCACGAGATTGTAGATCGTCAGGAATAGAGAGTCGTATATGGACTGCGTTGAGAACGCCGTTTGGAATTGAAAGAATAACTGGAATCAAATAAAATACCTCAGTTAGTCGACAATCGTAGGGGCAACGGGATATCGATCTTAGAGCCTATATCTTGATGTAGCAAAACATGTGGACTTATTTTATAGCTGTAACAACTGTATACCATGTTTTATGCAAATAAACAATTATTCTATTCTATTCTATGCACAGGGCGTTTTTTAATGGCGCATTTTTTTTTCCTGCAAATGTCTTTATGTAGATTGGGTCCAACTTTCGCGTGTATCGCGTCTGTATCGCTAAAAACGTGCGTCGACGGTGCGGTTAAAAAACGCCGTGTGCGTAGGCTCTTATGTACTTGAAATAANGGAGTATCATCTATCATCCCACCCCACTTGGTCCCATTTTGTAACTCGTCTCACTTGAAACTTGAAAAGGCACAAATCAAGTTGGCCTCGACGTGTATTGCCAACATCAAAAAAGAAGATGATGATGATATGAGACAGTGGCAAGGACTCGAAATATGGGGAATCGACATAGTTGCGCTTAAGCTTCTCAGTCAGATAATTTGCTATCATCAAACAATCTGTTAAATTAAAATACACTGTCTAAAGAGATACAGGTACTTTTGCAATGCTCAGAATCACACTTTCAGTGGTAAAATGCAACTCAGCTGTAGAAATAATGCTTGAGATTGAACTCGAGATTTATCGAGATTCGACTCTTGCAATAGAATTGCTCCTGTGTTGGACATAATCATAGGCAGCAAAAGGAATGAAGGTGGAGCGACGACCTGATAAAGGTTTAAGTTAGGAAGGCGCTGAATGCAGGCCGCTACCAACCGGACGATGTGGAAGTCATTGGGGGAGGCCTATGTTCAGCAGTGGACGTCCTGTGGTTGAAATGATAATTATGATGATAGGCAACAAGTAGACCGACAAGTCTTAGTAAGATGTCAGTTATAACTAAAGGATAACTATATGAATCATTCTGTTTATTATAAAGTGCTTACTTGAGCAGCAAGTTGGACGGCCACCGCTGCTCCGTGATGGACAGCAGCAGGACGGGAACTGACGTCAGCACGAGATTGTAGATCGTCAGGAATAGAGAGTCGTATATGGACTGCGTTGAGAACGCCGTTTGGAATTGAAAGAATAACTGGAATCAAATAAAATACCTCAGTTAGTCGACAATCGTAGGGGCAACGGGATATCGATCTTAGAGCCTATATCTTGATGTAGCAAAACATGTGGACTTATTTTATAGCTGTAACAACTGTATACCATGTTTTATGCAAATAAACAATTATTCTATTCTATTCTATGCACAGGGCGTTTTTTAATGGCGCATTTTTTTTTCCTGCAAATGTCTTTATGTAGATTGGGTCCAACTTTCGCGTGTATCGCGTCTGTATCGCTAAAAACGTGCGTCGACGGTGCGGTTAAAAAACGCCGTGTGCGTAGGCTCTTATGTACTTGAAATAAGGTGCATTTTTGCAACAAAAAAGCTGTGTATATTTACTCACCATTATATTTCCGAGGACTAGATTCTTATAGAAGAAGTAATGTATTAACGTAGCTAATCTTTGGTAATACCAGTGGCCTATAACTAAGAGTACTTTCTTTATCATCGAGAACTTTGTAAATGCGAAATCAGCCGATCTGAAATTAGAAACAAATAATTTTAAACAAATAGAAGGTATGGTTGAAATAATTGTATGTAAGAAGTTTAAAGTGATTCTATTGATGCTTAAAAAATACATTCCTCATCATCATCAGGGTGGAAATGATAAGTGATCTCACTCGATTATTTATAAACTATACAAGATATCGAAAAACTGGTTACTGGTCCTAAAAGTGCTTTACAAGCTCTATCAAACGGTATCAATAATAATAATCATCATCATCATTTCAGTCATAAGACGTCCACTGTTGATCATAGGCCTCCGCCAATGACATCCACATTGCTCCGTTGGTAGCGGCCAACATCCAGCGCCTTTCTCCTTCCTTTATGAGGCCATGTCCTGTCCTGTGATTGGCGTTCTGTGGCTGAAATGATGATGACTATGATGAAGACTTATTACGGGACTATTCCCACCTCTCGTTCCCACCACTGCACCTCCTGTGTAGCCAGGATCTACAGCTTGACCGACACAAAAACCCAACCAATGAAGGTCAAGTTTGTCCCGGGGGAAAGTTAAACTGTCATTGGACCCGCAACGAAATTAATCAGAAGAACATAGGAGGAGTTCGAAATTAAGGTTCGACTTCCCTCCATTGCAAAGCGGATGACAGGTGACAAACAAAGGTTTAAAACCTTTAAGAAAAGATTATGCACCACGGACAATAAATTAAATTAAGGGGGCCTATCTTATGAGCAATTAGCAACTACCTGCCAATAATATTTTTCACAAAAGCGCTTAAAAGCACGGAAATTTTCCTTGTCGCGACAAGAACGGTGTAATAAATTGCGAAAACAGATTTATGTTGTATTGAATTAAGCATTATATCACGTTCATGTTTCTAAAGATCACACTCCCACAAGATATGATGGGCAGACTGCTCATGACTGACATCATCAGTGGAACACTCGCAAAAAGGAGACGGAACTAGTTTGAATTCGTGAAGTTTATGTTTAAAGTTGCCATGTCCCGTGAGGAACTGCGACGAGCAATGGTCGATTTCTAANACTCTTTCTTTTTGACCCAGGAAACATCCCTATTATGTTAATGACCATGAAAGTTTAAAACAATATAGCGTCAAGAAGGGTTTAGAGTGAGAGTAATAAGCATGTCACACTGTAACATCTTGTGTAGTTGTAATAGATCCCAATTTGCAACAAAAATGTATAGTCGGAAGTGTTGTTGCTGTACATGTTAGATCATTTAAATAAGAGTGGGAGTGAGGAAAGTGTAATAATTATGAAACGTTTATGATAGTGGATTGCAGATGAAGATGCTACCCACCCGTGTAGACGGCACAGCCGATGGCCCACTCGGTGTTCTTGACGCGGGAGCCGCGCAGCATGAGGTTGTCGGTCCCGAGCGGGATGCTGTCGAGTCCCGGGATGTCCAGGCGCCCATAGAACGAGTATAGATCCTTGTCTTATCACCACTATGTACGGAGGTCACACTCACCCGTATAAACAGCACAGCCGATGGCCCACTCGGTATTCTTGACGCGGGAGCTGCGCAGCATGAGGTTGTCGGTCCCGAGCGGGATGCTGTCGAGTCCCGGGATGTCCAGGCGCCCATAGAACGAGTATAGATCCTTGTCTTATCACCACTATGTACGGAGGTCACACTCACCCGTATAAACAGCACAGCCGATGGCCCACTCGGTATTCTTGACGCGGGAGCTGCGCAGCATGAGGTTGTCGGTCCCGAGCGGGATGCTGTCGAGTCCCGGGATGTCCAGGCGCCCATAGAACGAGTATAGATCCTTGTCTTATCACCACTATGTACGGAGGTCACACTCACCCGTATAAACAGCACAGCCGATGGCCCACTCGGTATTCTTGACGCGGGAGCTGCGCAGCATGAGGTTGTCGGTCCCGAGCGGGATGCTGTCGAGTCCCGGGATGTCCAGGCGCCCATAGAACGAGTATAGATCCTTGTCTTATCACCACTATGTACGGAGGTCACACTCACCCGTATAAACAGCACAGCCGATGGCCCACTCGGTATTCTTGACGCGGGAGCTGCGCAGCATGAGGTTGTCGGTCCCNTATCATTTTACCGAAGTCAGCCCTATAGCTTCAGCGCAGTGCCGATCACTGAGGTTTGTCAACAAAATGGTGCTTGACTCTTGAGACAGGCTAAATTACACCATATTGTTAATGACATTGAGCATACATTTTTTTAAATACCTTCGCGAAGTAAAACTTCTGTACGTAGTACTTATTATTATTCTGTGCCTTTATGAGGCCATGTCCTGTCCTGTGATTGGCGTCCTGTGGCTGAAATGATGATGACGATGATGAAGACTTATTACCTGGCGGCCTGATGACCCTCGCGGCCGAAGATGCCGAAGCCGACGTGCGCTTCCTGGATCATGGAGATGTCGTTGGCGCCGTCGCCGATGGCCGCCGTCACCGGCCGGTCCTTGCTGTTCTTTATTAGTTTCACTATCTGCAAGGGAGTTGAGTGTTTATTGCGTTGGGTTAAGGTACATAATAGCTTTGCTAACATATTGCCTTTTGTTAAGGAAGGTCCATGAAAAATGAAAATTTTACACTAGCTTGTTGCTTGGTTCAGGTGTAAGTTCAAAGTTCTGGTGGACAGTACAGGTTTACGGCCATGCAATATATGTATTTCGGCCACAGATTTGTATCTAAATCTATAATTTCGGCATCGCCATTTCAGACAGCTCTTATAATAAAAAGCTTGTCTAGTGAATATAACAATTATTTTTAGAAATTAATTAGTTTATATGGCCGAAATATGAAATGCATTGCATTTGCATAGCATTGCGGTCCACGATCACCTTCAAACTTGTAACTTTAAAGACATAGAAGGCGAGCTTGCAGATTTCTTTACAGACCTTATATGTAAATAAATCTATGGGATTCAAACAGACTAATACTGAAATCGAAGAGAGAGAAAGACAATAAATATGTTAAAAAGCTCACTTTAGCCTTCTGTATAGGCGACAGTCTGCAGCACAAAACCGCGTGACACTGCATCGATATCTCCACAAAGTGCTTCGCGTAATCCGTATCAAGTATCTGACTCATGCTCGTCCCATCCACGATCAACGTCAGCTCTCTAAAACTAGGTTCGGATATGATCCTCCTGCATTCGGTCACGTGAGCTTGTAAGGCGACGTCATCTTCGACACCTATGAGGAACATTCGGCGATCGTTCTCGGATATGTGCGCGCAAGATTGAGCCACGTTGATCGCTGTTTCTACCTGAGGACAATTGGATCGTTAGTGAAATAGAATTAGTTCTAAGAGTATCTCAAAAGTTTATCCCACATTTTGTGTTTGACTATGACATTGCAGGCTTAAAAAAATAGACATTGTGCTCTAGAGAGCACAATTTCAGATGCATTGTGGTTCATTAACTATGACACACGATATAATCTACAGCTAGATATGCTTTCGCTACTGACCGCCACAGCAAGTTTCTGGGCCTTTTACACTCAACGTTTTCGCGCAGGTCTTTTTAGGTCATTGTTTAAATATGCTACGTCTTTCAGTTCGCCATTCAAGAACTTTTCTTCTCTGACAATTGACAATTCTATGAACGAACTACCTACCCATCGCCACTTCATCTTGGGGATTGAAACTATGTCGGGATTAGTTACTTCATTAGGATATCTCGAAAAGGACTCAAACATCCCTATCAATCGGACCATTCGAACACGTCAAATGAAATACATCGGAACTACGCGATTAATCAGCAGATAAGCAATAAATCGATTAACCGATAGCGTATTATACACTTACTTAAATACTACACGATTATACATACACAATTACAATAAGAAAAGAAATGGGTTTTCCCTAGGACGTTCCCTGGGTTTTTATAAACTTCAGAATATTTTAGTTAGACATCATCGAATCAACTTGGTACTTATTTTCTAATAATTATTTTATCTACGTGAAATACCTAAATGAAGTCATCACGGTGTTCCCTTTTATAAATTATCAGTAATTACATATTGTTATCGAAGTACAGTTCTATGTCATTACCTCAACTTCCTTGTTCGGATACATTAAGGCGGGTAAAATAAGGGTTTGCGACACGTGCAATTTGCAAATATTACAGAAAACACGTGATAGAATAGATACTACTGATAAAACAAAATTCATAGCATAATGGGCGTGGCTTAATGTGATACGGTCTGCTGCACCTAAAATACTTACATATTAGAAAGATAAAACGACGATCATCAGACTACAATATTTATATTTTTGTTGCTAAAAAGCGCCTATTTATAATTACATAAGATGCCAGACGTCAGCACATTAAGCTAAACACTGTGGAGTCTTGTACCTATAGTTGTAATAGGGTTGAGTTTGCAACAAAAAATATAGTTTTCAGTAGTGCCGTCGGTACAAGCGTTATCTAAAAAAAAACTCAATTTATCGAATCGAAATCGATAGCGAATGTCACATTGTCTACCGAAGTAATGTCAGGCACGCACCTTGTCTCCAGTAAGCACCCATATCTTGATCGCAGCACGGCGCAGCGCCGCGAGTGTGTCGGCGACGTCGTCTTGTAGACAGTCTTCAACCGCTGTCGCCCCGATTAGAGTCAGCTGACGCTCTAAGACGCGATACTGCTGAGTGACTAGCTGGAGAGACTCCACTTTGGTTGTGTCTAGCTTCTGTATTGCTGGTTGAAGAAAAAAACATCAATTAAATGACAAATCCCCAATTTTTCCGATCAAAAGAACAGTAAAGTGAAATTGAGTAGTTGACAACTGACATCATTAACCATTCAGTCAAAGATACAACTTTTATAAAGCACTTCATGCTAGCCCTGAAACAGAGTTTTCAAAATTTGCTGTAAAATTAGATTTTTAGTGCCTTTTTTGAGTTTTGAGTTGGTAAACATTTATTCGGCTAACTCAATTGAGTAAAAACAATTTTATATGTTTTAAATATGATTGCATTTCCCCAATACACAGAATAATAAGTCAAATAATCGTTGAAAGAAAAATTTGCCCTGAAAGGTATTCGCAAGTAGCACATTACGGATATTACGGTTATTTGTATGATAAGTTTTATCAGTCAACTAGTTCGGAGTCACGAGTCGCTTATATGATTAGTGGCATGTTATTTTTTGCTAAGCCGTCTTAAATCGCTATCTTTGCCGATACCAACAAAGGATTAACAGTATTCCACGAAAAATTGCAGTTAATTCAAATAAAAAAAATATTAAGGCCTAGAACAGACGGTGAAACGAAACTGCAACTGCTAGTTACTTTTGAGTTGCATCTAAGTTTCTGCCATAGCGTCCGTTGAGAGACCACACATGACGCGACCAGTTTGAAACTTTCAGTTTCAGTTTCATTCATCAGAATCATCAGAAAGTTGCAGTTTCGTTGCAGTTGCGTTTCAGCGTCTGTTCTGGGCCTAACTCTCTACGACAATGTAACATACATCACATCGCGCCGGTAGCTTCGCTATGTAAAACGACTTCGAAATTAAAACTATCACGAATTTAACTTTGTCTAATGTTATGGGGCAAATATTATTCGAACTTACATTCAGAGATCTTATTGTATTCTTCTTCTGGTATCTCTCTATACGCTATCGCCAGCGTCCTCAGTCCTTTGTTGGCAAACACATTGATGTCTCTATCCGTGTCTTCTATCAACGCCGAATCCTTGCAAAGGGGGAAAACTGAACTCTCTGCCCCTTTGCAGAACAACCATATCTGAAAATCAACAATATGAACTTTAACTCTACTATACTAGTAAGCTTTAATGCTATTTTGATACTTATTTTTTGACAATCAATGGTAGAAAATAACAAAATACTATAGATGGGCGCATGCTAGGATCATCAAGCAAATAAAATTCAAATATCTTGGGCATAATTGGTGTTAATAAATAAATAAGTGCATCTTTCATTGTTCATACATAAGCAGAGCTTAGCGCGTATCTCAAGTAGGGGTTTTAGGTTAAGGGCGTGGCTTAAAAAATGGGTGTTACCTCGTTTTGAATTCGTCTTGAAATGTTGATCAAAAACAGTAACTATCTCTTTAATGCATTTCATTCTGCCGACATTGGGTTTTTTAAGAGAAGTGTAAACTACAGGAAACAAAAATTATCGGTGCCAAATCAGCAATACTGATATGATAAAGTAAAACAAAAACGAGAAAGCGTCATAATATGTGAATCATCTAGAAGAGCGTATCTAACATATGCATCCAATAAAATGTATACCCTATATCGGCTGCAATATAGGTACACATTGATTAATGTTGCAAAATAACACATTACAACTACATAAGAATTCATAGTGTTTAGCTCTATGTACTGTTGTCGCCTGTTTATTCCGTTTCAGTCAAATGACGTCTACTGCTGGACAAAGGCCTCCCCAAGGATTTCCACAAGGACTACTTGGTCTTGTCAACTTGTACAATAATATAAATGAAAAGCTCTATGAAATATAAAGTGTAAAATCGAAGTATTAGTCCAGTAATAAAGGAAAAATGTAAGAATTAAAACGACAAAAATAAAAGAAGGTAAAAAGCTATTTCTACGTACCTTCCCATCTTTATCGCGTAGGATAATCGACATCCTCTTGCGTTCCGAAGTGAACTCTATTAACTGGAGCCGTTCGTACATTTCCGTGTGATCGCCAATCTTCACCAGCATATTATTGCCGTCTTCTCCCAGAAACGAGACCCCGATTCTATCTGCGGCCTCAACTAAAGCTTTCTCATCAGGGCTGCTACCCTGATACTCCATTTTTCCCATATTATCTCCTAAAAGAGCGTCCCAAGATATATTGTCGCCTGCTCCGTTACCGTTTCCATTCGGTACTTTACTCGACTTTTTCCGTCTCATGAACTTCAGGGGATTGTCGAAGGTGAGAGAGAGACGGGCGCTTAGCCGTTTCATGTCTTCGTTTGATATTTGCACCGTGTGGCAGAGAGCTAGGATTGTGAAGAAGAATTTTACGTCAATCTGGAACAAAATCAATGCAGTGTTGTATTAAATGAATAAAACTAGATACAGTTTCGTAAATAAGTTAGTCACACAAAATGATTTTATGCGAATTATGCTGTAGAAAGTCACAGTTTATATTTTTGATGAATCGTTGGAAGTATTGATAGATATCGTTAAGTGACTAATTTTATAATGCGAGTGAACCTGTTAAGTACACATAATCATTTTATTATGTATGTACATATTTCTTTACTTTAGTTAGGTCTGTGCTAATACAAATAAACACAACTAAGAGCTTGGCTTATAGGACTTGTTTTAAGGGTTCTTTAAACTTTACTACCTCGAGATTTTGATATTTATAGGGTAAACCTTATATCACTTACATTATTGCAGCACACAGGCTCCTCAAACCGCTCCGTGTCATAGACAAAGACAAAGACATCTATTTGCAAAGAATAGGTTGATACAGATAGTATTGTAAATACAAAGTGCTCTATTCTGCTAAAATACATTAACATGCAAATTTTTGTCCAGAAATTCCTGAACACTGTAAAAGCAGGAAGTGGTTGGCCATTCCCTAAGCTTTCTGGTCATTACTTTTGCAGGACCTATTTTAAATCTTTCAGGAATTTTGTTATAAACCTTAATGCACATAGAATAACAATTTTTATGACAAAGTGCGATTTTTGGGCAGAAGTCAAATACTAGTCTATTTGCTGACCTTGTGTTTCTCATACAGCCGGCTCTCTCTCTCCTCGTATACGTGTCCCCGTATGGCACACGCCTTGAACACCATAACGTTCTTGGTGAGAGTGCCTGTCTTGTCCTAGAACAGCACTAGAGTGCCCCTACTTTACTACAAGTATCATAACTCACATTATTGCAGCACACGGGCTCCTCAAACCGCTCCGTGTCATACAGCCGGCTCTCTCTCTCCTCGTATACGTGTCCCCGCATGGTACACGCCTTGAACACCATAAGGCTCTTGTCTTGTCCTAGACCAGCACTAGAGTGCCTCCTACCCTACTACATACAGGGTGGAATTTTGTAATGCCACCTGGAGGGAAAGTACTCTTAATACTGCAGATAAAAAAAATACTTGAAGAAAACATTCCTTTATTTTTGAAAAGAAAAAGAACTGCATTCATAGATTTTCGAAATTTTTTCGAAAATTCACTACCATACCATACAATTTCTGTACATGATTAAAATAATTTAAGATTTTATGGATTTCCTTTCATTTGATTTATCAAGTTTGTTAGAGAGATTTCATCCTTATACTTGACCCTAACGATCGATGCAATAAAAATACAGGGTGTAATTTTTAACAGATTTTAGTTGGTTCGATTCCCGAGCGTGGCAAGCTAATTTTTGGAAATTTTTGAAAGCAGTTCTATTTCCTTTCAAAAATAAAGGAATGTTTACTTTGAGATTTTTTTTCTATATACAATATTAAGAGTACTTTCCCTCCAGGTGGCATTACAAAATTCCACCCTGTATATCATAACTCACATTATTGCAGCACACAGGCTCCTTAAACCGCTCCGTGTCATACAGCCGGCTCTCTCTCTCCTCGTACACGTGTCAACGTATGGTACAAGCCTTGAACACCATAAGGCTCTTGTCTTGTCCTAGACCAACACTAGAGTACCCCCTACCCTGTCACAAGTATCATAACTCACATTATTGTAGCACACGGGCTCCTCAAACCGCTCCGTGTCATACAGCCGGCTCTCTCTCTCCTCATATACGTGTCCCCGTATAGTACACGATTTGAACACCATGAGGTTCTTAGTGAGAGTGCCTGTCTTGTCCTAGAACAGCACTAGAGTACCCCTACTTTACTACAAGTATCATAACTCACATTATTGCAGCACACGGGCTCCTCAAACCGCTCCGTGTCATACAGCCGGCTCTCTCTCTCCTCATATACGTGTCCCCGTATAGTACACGATTTGAACACCATGAGGTTCTTGGTGAGAGTGCCTGTCTTGTCTGAGAATAGTACTTCCACCTGGCCTAAGTCTTCGTTGAGATCGGAGGTATTGGCTAAAGCTGGCCGGCCTGTTTCTTCGCAACGGAGCTCCTCGTCCCAGCCGATGAAGTATGTGCCTTGGGGGATACAAAATTGATTTATTAAATTACAATGGGTAAGGTTTTGGCCTGTATCCCACTCGATGGAAAATCAACTGATCATCTTCAAACGGAAAAACATAATAAGGCATGCGTCGGAATGAATAAGCATCTAATATTACAGTGTGCTAAGTGCGAGTTGCGTAAAAAAATTACATGAAAAGTACGACATATTGAACTTAAGCGTCCCCAGCGGATACCTTCAAAAACGGAAATCTTCATACGACTTTTTTGACTCACCCGCTAATGGTGACGTTTGGTGTAAACTCGCACTAAGCACACAGATATGACAACAAATTATGAAGCTTTCCACCAAACCAGTTGTGACGACTACGACCACTCTGTCAAGATTGTAGCGAAGAATATTACAGCATTGTTATTCTACGGGGTGGAATTTTGTAATGCCACCTGGAGGGAAAGTACTCTTTACACTGTAGATAGAAAAGTTTACTGAAAGAAAACATTCCTTTATTTTTGAAAAGAAAGAGAACTTCATTCATAGATTTTCGAAAATTTTTCGAAAATTCTCTACCATACCATACAATTTTCTGTAAATAATTAAGATAATTTAAGATTTCATGGTTTTCCTTTCATTTGATTTATCAAGTTTGTTAGAGAGATTTCATCCTTATACTTAACCCTAACGATCGATGCAATAAAAATACAGGGTGTAATTTTTAACAGATTTTAGTTGGTTCGATTCCCGGGTGTAGCAAGCAAAATTTTGGAAATCTTTGAACGCAGTTCTATTTATTGTCAAAAATAAAGGAATGTTTTCTTTAAGAATTTTATTCTATCTACAATATTAAATTTAAGAGTACTTTCCCTCCAGGTGGCATTACAAAATTCCACCCTGTATATCTACCTACACGTAAAATAATATGAGATTGAAGAAAATTGTCTATGATATTTGAATTTAAATAATACATACTGCAACTCACCGAGAAACTTATTAAGCTCAATGGTCACATACAGCGACATAGGTATGATGTAGTAGTACAGCAGCAGAAACGAGCAGATATCCTGGACTAAGCTGCCTATAGGCGGCGGGAAGGACGGTAATGGCCCCAGGTACAGTTCCATGCCCCGGTTCCTTTCTTCCACCATGATCTTGGCTACGGTGGAACCCGTGATCTCCAGGATGAGGAGCAGAATGTAGAAACCGAGGAACGCGTTTGTAGCCAACTCGCACGATGAGAACTTGTTTCCAGTGTACTTCGAGTTTAGAGCTAGTTTTGTTTGTTCACCTGTTGAGAAAAAAAATCTTTAAATACATTTTCATGTTTCTGGATGAGAGCAGTTATGATGGACGATAGTAGTTATCAACACCTTAGGTCAAAATTAGGTGGGAATCCATTAGACAGACAGCACATGACTCACTCAACATTCTTGACATAAGGGCCAAGAACGGTTTAGAGTGAGAGTAATAAGCATGTCACACTGTGACATCTTGTGTAGTAATAGGTCCCAATTTGCTACAAAAATGTATAGTTTGATGACTGTACATTCGATCATTTATAAGAGTGGGAGTGAGGAGAGTGTAATTATGAAATATTTCATTATCATCATCATCTCAGCCATAGGACGTCCACTGCTGAACATAGGCCTCCCGCAATGCTTTTCATGTTTCCCGGTTGGTAGCGGCCTGCGTCCAACACCTTCCTGCTAGTCCTGCTACCTTTATGATGTCGTCGGTCCACCTTGTGGGTGGACGTCCCACGCTGCGTTGAAATGAAATGTTTATGATAGTGGATGGCAGATGAAGATGCTACCAACCCGTGTAGACGGCACAGCCGATAGCCTATTCGGTGTTCTTGATGCGGGAACGTAACCGCGCAACATGAGGTTGTCGGTCCCGAGCGGGATGCTGTCGAGTCCCGTGATGTCCAGGCGGCCATACAACGTGTATAGATTCTTGTCTTATCACCACTATGTACGGAGGTCACACTCACCCGTATAAACAGCACAGCCGATGGCCCACTCGGTGTTCTTGACGCGGGAGCCGCGCAACATGAGGTTGTCGGTCCCAAGCGGGATGCTGTCGAGTCCCGGGATGTCCAGGCGGCCATACAACGTGTATAGATTCTTGTCTTATCACCACTATGTACGGAGGTCACACTCACCCGTGTAGACGGCACAGCCGATGGCCCACTCGGTATTCTTGACGCGGGAGCCGCGCAGCATGAGGTTGTCGGTCCCGAGCGGGATGCTGTCGAGTCCCGGGATGTCCAGGCGTATACATCATATTCTAAAGCTTTGTAGATCCGGAGAAATTATAAAAAAACTGATTTTTTGTTTTTAATTTTTTAAATTTAAGTTGTACATTTTGAGCAATAACGAATTATTGCATGTTATAAAAGACCTTTTATTTTACTCACAAAAAAAAATCACCGAATTTTGAGAACATACTTTTGAGAAATTTGCATTTGAAATTTCGTGTTATGCAACGCCTTCTGAAAAGCTCTTGGCAAACACAAACTTTCGTCATTGCTATTAAAATATTGACTGGCGATATTGTACTGGTCAATTTAGTGCAAGGCAGGCAGTGTTTAGGGTTACTAATTTGTTCTATTACGTACTTCAGTCCGCACTGGATGGACAAATGGAGATCAAAGTTGTGATTCTCCACTACAAATGAGATTGCGTATTAGCAATGACAAAAGTTTGTTTTTGCCAAGAGTTTTTCGGAAGGCGTTGCTTAACACGAAATTTCAAATGCAAAGAAGAACGGTCATCTGTGACCCAGGCCCGACAGAAACGAGACATACCTCAGTTTTTTTGTCATGTCTTAATTAGTTAAATTATATATTTTTTATATTCGAAATCTATGTATAACACCAAAATATTACCCTTTGTTTTTGTTCAGGCGTCATACAAAAACTAATACAAAATGCCTATTTATCACCAAAATTGGTAAATATATGTACCTAAATGTCTATTACAGCTGCTGTGGAATCTATCTAGGTGACCTGGAGATACAGCCGGATCATACAGGGTGGAAACGAGAAGTTACAAAATCCAAAAATTCAATGTTACCAGCTTCCATAATCTGTAACCTATTATTGGTACCATTTGAAAGAGCTCGTGAAGCACTTTCAGAATCAGTAACTAGTTTTTCGATATCTTGTATAGTTTAGAAATAATCGAGTGAAATCACTTATCGTTCCATATGTATAACCACCCTGTATAATCCGGCTGTATCTCCAGGTCACCTAGATACATTCCATAGCAGCTATAATAGACATTTAGATACATAAATTTGCCAATTTTTGTAATAAATAGGCATTTTGTATTAGTTATTGTATAACGCCTGAACAAAAACAAAGGGTAATATTTTGGTGTTATACATAGATTTCGAATATAAAAAATATATAATTTAACTAATTAAGACATGACAAAAAAACTGAGGTATGTCTCGTTTCTGTCGGGTCTGGGTTTTTTTTGTATGGGGCGTGACCGTTCTTCTTNTCACACTCACCCGTATAAACAGCACAGCCGATGGCCCACTCGGTATTCTTGACGCGGGAGCCGCGCAGCATGAGGTTGTCGGTCCCGAGCGGGATGCTGTCGAGTCCCGGGATGTCCAGGCGCCCATAGAACGGGTATAGATCCTTGTCTTATCACCACTATGTACGGAGGTCACACTCACCCGTGTAGACGGCACAGCCGATGGCCCACTCGGTGTTCTTGACGCGGGAGCCGCGCAGCATGAGGTTGTCGGTCCCGAGCGGGATGCTGTCGAGTCCCGGGATGTCCAGGCGGCCGTAGAACGTGTATAAGTCTGCAATGTTGTGCGGGATCTCTATGCGCATTCCTTGGGGCAGGATATCTGTGGAATGGAATGGTTGGTAAGTGACAGTTAAAAGACTAGAAATTTTTTGTCTTAAGACATGCATAGAAAAATGCGTTCTATGTAGTTTAAGCACATTGCAAGTTTAGTTGAATCTACAGAATATTCAACGTCCTGAATATTATGCCTTATAAGAATAGTTCTGTGCTTCAAAGGGCACGTTTAGCCGGTCCGATCTAACCATAACCTGCTGGTAGGGCAAGAAAAGAATGAGACATGTCTATAGGCTCCTTAAGAGCATTTGACGATTTGCAAGTACTAATTTAATTAGTCTAAACAAATAAAGAAAATTTTGAATTTTTGATTTTGATTTCATGTAAAACTAAAAAAAATGCCTCTCCAATGATTTCGATAATCAACGGTCTTGCGCTGCTCACATCCAGTTGCTATCCGCGACCTTCTATTGGCTCACTAACCTGGAGTGAATCCAACAAGTGGCGTCGGCAGCCTCAGGGTCTTCAGGTTGGTCTCACCATCCAGGTTGGCGGTAGTGACGTAGCATTTCCCCTTCTCCTGAGCCGAGCATAGAAGCACCAGGTCTTATGCACCTCCTTTCCTCGCTTGACCCTGACGTCAATCTAACTCACCTGGAGTGAATCCAACGAGCGGCGTCGGCACCCTCAGGGTCTTCAGGTTGGTCTCTCCATCCAGGTTGGCGGTAGTGACGTAGCACTTCCCCTTCTCCTGAGCCGAGCATAGAAGCACCAGGTCAGCTGGCACCTCCTTCCCTCGCTTGACCCTGACGAGCGTTCCGGGAGCGATGAGGCAGTTGCGCACATTCTTGATCACCCCTTTGTGGACTATCTCCACTGTGAAAATACTTGGTTTCAATGTTAGCTGCCTTAAAGCCACAACGTCAGTTAGACTATACACTTTCGATGCAAAATCACACCTAATACAACGGCATAAGACACCAGTATTTAGCTTGATATGTCTTCGTCTGACAAGACGGATCCAATTTCCCTCATCGGAAAATATGAAAAATAACCAAAATTCCCGGATTTTATCTGAGATGAAAAGTATTTCTTAGGTGTCTACTCTGTACTACTAGTAGGATAGACATTATTGACGATTGGAAATTCCAAAGTAACCTGTATTTAACAACAATCCTTCGATGGTTACCTCTTTCACCTTCACAGCACTTAATTAACACGTGAATGGTTTTATCTTTATTAGATTCAACTCAAGTTAATTAAAACTGCTGATACTTATTATGCTTGGAACTAAAAAAAATATACAGACTTGATTATGAGTTCATGACTCAATGACTAATGACTCAAAATGAGAAAACAGTATTCTTTGTCTAGATAATTTTTTAGTGGTATATTGATTGATACATAATTTGATTTGACTTCAAAATCGTAGAGGAAAACCCTCTTAAAATAAATAATTTGTGAAACTAATTGTGTGCGGGGGTTAAATAAAGTTGTTTAAACAATAATAATAAGAACTCATGTACTTTCGCGGATATAATCGCCTTATATGATTTAATTTATCGTAAACAAAGATAACAAATCTGAATATACTCGTAAATATTCGATATGATTACATCTGTGTTCATACATAAATCATCGAAGATTAATGCCTCTGTTTGCATTGGCATCAGGTGATTAAATGTATAACGTAACTTATTACAATAATCATAATTAATTATGGCTTTAAAACTAATATAAAATTACTTTTCAGGTGTCGCGTAACAACCGCGGCAGAGAAAGACCGCCTAAAAGGTGGACAGATGACATTCGGCAACAAGCTGGAATAAACTGGATGCATGTGGCCAGGGACAGAAGTAGGTGGAAGGTTGAAGGAGAAGGCCTTTGTTCGAAGACCATCCCCAAAGATCCCCATAACAACAATGTTAACAGCATTGTTGTGTTCCGGCAGTTAGAGGTAAGATAGCCCGTTCCTCCGTGGTTGAGGATTCCGGGTGAAGCTCGCTTCCACCTTCGGCCTGATCATCACATTCCATCAGGTGAGATACAGGCCAAAAGGTTCCTCGTTGTGGATTAAAATAAAGGCTGCTATGCTTAGATAGATTATACGGCAACTTTTCAATGACCAAAAGCTTAAACTAGTAAGTGAAGTTTTTTAAACAACAACAAGGTTTTCTGCGGGAATCATGTATGAATGCATATTTTATAGGTAATACTGCTAATTTTCTTTCATGTGATACCGGGAACGAACGTCACACCCCTTCACGTATGATATTATGACGTACACTAACGGAATTTTAAAACGAATTCGCGGTGGCTAATAGATAAGTAAACGGTCGAGGATAATTACATTAATTACCTAATGATTATCCTGATAATATTAAGTACATTATGTCGTCTATTATTATATTAAAGTGTCCAATAAAATATTTAAATAACGCACCCAGTTTAACACCTATTATAGTCATTAGATAACGGTTAGGTACTAAAATTCATAAGTAAATAAAATAAAAACACGAATCCTAGGCCACATATCCAGGTATTACAGGCTTGTGATCATATAACTGACATAAAATGTCATCATACAGCTATAACAGGCCGATCGAGTTAACTGCTCACCTCGCTGGATACGGAGAGCCGAGCAAGGACCTGTTTATCACCAGGACCTCACGAGTAGTCGTACAGAGTATGTCTCTCCATAGATAATAAGTACAACCAGAGTAAATACAAATGAGTAGGTCATCTTCATAGAAACGCCCGAGCGCGGTTTGTATGTGAGCGCGCCAATACGTATGCGGCGCGCACGCACACACTGACAAAATTTTGCGTTGATTAGTGGTGAGGTACGCTAAATTTTGTCAGTGTGTGCGTGTGCCCCGCATACGTATTGGTGCGCGCTCACATACAAACCGCGCTCGGTGTCTATGAAGATGACCTGCTCATTTGTATTTACTCTGGTACAACGTTGTCTCTTTTTTTCACTTTATAAAAGTGTAACAAGAAATAGATTAAATTGTAGCCTCACCAACTTATAAACTGACTGCTGTAGTATATAATTAGCGTTCTGTATTCTGTTCCTGAACAACTGTATCTTTTTCAGTTGAGCCTCGCACTCCCAACATAAGGTGATACTGGACTAGAAACAGTAATTGTTATTAACATTTCTTAGCATTTATGAAAACCAGCCCGGCAAGCGAAAGGTCATGGGTTCGATTCCCACCTTGGAATTTTCAAATTATTTATAATAAAGTAATCGCTAAATTAGTCTTCATAAGCTATTAAAATTACTTAGCAAATAGTCGCTTCTCGAACAAAATTTTAAATAAAAAACTAAAAAATCCAAGGTGGGTTTCGATTGAAATAAAACTGTGGCTTGAATTTGGCTTGGCGAGGCAGCCACATAAAAAGCGTAACAAGTCGGACAGGCGGGACAAGACAATGTTTGGCCGGACAAGGTCGTAAAAAGCCAAACTAGTCCAACTAAAGCCAGACACCTGGCAACCCTATATGGAGCATCTTATAAATTAATATAATGTATAGTATATAATAAATATGAGAGAAAAGATATGATTTGCTACTTTTTATGACAGTCAAGTATGACATTCTAGTACAATATGGTATTGCTTCATAGGAAGCTGTATAATTAAAACTGTTCAGATTATAATTATTATATTATTATATTTAATTTGTCTGAATCCGTTTCATAAATCAGATAATTATTAGGGTAAAAAAATGCTGATTTAAACTGAGATACTGATCACCTAGCAGAGAGAATCGTTTTACTGAATAAGTATTGACCAAACTAACACCGCAACCATGAACACTGTGAAGTTTGAAATAAATGGTTTACGTTTTGAAAGAGTGTATTATGAGAATAAAAACATGCTTGAGGACCTTCAAGGATGCTTTTTAACAATAAATACTTACGCTGAATTGATATTGAGGACCTAAAAGACCAAAAAACAGATCAACATGATCCTGTAGTACGGACAGCCTACGATCGGAAGACAAACAACCTCGGCAAATCGTTGGATTGAGTTCTTTCTTCTCATATTCAAGCTTAATACCAAACATGATAAATATTCAATAAAACCACCACACCACTTTCACTTTATCATGTAGAAATTGAAGGAAATAATACAATTTACAAACAATGAGACGAGAAACAGGAATTTCTGAAATGTGGGAGTGTTCTTTTTTGTGACAGAACTGACAGATTTGTAATTTGATGTCATCATGTTATTTGGTGTAGCGATTTTTGGACGAAATGGAACATGCTTAGTCGTTCCGTTTTATTGAATTATTTTTTTAAATTTAAGAATAAATTGATTAGGTAAATAATTACATTCCTTAACTTTTTAGGTGCCTCTATCGAACCTAAGTTTTTTCCAGAAATGCAAAGAAATGCAAATCGCACGCAGATCGATCGTTTCAGGCTTCATTCAGCCAAATGACGTCCACGCGGGCACGGCTAGAGATGGGTTTCCACCCGGGTAAAAACCCACATGAGGGTAAAAACCCAATAAAAACCCGTTTCATTCCACCCGCGGGTGTTTACACCGGGTGAAAACAAATAATTTTATAATTATTTCAATTGGTATCTTTTCTTTATTTTTATTGAATTTTTTTCATTTAAGTTTACCTATTGATTAATAAGTAATAAGTCAAATTTAACACTAATATGCATTTATATCGTGGCCAAATCGTAAAATTGATCACGTTATGATGATGTGACCAATTATTTTATAAAATGGTGTTATTTCAAGAATCGTTGAACCGATTTAGAAGAAATTCAGTAGGAACACAATAATTCGTCGGCGTCGTCGAACAACGTCGTATGATCGCAACCGTCAAAATCTGTTTTTTTGCATTAAACTACTCTAAAATAGCCCCTTTATAAACTATTTTTTTTAATTTTTCAAAATTCGTAATAATATCGAAGATACAGAATCGAACACCGACGGATGTGATTATTCTAACGCAGTACAGAGACGTGTTTGTGCAAGCGTCATTGTACTTCGGAAGACTGCACATCGTTTGTTGGAATAGCTTATACATTTGTATTCGTATTAATATTGAATGCATCTAGAATTTCGTCTTTATATCTATAAGTTTGGAAACTTTAAAAAATCAAAATAATAATAATTAATATCCCGTAGCTGATTTTAAATTTTCCTGCTTTTAAGCTAAGGTAGAAAAAGCCCAAACTATAAATAATAAAAGACTTTATTAAACACACAGTAAAACATAAAAGTAATAAAATAAAAGAAAAAAGTGTGGTAAAGGGGCGCCCGATCAATTTTTATCGGAACACCATGTTAGGATGTCCCTATTAAAACTGAGAAATGCTTGACTTTTGCCTAATACCTACATAAATAAATTGGTTACAATAACCTGTTATCCCTTACAAGGATGTTCACTTATTACACGTCAACCTGTAAGTATAGGTATGCTTAGAAAGCTTTTCGTCTAAGTTAAATTTTATAATTGTCTAGTACCCATAGTACAAGCTTTGCTTAGTTTGGGACTAGAAGCGCAGTGTAAAATGTCCATGGATATTTATTTATTTATACTTATTTATTTTATTCATTTCTAAGTAGCACTTACACCGTCAAATCAATGCCCCCTTTACCCTTTCAAGCAGATCCCAACATTATTCAAAAAATGCAAGATCTTATAGGTGATAGTTTTTGCATCCAGTGCCTTCCTGCTACCTTTATGAGATCATCGTTCCGCCTTGGTTTGTGGGTGGACGTCGCACGCTTCGTTTTTATTTTTTATTCGGTATGCAGCCTACTCCAGAACCCTGGTGCCCCATTGGCCGTAAGTTTTGCGTACTATGTGTCCTGCCTATTGTCACTCAGCATGCTAATCTGTCGGGATATGTCATCGACTTTAGTTTGTTTACGGACCTCCCTCATTTATGATTTGATCTCGTAAAGAAACACTGACATAATCCTTGCTATAGCACGCCGTGTAACTTTGAGCTTCTTTGAGAGCCAACGTTTTGGACCTATAATAGGGTAACACACACTGATGGTAGTCGTCTTTAGGTACTTTAGGATTTTGGACGAAAAGATGTCTATTTCTCAAAAGTATGTTCTCAAAATTCGGTGATTTTTTTTTCGTGAGTAAAATAAAAGGGCTTTTATAATATGCAATAATTCGTTATTGCTCAAAACGTACAACTTAAATTTAAAAAATTAAAAACCAAAAATCAGTTTTTTTATAATTTCTCCGGATCTACAAAGCTTTAGAATATGATGTATAGCTCAAAAAAAGGGAAATTGTGTGCTTTATTACTCATTTAAGTCAATTGTGTTACAACTTCAAATAAAGAACAGATAAACAAAAAAACGTATTTTAAAACACACAAAATAAGCCAAATTAAAAAAATTTTTTCTTGAAAGCTGTTGAAGATAGACCACGGGTTTCTTTTAGGAATTTACTTAGATTTACTTGTTAAATCATGTCATCTATTCACCAAAAAATGTCCGCTTCCAAGTGATTTTAAAACACTGTGCGACGCGAAGTACCGTATTTGTGGTGTCAAGCCCCAGAAGGGGGAGAATTGACAATGAGAAGGGACAAGGATAAGAGAAATTTGTAGGGAGTCAAGCAAAGCGCCCGGGGAAAGAGCCCAGAGCAAGTACCTGCGCGCTCTCCCGAGATTCGGTTCGTACGCCGTGAGGCAGGAAGAACCATGGGTGGTGGTGGGATTTGCTCACCTCGCTGGAATGCGACTCTCCCTCGCACTCACTTGCACACCTACCCGCGTTCGTATCAGAGCGTCGATGTGACGTCACGGCAGCCGGGTGCGCAGTTAACTCGACAGTACATAGCATGAAAACGCGAAATACCAGTCACTACGACAGTCATCAATACAATCATCATTCAATACCCGCCTTTGTTTGATTCCTTGCGTTATCTTATCGATTTACTTTAATGACACAGGGTTTAAACCTACTTCGATACTTTGAAATCCTGAATGAAACGAGTCCTTTACGAAGCTAAGTACTTGTAGGTATTTTCTTCAGAAGCATTATGAAGTGATGTCTTCATGAGTGAATCATATTTTGTAATGTACTGGGTTGGTTGCTAATATGTATTTAGCAAAATGCGAAGTTTCAGGCGTCGTGGTGCATTATTTACACCCTGTATATCAAATAGCTGGAATCTCACCAACTTGGTTGTTGACCTTGTTGTCCTCCTTATGCCGCAGCCAGTCCTCGTATCCCTGCTTTGCAGCGGTCACCAGCACCATAAAACTCAGCGGGGCTATGCTCGTAAGCGGAGACACCGGACTGTCTGAAATAAAACCAGTATAAAGTAACATTCCGAACTGATGATGATTATGGTGGACTGACGATCTGGTGAAGATCGCGGGAGGTGCCTGGATGCGAGCGACGCAGGACCGGTCTTTGTGGAAATCCTTGGGGGAGGCCTTTGTCCAGAAGTGGACGTCTTTCGGCTGAAACGAACGAACGAAAAATGATGATGTTACATCAATATTGTAAAATAAGGTGGTGAAGGTCGTGGATGCGGCGCGCCGGATCGGTCGTTGTGAGAAACCGTGGGGAGGCCTGTGCCCAGCAGTGGACGACATTTGCTTGAAATAAAATAAGATATGCATGAATCTATCGGAATAGCCCGGGTGTATTTAAGATAGGCTGATAAATCTTGATATGACCCTCGCAAGGGCCCAGTTTTCCGGAGCATATAAAAGAAGAATTCGGGTGTTAGAAATTATATACAGGCCAGATACTATCTGTTTAGGAGATTAGCCGTAGAATTCCTCGTTTTATCTAATAGTATAATCTATTTTTCATACACGTGGAAATCGCTTCATTGACAAAAATGTTATATTCAAGTACTTTTGTTGGTATAGGCTGCATCATGAACTTAAATACGGCTCAATAAAGGTCACATTACTGACAAATGCGTTGATAAATAAATAACATTGTTCTGTGAACTTGTGAATGTTAAAGACGTGGTAAATAGAACAGGTGTCAATTCCATATTGATTACTGTGCAATAAGCAAGCTGTGTGGACAGGCAATTACCGTTTGTTCACACACACACGCAGTGAAATGTTTATTAGATGTATTATAAATTACTACTTACAGATAGCGCATATACAGCCCGCAACTGTGTCTATGTGTAATTCTTACATCCTGTATTAAGTTTCGCAAAAGTATTATAAAATATTTTAAAAACAGCAACTGAACAGTTTATGACAGTGATGCGGTTGAGAGTTATCTACATGTACAAAAAAATCGCTGAAATTTTTCAATCAAAAGCTTTTGCATTTTGAAGCAACTTTGCATAAAGCTGCTAGGATTTATCCAAAAGTTGCTCAAAACATTGACCGCACCGTATATTACTAAGGGTGAGCGTATACTAAGATAAACTATACTCCCTAACACTATTTCAGTATTTTCGGGTTTACTTATCCAATCTTAATCGCACTCTCTAGTTTCATGCCTCAATAGATTAACTATACAGAGCAAAACTTAATAAAGATAATAAAAAGTTATGTATAGAACTACGTGTACAAATATGCCACCACCATTTTATAGTTCTTCTGTTCTATGCTTTGGAAACTCACGCGCTAATTCTTTATCGACGATCAATCTTGCAATCTTCGTTTATGTCGAACTTGGCCCCATTTCCACTAATTTTTAGTGAGATGATAAATAGATATAGAGATACAACTCGAGAAACTTGGATAGAGTCAAGATTAAATAAGTTTATTCAGTCATCACCATGATTTTAGCCACGGTTCACAGAACTATATTGCGATAAGATAAATGTCGATTTGAAAATGCTGTCATTTTTATCTCTGTTATTAGCGTCAATGCCACGGTACGAGGGTATAGGCAGCTAAAATTGATTTAGGATCTACTGTTTATCTATTAACTAATAATAGCTTCTTTTTCTTAAAATTGTAGGCACCCTACAGGTGATAGTAGGTAGATGAATAAAAAGTTTCCCTTAGTAAAAAAAAAATATCCTGAACAATAAACTGAAGTGGACAAACATAGCTTCGGAATATGCATTTCAGTATGAACCAACCTGAGTGTAGGCTATGAGAGGAGCCATACTTTGGAGGGTAATTCGGACTACTCGCTGCGCTTCTACATAAAACAATTTAATAGCACTGTATTTTATATGATATTGGTGTTCAACCAAAATTTTTCATCGCAGGAGCAGCAATATGAGTGAAGAAGAATCCTTTCCATCCGAATAAATAATTAAGCGATTAATGTATTGCGGACCGGATTCCTCAGCACCCATTTTTTTAAAATGCCTAATTCTTAAACCGAAGATTCTTAATTTGATAATAAGGATACACCCTGTATTATGCTGCTATTAAAACGTCAAAAACAAGCAGTTATCACTCACCTATGACGATGGAGATGAACGTGACGACGAGGAAATAAAAGTTGGCCACACGTCGGAACTGCCCCGCCAAGTTCTTCGGCAGGAAGGTAAGGAGGGTATACTTGGAGGTTTTGATCCGGTTGTGCTTCTTCTTGTCAGACTCGTCGACCACACCCACTTCTATGCGGAGCGTCTCTGACGCTGCTGATACTTTGTTCCCCTGGAAAATATTTTTTGAACAAACCAGTACGCGAAAGGTGCCTGAAAGTGGGCGGTGCAGGTCCAGGACCGGTCGTTTTGAATATCCTTGGGGGAGGCCTTTGTCGTGTCGTATTTGGTTGAAACGAGGAACGAACAAGAGACGGTTTATGTTGACCATCAGGGGTCGATGAATAACTACAAGGGAAATTGTTACTGAGAAGGACCACCTATGGAATTCGATCCTTGTATTTAGTTGAGCAAAATTTTTGCTGAGTTTTAAGAATAGATCAATATCAATGTGCAGGCTACTGCACATCCCCATACATTCATATTTACGGCTACTGTGGCGATTCTACCATCAATATTCATAACACAGTCTTCTTGACCTCGTCTTATTACTACAGAATTCGTCGTTTCCTACCTGACAAAATATAGTCATATTTAAGTATTTGGCTATTTGGACATTATCTATTAACAGACGTGTTTAAGTTTTATAAGTTTAACTGGAAAAAATGTACGGAAACTTAGAACGAAACGAACGGAACATAGTACGTTCGCATTATAGTTAGTTCTGTTTTAATTATAGGGAATAATATTATGTACCTACAAAATAGTTCGCATTGGCATTTTTCGCTTTTGAATGTCAGGTTTTCTAACTGGTAAAAGCTTGGTCCATTGACCCAGAATATTAAAAGAACAATAATGCATTGTTCACCTATTGGATTTCCGGTTTGGGGAAAATCTATCGCCTGGCTATTGTCAAGGGATGATAAAAGAAAAAAAATGATTTTTCACTTCATAAGCCTATAATGTCGTGGCTGTGCCTAAGAAGTGGAGGTAGAGCAGGTCATATTTCGTACGCGATTATCCAGAAATCTTTTGGATAATCGCGTACGAAATTTTTATGTTTGAGTTTCAATTCGAATTAATGCGCGTATTAAAATGATACTGAACAAAACACAACCAAATAAAAATACCAATAATATCTTGGCTTCGCAGCCGTTCCCGTTAAATCTTTTAATTCAATGAACCTATTTGATTGATGAGAATGTGAGAATACGAAAACTTTACCCGCATCTGTGCCTCAGTCGCCTACGCGAGGCATTTCGCAGCTCCTATCGTCATAACTGCAGTCAGCCATCCGCGCGCCGTGAGGCGACCGTGAGAAGGGCGCCACGTGCGCCGCAAATTAAAGCTTTCTGCATAATAAGGTAGAGGGCTAGCACCCCTGCTAATGCGTGCTTGCGAATGAAGGAATATTGCTCGTTCTTTTTCAATTCTACCATGTGTTGGGTGAGATTATTCTCCACTGCAGTGGAGCAGTGGACTGTAAAGGGCTGTTGATGATGATGAGGAGCTTATTCTGGAGAAGACAAACCTTTTACTGCTAACTGGTAGACCAGGAGGCGATAGGAGTTGGAACGCTCTTTGCTAGACAAGCAGGATTCCTCGGTAATCCTCGGTCTCTGAATAATATCTCGCATACTTACAGCAGGTAGATAGAACTAATTTTTCAATTATACCATTTCTTAGGGTGGTATTATTGGAAATCCGGAGTCGAACGCTTTTTACCAGCTGGCGGAGAGAGGCGAGAAACATGAGGCGGTAGGAGTGGGAACTGTCTTCGCCAACCTAGGGAATTCTCCGAGGGGATGCCACGGGGGGATTCCTCGATTCATGCATACCTATTGTACGCCTTGGCGATTGAAAGTACGTAACGCTACCAATCCGAAGAAAATCCTACATTATCCGCGTAAAAGCCACGACTGTCACGAGCAATCCGCTTCCGATTCTGCCTGTGACCACAAAATAGCGTAGATGCAATGTAGACCAAGCGACTGTACGCGACAATTAAAAATTTCTACTATATTCGCAATAGCAAGAGCATGTTTGTGATTGTTGACTAACCGAAGGGCCACATCAAGTGTTTCTTCTCAGCACTTGCCATAATTTATGTTTGTCTCGAAGCGCTGGTAGGGCCCAAAAGATAAAGAGACATATAGTAAAGTGCCCCATATTTAAGGGCTGCCTTTTCTTTTTCTATTATTTACATTTTGACGTTCATAAGTGCCACTTGTGGTGTAAACTGAATGATTTTGATTTTGAACCAGTCCTAGGTGAATATTCTATTTTGGACAACTCTGAGTGAGGCCGTGCGTCCGAAAGATAAACACAATAGATGATGAACGATGATGTATGATTTTATCAATAGTGAATTTGACTTCCTGCTTTATTAACTTTTATTTCATACCTCTATCGAATAAATTACGTCAGCGATAGCAATAATTTTACATATTTATTAGGTAATAAAAGATATCAAATAAAAATGTTTGTCAAGCAAATCTTTATCACTAATTTTATAAGTCTTTAATATGAACTTGTCAATAAGTCTTTTTAATTATGTTCTCTTTCCTTGGACATTGATAAACATATTTTTGCACAGATTATACCTAATAATCAGGATATACCCTTGGGATTTAAGGCTTAATTTTATGAGATAAGGGAACCAGACGTAAGATAATTACGGGCTGAGGTCCCGATTAAAATTCAACACTGTGTCACGTACCTATGACTTACTATGACTCTACCTACATATAACTCAAGAAAATAATTAGCCTATGATTGGTCTAAAACCCTAGTGGTTTTTAAAGCTATCTAAATGTAATTGTCTCAATGTTACTGTCTTTAAGTTGTTAAATAAATTAAAAAAAAAATAAAAAAAATAATGAAACTCAAGCAATCGAATTTCGGAAGGCTTTCCAGAATAAGCACCTAAGTGATTTTCAGCCAAGTTACTACTTGGTAGAGCAATAATGGGCGTGTTTTTTGGCTTGGCGCTGAGCACGTAAAACAGAAGAGAAAGCATTCAGAGACTTCAAATAGATGTGCAGCAAGACCGATCGTTATGGAAATCCTTGGGGGAGGCCTTTGTCCAGCAGTGGACGTCATTTGGCTGAAACGATAATGTGAGACTTCCAAGAGCAGCCCTTTCTCTAGGCTGATAAGATGGCAACTTTATTCGGTACTAGCGGCCGCCCGCGACTTCGTACGCGTGGATCCCATTTTACCCCCTTATCTATCTTACGCGGTTTAGATTTTTTCATACAAATGTTTTTTCCCGCTAACTCCCGTTCCCGTTGAAATTTCGCAATATCCTGTTGTAACTAAGCTTTAAGTTTACTAAGAGACCTTCATGCCAAATTTCAAGCGTCTAACTTAAGCGGTTTAGATTTTTCATACAAAAGGACTTTCCCGGTAATTCCTGTTCCTGTGGGAATTTCGGGAATTATTTTCTTAGTGCACCTCTACGGTACCTAAGCTACGTCCCTTATAAATTTCAAGTGCCTACGTTTAGCCGTTTAGGCTGTGCGTGGGTATGTCAGTGAGTCAGTCATACAAAAGGAATTTCCCGCTAATTCCAGTTCCCGTGGGAATTTTAATTTAATTTTAATTTTAATTTTAAGGTACCTGCATGCCAAATTTTAAGCGTCTAACTTACGCGGTTTAGATATTTTCATACAAATGTTTTTTCNAACAGTGAAGCAATAATGATCAAATGATTAAAACAAAGCGCCTAATAAAGAAGCGCCTCAAAAGTTAATTAAATAATAAATTGTATTTATTTCAAATTAAAACAAGGAAGGGATGTAGTGTATAGACATTTGTCTCGAGCGCATACGTCACAGCCTAGTCGGCGGTGGGGGCATTCGGCGTCCGACCGTGGTGCGGGCAGGTCGTGCTGTGTGCGTAGGCGAGCCAAATAATAATCTAATGGCGGAGATAAAGGTGTACAATACAATAATATTCACTACTGGTCTACTGGTTATCGTTTAAGATAGATTAGGTAGATGTCAACCCTTTACCTAGGTATATACCTACTTCTTGGCACTTATAATACCGACATACATGATTAAAAAAGTCTTCAAGCAAGAACCCTTGACTTCAATGGTTATGAAAGATTTTTTAACTTTCTAGAGTAGTCCTGAATAGATCCTTAAATCATTTTGACTGTCATAATCGATTACAGTAGGTAGCGGGATAGTTTCAATTTTGATAGAACTGTAATTTCTAGTTCTTCTGTTGAATAGTCTTATACTTTCGCAAAAATATTCTTTTTTTTGTGGCTCCTTTAAAGAGGTGTAAGTTTCTTTCCCGTCGTCTTAAAAGATAACGTACATAACACCTTTATAAGTAGCCTCAAACATAAAGCATAAAGCATACCTTTACCCAATCATCGAACTGAGAAAAATCTGAAATCCGACATTTATCACCTTCTTCCATTCAAATAATTGTACCAAGTTTCGTTAAAATCCGTCGAGTAGTTTTTGTTTCTATAAGGAACATACAGACAGACAGACAGACAGACAGACAGACAGACAGACAGACAGACAAAAATTTTACTGATTGCATTTTTGGCATCAGTATCGATCACTAATCACCCCCTGATAGTTATTTTGAAAATATATTTCATGTACAGAATTGACCTCTCTACAGATTTATTATAAGTATAGATTAATTCCTTGAATATCGACGTCCATTCCTTTCTATTCATTCCTTATTCAGGCGAGGTCATGGATAATTGCTAATTACGGGTTAGCCACACGTACGTACTCGTACATGCTTCGAACTGCAAACTATGAAGCGCGGAGCCTCTACCCAGCTGACTCATTTGTTTCACAACTAATGTCAGAATGAGAACTCTTTTTCTGACTGTGCTGCAATGATCTATCTCCATAGGACAGCGCAGCGTAGAATTATGGAGCAAGGTGACTTACAGAAAAAACAAAACACTGCGTTCTTCGTTAAAAATATCAGAATCGACCCAAAATGAGATAACAACAGAGTGATTCAATCAGATGGAGTGAAAATCAAATGTGCGTGGGCGCAGTATCTCGTGGGTTCTACATTGTATTGAGTGGGATGTTTCTGCCAGAGGAAGAGATCACCGGACCCTGCCTTTATTTATTCATGAGAGATGGAACTTGGGAACGAGGGACTTCACTATCGGCCATTGCCACCGGCATTTGTTCGCGTCTGAGGAATAGGAGTATGAATACCACTACATCTCCTGTGTAACGTTACACAGCTTGAGACAAACGACATGGTGAAGGAGACTTTATGTTAAAAATAAGGAAAGTTAGTGAAGATGACCTCACTTTTTTAAGCAAATGTATTCAAAAATTGCGACAGCATTAAAGAAGTCAGCGTCATGGGTTTGTGACGCCTTGATTCTTATCGATTATTAATATCGATAGATAACCTTGCACTACCATTCTAGGAATTACTGGCTTGACTGAACTTTTGCACGAAAAAATAGCGATAGGTCTGATAAGAAAAAAAAATCTAAATATAGTGAATGGGTGGATGGGGAAAGTTTAACTGTCTTGGGACAAGGGCAGGCAAATGTGGAGTAAATAATGAAAAGAGAATGTTACAGATTTCAGTAAACACCAACAAAAACATAAGGAATTACACGAAGGTTGCTTGTTACTGTTGGTTAACAACAATAGTCTGTTGAAGGTCAGATGTCAAACATTTTAAAAATAACACTCAGATTTCCATGCTGTTAAAATGATTAAAACAAAACAAATTATTATTTATTAAAACTAAAGTAAACTTTTAAAAAAAATCTAGTATTATAATGTAGAGACCTAGGAGAAGGACATAAGCTAATAGATAGTAGATACAGACAGACAATTTTTCGGAAAATTAAAACTTGAAGGGGTGATGAATTTGATAAAATAAATCCACGCTGACGAAGCCGCGGGCAATAGCTACTGAGTCGTTGTTTTAAAAATCTACTGAAACAGAGAATGAACTGATTCGGTGATTTATAGGGTCATAGCATAGCAAGTAGAAGCCATACAATTTTATGAAAGAAGGAAAGGGCTGTAATTTTCTGATAGCGAAATTACGAAGAAATGTACGTAATCTCTATTTTAGTTTAGTAAATCGTAATGTCCTTCATATTCAGTCAATTAACCTCTAATTGAAGGCTGTAATAGCTTCATAACTGATAATACCTTACATAATGATAAATATAAACATTGTCATTAACATCTAAATCGTATCAAAGACCTATCTATGGGCGTAGGTACCTTGATAGGCCTCTACCAGTAGAGCTGGTCGTACTTAGATAGTGTAAGTATGACGATATCGACGACGAAAATATTAATCGTAGTGTTGAAAGAGTCGTCGAAAATAAAGGTTTTAATGAAAACCGAGCAAGTGTGAGTTCGTGACGTTTCCGTACATTTTCGTCACTTATTTGACCTGAAAATGTTACAGGACTTTTGCGATAGTGCTCTTATCCTCACTCGTACCTACTGGAAGAAACTGAAAGTGACGTTTCCGTACATTTTCGTCACTTATTTGACCTGAAAATGTTACAGGACTTTTGCGATAGTGCTCTTATCCTCACTCGTACTGGAAGAAACTGAAAGCCTGAGTAAGAGCATTATAATATTATAGCACTTAGTTTACACTTCATAAACATAATGTCCCTTTCTTTGAATTTATATGATGATGAGGGCGGTAAATGTGGTAGGTAGGCAATAGAATACGATTAAAAATTACGAAACAAGCTCATTTCAAAATGTTTAAGTATTTTTTTGGTCAAGTGTGTGGCCCCCTTTTACTATACCACTTCTGGCAATAAAACCAACTCGTACCTAGCTAGATGAATGAGTAAACCTATCGATCGGTTTTCTGTTCGAAAGTTTTGTGGATCCCTAAAAAGTACGCCGTGAAATATAAGTAGTACCTATCACCCATAATAACAACTTAACATGAAGTTTACACAGAAACCTACAATTAGACACGTCTTCCATTACACCAGACGCAATGTGCAAACGTTCTCATAACGATACTATGAAATATTAAAGCGATTTGAATCCATAGAGCACTTACAGTGTACCAACAGCACAGCAGGCACGACAACCACTGAAAGGCCCTGCAAAGGCCTTGTGTACAGCCCAGAACTATATTCCCACACTGCCGCATCGTTACACGGCTCACTTCTCAACACTCACGACAACATTTCCCACAAAAAATATACGTGACCCTGCAAACTTGACTAAAACGACAATGTCGGTACGGCATGTTGATAGCAAATACTATCTTATCAACGCTCAATATGGTATCAATAAAGAACGAATCTCGCGACGTCGGCCCTAGACCTTTACGCTGATATCAAACGCAGGTGATTTCGTAAACTATGCCCACTATCAAAAGCCACTTGGCTTGAAAATGAGCTGAATTTTGGTAATTGAATATTCATTGCTGCAAGATAACATTTACGCGCGCTGAATATAAATACGTACTGCTTTTTAATACTATTTTAAATAGCCGTAACGAACAAGGAGAATGCGCGAACAACACAACAATAATGACGTATGAATGCCAAATCATGCTTAGTATGGAGACTTGTTCGAGTTTAGAGCAAAGTAGATAATCCGCGTGTTATAAAGTTGAACAAACTTAATGATGTGATGAAAACTAACGTACCCGTATCATGCTTACGAAAATGTATAAATATGATAATTTTAATTAGTGTATGGGTCAAAATAAGAGTCCTAGGAAGTAACATTATGGTACATTATGGTGATGCAAATAAATATCAATATGTTAGACATATTGGTTTACTGCTCATGCTCATCATTGGGAGAAGAGTTTCGATACTTATGAAGATATTATACTGAGTGCCAGTTATATGTACAGACAAATATATTAAGACATTTACTTAAGTTATACATATTGAGTGGTCATATAAAATATCATGGAATACTAACATCATGGATTACTGGGCATGTAAACAGTCTTTATTAGTCTTGGATTTAGCAATGCAACAATAATAAAATCGCCGTGCTTATCCACAGGAGAGATACAAATTACATTTAATTTCAGGATTTAGCCAAGATATACAAATACAAAATTAAGTGTTAATTAATATACCTATTATTATTAAGTGTTTCAACTTATTTGGTGCTTTGCTAAAACTAAATTAACAAATGACAAAAATATCTTACCTAACTGCAAAACAAATTCTTCTTTTATCCATTTGCCAGAGTCAAAATTATATGCTTGTGTGTGTATTCATATTTTTTTCTGAGGTTTTCTTTGACATCAACTTTGTATAATCAGAGTAACCTTTCTACTTGAGGGTCTGTCTGTATTAATTTGTATTTGACTTTGGTTTGTGTAAAGCATTCTAGCATTCATCATCAAAATCGCAGTCCACAATTAGTAATTCTTTATGATCATAAGCCATGTCTCTGGGGCTTTACTACTAAAGTCCATATTCCATAGACAACTTGAGGTCTAGTAGAGGTGTGATCAAACCGAGGAATGCGACGATGATGTTCTTACAACCTTGTCTCAGTGCCGACAGCAATTCTGCGGTGTGACAAGGATGTATAATGAAGTATGGTCGGAGAAATATTTGATGCTCTTGCTGTGTTATCACGGAGTAGAAATCTTTTTGGTCGATTCTGAAAGTAGAGAAACAAAATTTTGTTATCATTCAAGACGTTTTTGTATCTAAAAGTTTCCTATTTCACTTGAGACTTTGTGATTTCAATTTAATGAATTCAGCAACATAAATAGACACTAGAAATAGCCTTTTCTGGCTGAGTTTATTATAAACATAAAAGCAAAGAAATTTGTATTTTGCAGTCTATAGAAAAGTAATACAATTTAATAAAAAGTAAATCTTAACTTACTTTATCAACGACATTTGCCTTATTTCTTCAAGAGTAAGAAGGACACCAGATGATTTCCAAATATTGAAGCTGAATGATGGAACACCGTAACTTAAGTTGTAAAATATTAAAAATTCAGCCTTCAGTAAATATTGGGCGCCATCGAGATCAAAATTAATGAATGTTTGTTTTCGTAAGCAAGTTTTGTGGACTTCTTCATGTTTTATAAGTTTCCAGCCGTCTCCAATGCGATTTGATATTTCGCAGAAATTTGCAGCTGCTTCTACGAAATCTTCAATTGACAAATCATTCATTGTTGATAAAAAAATCACGTTAACGTAAACACATCCAAAATTATTAGGAATTATTTATTTCAAACAACAATTTTCAAATATTTTTGTTTGTTTGTGAACATGACAGAATCACAGATTATGGATAACAGCTGACAACAATAGTGTTGCCGACAATCAACTACACTACATCGCACTCTACATCGATTAAAACAATGGTCTATTTCATAAGATACAGTGAATTTAAAAATTTTTTTTTGGTAGTACCTATCTTATCCTATCCTTTTAACCCATGTTTGTGGTACAAACATTTTAGAAGACAGGTTTTATTGAATTTTGAGGATTACAAAAATCGATCTTTGAAAATTTTCTGATTATAGGGGATCTTATTAGGCAGTACTCTATAATCCAAGAAATCTATTGTGGCACTGGTTATGATTGCCGTGGGTCCACTGTATTTTGTATCTTTTAGTCGAAGCTATTGGGTCTACAGAGATAAATCTAGTCTCTTTAATGTAAAAATTGAATCTTCTTTATTTTCTTTACGCATTTTTGTCTCATCTCCAACTTCAGGATATTTCTGTAGGTCTAGATAAGTGGCCTTTTTTTTTATCAAATCGAATCCGTTGTAACTCCATACAATAAAAAGGCCTTTCGACCCCTTTCACCCGCATGCGCATGCGACCATGTTTCGACATTAAAACCTTTACATTTTTTAGCCACTTGTCTAGGGGCGCCAGTCATGCTATAAAATCATTTTTTTTGTATCAACTAAATACACGTAATAATTAATATTGATAATCGACTTACGAATTAGTCAAATAACTATGATAATATTTGCTTTGCTTTCAGCACTAGCACTACACTAGCTATAAGTGGAGGCGTTTGGCCAAAAATAGCGATTGTTAGAAATTGTTAGCAAAATGGCGATGGCAACATTGGCAACCGCCGAAAACTTTAGCATGTTTTCAGCGACGTGATGACACTTTTCTAACTTTAAAAATGATGTTTTCTCACACATTTTGAGCATAATTTTTAGTTATAGCATTTACCGCTATAAGGACGCCATTTTTCTTGTTCTTATCGCTGTTTTCGGCCAAACACCCCCAAATGTGACATGACATAAAACTGACAGCTGACCGGAAAAACATGTTTGTGTAGCGCATCAGGGTGAAGAAACTTCCATACAACGGTCATCAAAGTGAAACTTGCTTCCAAACAGCGACATCGGTGAATAAATTCAAATACTTTTTAACTACCCTAAAACGCTCTAGATGTCGCTGCTCCTGTTTCCTTCATATTTTCATTTTTTTCTTAATTAAAATATATTTGAGAATATTGTTAATTACTATGTGAAAACTTTTTTTAAATGAAATTAATTTGTTTTAATTTAAAACTGAACATTGACATTTTTGTTATAATTTACATAATAGAGTAGTAGAAATTACTATTTAACATATGGCAACTTTGTTTTTCCTCCAAAATGGCCGGTGTTGTTTTTGTTAGGTTAAATGCATTCTTGTTTTCTTATCCATCATTTAAGTTTTCTGTGGCCCTATTAAAGTATTGAAGAGTCGTCGAGTCAAATTCAAGTTCATTCCTTCGTACCTGCTGCTGTTCTGGTTCATCGGAGTTTTGTTCGTTCCTTCGTGAATCGCTAAGAAACTTTCTGTTATGTTCACAAGTGATCTGAGTTTTCTCAATGTGCAAATGCTTTTTTAGTGTTGTTGAAAACTTTGCGAAAAGACGCTTTTGGTGTATAATATTATGTGTGTTCATAAATAAAGTAAAATTATTAAATTCAAAAGTTTTTGTTTACTTATTTGCATTTCCATGTGCAATGTAGAATTTTTCCAAATCCATTGTTTTGAAAATAATACAATACGTACACCATAAAGATAAATATTTTCAAAATAATGGATTTGAAAAAATTCTACATTGTACATCATAAAAACAATAATTCTTTGAAGGTTATGAGGGCCTATGTGTGCGTGAACTGTGTGTATGTGTGCGTGGACTTTATGTATGTATGTGTGCGTGTACTATGTGTGTATGTGAGCGTTACGTACGTAGGTTAAGTAGGTACAGCGAATTTAACACCAGGCTGTCAATTAGTAGGCTCAAAAATTTGACAGAGAGGGTTCTCTATTTCCTATGTATTACTTTTCTCTATGTAGCGCATTGTCAAACTTGGAAATTATCTTCTCAGCATATTTTGTGTTATTAATTAGAGACTGCCATTACTTATTTACTGTCTGCCTGTTGAGGGACACGTGTAGTATTTCTCACTATTGTAAACCGTGCGGCCTTGTCGGCGTCCCAACATACTAATTTTATCACAAGTAAGTTGTCTGTTATCTCATGCCCTACGACCGCAGAACCTCAACAATTATCTTTTTGTTGATATAATGCTTCATTTTATATTTAATTAACTTCACAGCTGTTTGTTTTATCACTATCTAAAATTATTTTTTGGTTGCAACTGTTCCGTTTCTCTAGCAGTTCTAGAACGATATCAAAATGAATAAACTGAAGAACAACTGGTTTTCCGAGTCATGTGAGATGTGGCCGGGGGCTACATTCTCGTTTGAGGTGACGGAGGTGCTGCATGAAGAGCAGTCGCAGTTCCAGAAGGTCCAGGTCTTCGACACCAGAAGCCTCGGAAGAGTCCTAGTGCTGGATGGGATCATACAATGCACACAGAAAGATGAATTCTCATATCAGGTAAGATCTACAAGTCTTTGAAATTATAATTTTGCAACATTTTCTTCCCACAATTTTTCTGTTGTATTTTCTTTTCAACTCAATTGTCCTTTGCTTATAAAGTACTCGAATTCAAAAAGTACTCCATAATGTGTACCAATTTGTGTAAAATCAAAAGAAACAGGATAATTTTGTGTAAAGATTTTCCTTATCTTTGAACCAGCCAGCTTGCTTTGAGGAAAAATGATAACTGCTTAGTGATAGTTATATTCTGTTTTTTCCTGCAAATGCATTTGCCTTATCAGATATCATGCAATTGTTGTGAAACAGTGCACATTTAAAATGTAAAATATCATATTTTTATCATTCAATATGTTGTGGTTGTAAATTGCCAGTACGGTTGATGTACCACAGTATTACAATATTTTCAGTTGATTTCAAACCAGAGCTGCTATGGATATCTGTAACCGCAACCGAAACTTTCGGATATCCGAAATAAAAAATATCCGTAACCGAAACCGGTATAATATTATTCCTATATCCATAACCGTATCCTGATATCCATTGGTGTTTTAATTTTCAGGAAATGATTTCTTTCCTACCCCTATGCTGCCACAAGAACCCCGAAAAAGTACTTATAGTGGGGGGAGGGGACGGGGGAGTGGCCAGAGAAGTGGCCAAGCACCCCAGTGTCAAAGAAATTGTTCAGGTAATAATAATTAATTAATTATTTCCAACTACACTGGTCATCACAAAAATCGACCCTCCCGCGACAAGCACTTTCAAACGTATGCATCCCCACTTCCCACCAATATTGGCACCATTTAAAAGCCTAGGTCTAAACTTCATTTCATTAAAGGAAAGGTTTTTACCCCAAAAATTTGTCTGTAGAAGAATCCAGAGTCACTTCTTCAAAAAATAGGTAGTTACGCTTGGGCCAACTTTTATGGCTATAAAACTGTTAAGTTGGGATTAATCGCTATCAATCTGTTAAAGAGGACACGTGAGATCATTATTTGGTTTTATAACCATAAAAATTGGTCTAATTGATCCCAGAGGTGAGCCCAAAGTGAGGTCTTTTTTCAGTCACATTACACACATTCAGTCTATCGCGTTTATGTTAATCGTTTATTAAGAAATTAAATGTGTTTTTCTTTAAGGATATTTATTGGGCTTTCAAATAACACCAATATTGTTGGGGCACCATGATTGTGTCAGTAGAAACGAGTTTTCCTGTAAAACGTAGGTGGGCCGATTTTTGTGATGACCAGTATATTTATGTTGTAACCTTAGTCATAGACTCAAACTACAAAAAACTCAAACTATCTTTTTCACTTTTACATTATAAGGGGAGAGAGAGAAAGGAATGTTTCTTTTTGATAAGTATTCATTTTTATCTTCTTAAGTATGACCATTAGTTAAACTAACAATAAGTATTGACATTCAACTCCTAATCTTATCACTTTACTGATTTGTTGACTTTTAAACTTTGCTGCCTTATCTTTACTTAGTTACAAAAATGTAAATTCTTCCTGGACCAGTGGTTCATATTCTTCCATAATGCCAAATGTCTACACAAGCATTATCCACTGTGATACTTATCTTTGATATATTTTGTTAATAAATTGATTGAGATAATTAGAGATGACTAGCTTCGCCCGAGTGGAATTTCGTTTGTTAAATTTTCCTGAATTTTCTTTGCTATAAACGTCACGGAGCCCGAGACCTTTCCAACGAATGCAAAACCGTGGAAATCGGTTCGTAAGTTCTGGAGTTATAGCGTCAGGAAGGAAAACCCGACTTATTTTTATATAGTAGATTAATTTATCGTTCGTTATACGCGATGTCGTCTATATAAAAACGTCCAAACGGCGCGCGCGTGGCATTCGATCACATGTAGACAATGGTATTATCTATAAGAGACAATCGCATTGTCTAAATGAACAATAAATTCTGAAACAACTCTATTAATATTTTTTTTGTATTGATGCTCTTTCAGGTGGAAATCGACGCGAAAGTGATTGAAGTTTCAAAGAAGTACCTGCCATTCATGGCCGTGGGCTTCGACAGCCCAAAGCTGACGCTTCACGTCGGAGACGGCTTCGCCTTCCTCAAGAACCACAAGCAAGAGTTCGACGTCATCATCACTGACAGCAGCGACCCTGTAGGTCCTGCAGTTAGTCTCTTCGAAGAAAATTACTTCTCGCTCATGAAGGCAGCTCTAAAACCCAACGGCATCGTCTGCTCCCAAGCCGGCACCGTCTGGTACGACCTAGAACTCGTCAAAAGCACTCTAAGGTACTGCAAAAATCAGTTTCCAGCGGCAACTTATGGATACACGTCTGTGCCATCGTACCCGTCAGGCCAGATAGGGTTCGTTATAGGTTCTCTCGACAAAGACATCAAGTTCGACCAGCCCCAACTGGTGCTGTCGCNACTGTCGCCCGAAGACGAGAAAGCAATGAACCTCAGGTACTACAACAGCGATATTCATAAGGCGGCGTTTGTTTTACCGACGCATGTGAAATATCAGCTCGCGTAAACTTATTGTCCCCAAGCAAACGTGTACTTAATGTGCATTTAATTTAAATCGACTGTTCTCTGTCTCGACAATTTATATTCTGTAATGGTTAAGTCCTTATTTAAGCACAATAACTGTGAAATGGTACTAATTAATGCGATTGTTACACTGTATACTGTAGTGTCATATTCAATTGATACAAAATAATATTATGCATTTATTTACTGAAATAATTTTCGGTGAATTGTAAGAATATTGTTATTTGAATTAGATATTTTAAATGAAGGAATCTCGTGCTTCCCTTACAAAGTGCTGTGTAATAAGAATATAAAGCTTGTTATATCATTGCAATCAAAATGAAAACTCAGAAACCAGAGGTACTATACTGAAAAGGCAATAATAAAAATAATTAGTCAAACTTCTATTTGCATGATATTTTTGTTGTATGTTACAAATTAGATGTAAGTGTTAAAAATGTGTATGATAGTTTTATATGATATTTTAAATTTTTACATATAATCAAAGTGCCTCATTTTGTAATTTAAACATATCAAAGCATTCCATAACATTCCTGAATTTATGCTCAAGATTATTTATTTGTACTAAAATAGGTACTTACTTACATAAGGTAAATCTAATCTAAAAACTATAAGAAGAAACAGAATACTCTTTAAAAAAAGGGTATAATTTATTAATTTATTAGTCAGTCCTTAATACAGAACTTAATATTTAAAACATAGGCTGTATTGCTAATCGAAAATGTTATCATATTTTTGTACAGTTTTTGTATGCTTTAAAGAAATGTTAAATCAAGGATTATAAATATATTTTTATACATAATAAAGTTCTAATTTTACGAAATTGTGTTTGTTTAGTTATTTAACAGCATTATGTAAATTCAATTTTAAAGTGGCAGGGGGTAATTGATTGGTGACCAAAATTAGTCAAGTAGGATTCGGCGCTAAGGTTATTGTGAACTCTCTAATATTGCTTACAATTTAAATACTTATCTTATTAATATCGTGTATCTCATTTAGACGCAAGCCATAATATTTTCCTCTTACATTTTCGGAAAACCCAAACAATCGACCATCCAAGTATAACTACTACGGCAAGTAGGAAAGCAGCAATATCCAGCATTGCCAACTGAATCCGATTTAGGTATCGGGCGTCAGTTGACATGTTGAGGCCTTTGTATCGTGCGGTCTTCTCTACGTAGAAAACGGCTCGGTCCATGGGGTTCATCGGTTTATCCTTCCATATCTCACTGAGGCGCTTTGCTTGGGTGCGCATTCTGAAAGTAAGTAGGTAGTTGAAAAGTAGTCAAATTTTATTCATACGGGCATTTAAATAAGTAATACTTTTTCTAAAATAAAGAAAGCTGTCAGTACGTTGCGCTGAGGTTGCGTTCCCGAAGTGGTCACCAGGACCGGTATAGTCAGTAAAGGCACACCGGCTGAGACCGCTTCTGTGAGGCTCAAAGCCCTAGCNGGCCCCAGCGTGGCTGATGAATGTTCTTACCTTTCGTCCAGAACCTTTCTCAGCGCAGCCTCAAACGCCTCCTCAGTCAAGTCTCTCAACGGCAGGACCTCTGCCAAGCCGGCCCTCTTGGCGTGCGCTGCGTTCCCGAACTGGTCGCCCAGGATCGGGATGGCTAGGAGAGGCACACCAGCCGAGACCGCTTCTGTGAGACTCAAGGCCCCAGCGTGGCTAATGAAAGCGACGCAGTTCCTATGAGCTGCGAAAAACATAGATAGAAAAACTCTTTATTGCATACCATACAAATGCTGACAAAGTAAAAAATTGAACGCTTTTTTTAAAGTAGGTAAATACCTTGCACTAATAGTAGGACTTAACCCCTTTTGGTAAATAATAGGTATGCTTGTGTATTAGCGTTATCTACGAGTGAGTTCACCCCAACCAATCGTGCGGAGTCGGGGTTCGAACCCGTGATCCTCGGATCTCGATTCGGGCTAAATTGACGTTTCATTTAGGCGATCTTATTGCTAAGTAGCAATCTCTACGAAAAAATCACTACTATAGTAACGTGTTTAAAGCAAACATCTTTTTGCTTACCTACTTAGGTACGAGTAAGTAATCTACACCACGGTAAGTACGTGCTCGAATGCAATGCTCCTACGTGCGTCTACTAAGTTCGCTCGCAGATCTATTTTGTCAGCTCCGCAAAACTGATATACCTAATATTTTAGTATGTAGATAAGTAGGTAAGTAGAAGTAGATCAGCAGATAGGTAATACACCACTAAGTATGTAGATTTTCTTTTATTGTCCCAAAAACTAAGAATTATAGGAGCGGATCGGGAGAGCCTTCGATTGCGTGTCAATGTGTTTAAGAAAGTTATCAAGCAACTGCCTCGGAAGCTTTTCTTAGCCTAAGTTTTTGATATAACTTACTCAGCAACTCATATTGCGGCAGCCACTTCATCAGCCTCACGTTCTCCGGCAATTCCATGCCTTCCGCCTCCCATTTCCACAGCACTCTGTGCGGCAAGCGCGCGAAAACTTTCAAGATGGCGCCCGCGCAACTCGCTGGCAACGTGGATCCTTTGATCAAGGAGCCGAAACTGAACACGATGAACCCGTCTTGTGCCTCTTCTATCCATTGCTTTAATTCCTTAAAACAAAATATCATGCAAGTGAGAAGTAAGTAGGTCTATTTGTCGGCCGTTTGGTGTAGTGGTTCAGAACGGACTACTATGCCGAGAGGTCCCGGGTTCGATTCCCGGCCGGGCAGAAATTGAAATGATGAATTTTAATTTCTGTGACGGGTNAAATCTTTCTTAGCGCAGCCTCAAACGCCTCCTCGGTCAAGTCTCTCAACGGCAGGACCTCTGCCAAGCCGGCCCTCTTAGCGTGCGCTGCGTTTCCGAACTGGTCGCCCAGGATCGGGATGGCTAGGAGAGGCACACCGGCCGAGACCGCTTCTGTGAGGCTCAAGGCTCCTGCGTGGCTAATGAATGCGACGCAGTTCCTATGAGCTGCGAAAAACATAGAAAAACTCTTTTGCACACCATATACTTAAATGCTGATAAAGAAAAAAAATTGAACGCTTTTTTTAAAGTAATACCTTGCACTAATAGTAGGACTTAACCCCTTTTGGTAAATAATATGCTTTTAGAGTGAGTTCACCCCAACCAATCGTGCGGAGGCGGGGTTCAAACCCGTGTTCCTCGGATCTCGATTCGGCCAGTCCGACATCGACATGGGCTAAATTGTCGTTTCATTTAGGCGATCTTATCGCTAAGTAGCAATAAAACGTCTTTTTGCCTACTTACGAGTAATCTACAGTGTGGGTAAGTACGTGCTCGAATGCAATGCTCCTACTCGTACGTGCGTCTACTAAGTTCGCTCGCAGATCTATTTTGTCAGCTCCGCAAAACTGATATAATATTTTAGTATGTAGATAAGTAAGTAGAAGTATATAGATCAGTAGATAGGTAATACACCACAAAGTATGTGGATTTTCTTTTATTGTCCCAAAAACTAAGAATTATAGGAGCGGATCGGGAGAGCCTTCGATTGCGTGTCAATGTGTTTAAGAAAGTTATCAAGCAACTGCCTCGGAAGGTTTTCTTAGCCTACGTTTTTGATATAACTTACTCAGCAACTCATATTGCGGCAGCCACTTCATCAGCCTCACGTTCCCCGGCAGCTCCATGCCTTCCGCCTCCCATTTCCACAGCACTCTCTGCGGCAAGCGCGCGAAAACTTTCAAGATGGCGCCCGCGCAACTCGCTGGCAACGTGGATCCTTTGATCAAGGATCCAAAACTGAACACGATGAACCCGTCTTGTGCCTCTTCTATCCATTGGTTTAATTCCTTAAAACAAAATAACATGCAAGTGAGATAAGTAGGACTATCGGTCACCTTTTGGCTTTTAAAAAATAGGTTTAGAAGAAATACATAATTTTAAAAAATAGGTTTAGAAGAAATACATAATCGAGATTTTAATACTCACTTTTAGGCTTGTTTTGTAACAATAAAATAATTTCTACTTAAAGTAAATTAACTTACTTTATTATTTACTCTTTTGTTTTCATAATAACTTGAATTGATAAACTATTGTCTCGTTAAAGGAAGAAAAGTGCTTAGCATAATTATTACAATGCATCAATTAATAAGTAGGTTAATGATCAACTTAATCTATAATAATGCAATATTTTTTATTAAATGCACACAAACAAAGAAACTTTATTATGTAGAGTTGTTATATTAAGTAGGTCCTTACATTTTTACTAATTCAGCTTACCCTTGGTAAAGGCTGCATAGTCCGATTATGAAGATGGATACCTCCAACCTCAACGACTGACGGCGGAAGTTCCCTCACTCCATTTAAACTGTGGTGGGTGTTCACCAATATCACACTCGCGTTTTTGCCGATCTCTTCCAATCTGGGTAAACGTCCGAACTTTTTCTCCAAAACTTTTTGCTCCTTCCATCTTATTGCGAGTTCGTACCACAAATCGTAGCCGAATAGCACCAGAGCATTCTCAAATCGCTCCAGAAAGGACATGGTGTCCGTCATCGGTAATACCATATTGGGAACGTATGCCGGGTTATCAGGGCTCCCAACCCTTGAAGGCGTGAACTGCATTATCGCGCATGACATCAAGCCCACCGATGGGACTCCATAGTTGTGGACCAGTCCAAGCATGCAATCGCTGTTGAAGTGCTCCACCAGTATCAAATCGTAGTTCCCTTCGGCGTTCACGAACTCTTTGAACACTTCCGCGTCTAGCAGCTTTTCACAAAGTTCCAAGTTCATTTCGGCCAATTTGGTCACAACCGGGATATGCTCGAAATACCGAGCGAAACCGAAGTATGAGCGATCGAAGTCGGTCATGTTTATCACTTCGACATTGAGTGGAGCCAGGCCGACCAGGCTGACTTCCCGACGGTTCGGATGAGGATTCTTTGAAGGGAAGAACGACACTACGGTGAGACGATGGCCTCGATTAGCCAACTCTTGAAGCAATGGTTCGAAAACCATGTGGTGACTTTTCCCCGGGTACGGCAGGAGGGCAAGTATATTATATCCGAGACATAACTCGACCCACGTCAGAAAAAGTAATGGCCAGTAATGCATTATCACAACGGCACGTATTCACGGAGCTGTGCGTGCAACTAAACTAAGATGCAACACGACGTAAAGACTCGTGAGTGAGCTATTTATAGGTTAACTCCTTAATTTACTGAACCCTTGTGAAAAGATTAGTTCCGCCGCGCGACTACTGAAATGGCTGGCGTAACTACAAATAGGTTGGAACTGCAATAAAATAACAGCGATGGCTAAAATTTGATTTATTCTATATCCGCAGGATTTATATCGGCACTATTTATACTAGATTCAGCAGGCGAGTTCATTCGTTTTCTTTTAAAAGCTTTTCCTTGGTTTTCTGCTTCTTGGATAGCGGAGAAAATGGAGCCGGCTCTGACTTTTTTCAAAATCCTCTTATCGTGAAATGGGTGCGTATGCGCATGGATTCTGTAACAAAGTTTAAACTTAATAATTTGGTCAGACAGAACCCATTTTGATGGATTTTGTTACGAGATAATTGTCTGATAGAATTATCATTTCCAAAAGTACCAGTGAAAAAGCATAACATAATTTGTGACAAAAATACACTTCAAATATAATTCAAGACGTTATGACAACATATTGCTAAAGGGCCAGAAGTGCCGATAGGTCGCAATATCCAGCCGGTCATTCTGTAGGTTAATATGGGTATTCCTATGTAAGGCAGTGGATGCCCGATGCTGTGCTTCAGGCAGTACACAAACCGAACGTCATCATCATCATCATTTCACATCCACTGCTGAACATAGCCCTCCTCCAATGCTTTCCATGTTGATCGATTTGTAGCGGCTTGCGTCCAGCGCTTCCCTGCTACCTTTATGATGTCGTCGGTCCACCTTGTGGGTGGACGTCCCACGCTGCGTTTTCCGATACGCGGCCTCAATTCCAGAACCTTGCTGCTCCATCGACCGTCAGTTTTGCGTACTATGTGTCTTGCCCATTGTCACTTCAGCTTGCTAATCCGTCGGACCGAACGTCCTGTAGCTGAAATATTGATGATGATGATGATGAGGGCCATACATCTGCAACACCATGTCAGCCTTGGTGACGACGTGCGCGGGGCACTTGACGGCGCTGACGTAGTCCACGCAGCGCCACTGCCGCGTTAGCTGGCGTTGCTGTGCTTCAGGCAGTACACAAACCGGACAGCCTGTAGCTGAAATATTGATGATGATGATGATGATGAGGACCATACCTCTGCAGCACCATATCAGCCTTGGTGACGACGTGCGCAGGACACTTGACGGCGCTAACATAGTCCACGCAGCGCCACTGCCGCGTTAGCTGGCGTTGCTGTGCTTCAGGCAGTACACAAACCGGACGACCTGTAGCTGAAATGATGATGATGAGGGTCTGACCTCTGTAGCACCATGTAAGCCTTGGTGACGACGTGCGCAGGACATTTGACGGCGCTGCCGTAGTCCACGGAGCGCCACTGCCGCGTGCCGCTTGCGTTGCTGTGCTTCAGGCAGTACACAAACCGGACAGCCTGTAGCTGAAATGATGATGATGATGATGATGATGATGAGAGCCTGACCTCTGCAGCACCATATCAGCTTTCGTGACGACGTGCGCAGGACACTTGACGGCGCTGACGTAGTCCACGTAGCGCCACTGCCTGGCGTTGCTGTCCTTCAGGTAGTACACGAATCGAACGCTTTGTGACTGAAATAATGATAATGAGTCTGACCTCTGCAGCACCATATCAGCTTTCGTGACGATATGCGCAGGACACTTGATGGTGCTGACATAGTCCACGCAGCGCCACTGCCTGGCGTTGCTGTGCTTCAGGTAGAACACGAATCGAACGATTTGTGACTGAAATAATGAAATGAGAGTCTGACCTTTGTAGCACCATATCAGCTTTCGTGACGATATGCGCAGGACACTTGACGGCGCTAACATAGTCCACGCAGCGCCACTGCCGCGTGCCACTTGCGTTGCTGTGCTTCAGGTAGTACACGAAACGGTTTAAGATCATCTGCAGCGAGCCCTGGTTCGATACTGTGTACTGCATTATGCTCACACCTGCAATAAAACGTATTAAGAATTTGAAAAACTAATTGCAATCGTCTGTCGACACAGAAACGCGAAAGCGAAGCGAAAACGGATAGTAGTCGGTTTGCTTTCACATCACTTTTACGTAGTAACGCCTTTAGCGCACACTCGCTGTCGTATCGCTTTCGCGTTTAGCCTTTAGCACACTCCAGCGAATGAATGGCGAAAGTATAACGAAAAACACTAGTGAAACGGCGAAACGCTGTGGGGCACGATTTCGGTTGGTGCTTCTCACACAGCAAACTATTTTCTGATATTAATAGTATAATCGTTTTATTTCTGAAAAATAAACGCTAAAGAAAATGGCAATTAAAAATTTTGAATTCCCTATTGTTGCCTAGTTGTAATTACTGGTGGTAACAAGTAAAGAAATACGGCGGTTTGCTGTAGTGGTTCGTAACGCACTTCTATGCCAAGAGGTCGCGGGATCGATTGCCGAACAGTACAAACATTTGTGTGAATGAACACATTTGTTTGTGTTGGACTGGGTGTTTTCTATCATAATATTTAAAAAAGTATTTAAGTGTGTTTAATCTGTTGTACTACCCATAGTACAAGCTCTGCTTATTTTGGGACTAGAGGCGCAGTGTAAAAAATGTCCAAGGATATTTATTAACCTGGGTTTTTCTGTGATATCTCACTGCTGGGGGTCATGGGGCTGTCAGGGGTAATCTCCTCAGCCACACCGTCGTCCACGAACTCCTGCTCAAAGTTGTGTAGCATGCTATTGTCGTACTTCTCAGTTATTTCAGGCTTCATGTCTGAGTCGTACACCTCGGGATACCTGTTAGCAGAATAAAAAAAAAATGATGATACAGAAGGACCTTATCACATTATAAAACAAAGTCGCTTTCCGCTGTCTGTCCCTATATTTGCTTAGTAGATCTTTAAAACTACGCAACAGATTTTGATTTTTATGTATGTATATACTTAGCACTCATGCGAAGCTGTGGCGGGTAGCTAGTCTATATATATAAAAGAAAGTCGTGTTAGTTACTCCACTTATAACTCAAGAACGGCTGAACCGATTTAGCTGAAAATTGTCAGGGAGGTAGTTTAGAGCCAGGAGAAGGACATAGGATACTTTTTTATCCCGTTCGAAATAAAAAAAAGTCTGCTTATTTATTGCCATTAGGGCGGAACAAAGTTCGCCGGGTCAGCTAGTTTTCAAATAAAATAAACTCAGTGTTTCTGAATTTGGGTACAAAATGCACTCTTTGTACACTTTTTTTTACAAAATTTTACCAATAAGGTAAGGCAATTGTTGTCAGACATCCTGATTATTCTGGAATATAGCTTAACAGTAATATAGGTTTATATAAAAACCATAGGTGATATAACATCTAATGTCACACTCTATTTCTTATTAATTTTTTAAATAAAAAAGGATAAGTTGTCTCTAGGCAAGGCCAAATNTGTCACCTTGCATGTCAGTCTATTGTTGTCAAAGTGTAAACAAACTTTATTTTAAATGTGTGCAATTGATTTTGTGAATTAAATTGCTAAAATATTTTTATAGTCGTGAAAGAAAAGTAGTTCACGATGTGTTAATGTATTTGTCGAAGAGAAATACTAAGGGTTCGGACAATATTTTCATTGAATAATGTTTCCGACAAAGGTTGTCAAATTGACTGACATGTTTATCGTATGGTACAGTCCACTATGAAAATTAGCTATAGTCTGTTTCAACTACCTATTTTAAAGTTTTTTGTCACTTTCTAAGTTTTGAATTTTATGGAATTGGGAAAGAAGTACCGAGTTTGAAGCGTTCATGAGCAGACATTGCAGTTGAATATTCATGTTCTGAATTTGATTATTGATGAATAATAAAATAAATCCTACTAGCTCGATTGATGGTTTTATTTAATTTATTTAAACCAGGTTATCTTTAATAATATTTTTCGTTAATTTATGAAAATATCAAATTAGCCCGTAATCCTGAATCCTGATACATACATTTAGCCTATTAATTTAACACATGTACGACTGTACTCAGTGTTGCACTATCAAATGCAATTGAAGCGCCTCTGTGTCAGGGTTTTTATGTTCCTGGTCAGGCTATACCATTTAATGTGATTTGAAAATAGGTCTCACTTGGGGCTCACCTCTGGGACCAATTAGACCAATTTTTGTGGTTATAAAACCAAATAATGATCTTACGTGTCCTTTTTAACAAATGGATAGCGATTAATCCCAATTTAACAGTTTTATAGCCATAAAAGTTGGCTCAAGTGTAACTACCTATTTTTTGAAGAAGTGACTCTGGATCCTTCTAAAAACACATTTTTGGGGTAAAAACCTTTCTTTTAATGAAATGAAGTTTAGAACTAGGCTTTCAAATGGAACCATTGTTAGTGGGAAGTGGGGATGCATACGTTTGAGAAGTGCTTGTTGCAGAAGGTGCGATTTATTTGATGCCGAGTGTAGTATAAAACAAAGTCGCTTTCCGCTGTCTATCCCTATGTATGCTTAGATCTTTAAAACTACGCAACAGATTTTGATGCGGTTTTTTTAATAGATAGTGATTCAAGAGGAAGGTTTATATGTATGTATACTTAGCGCTCATGCGAAGCTGAGGCGAGTAGCTAGTTTTCAAATAAAATAAACTCAGTGTTTCTGAATTTGGGTACAAAATGCACTCTTTGTACACTTTTTTTTACAAAATTTTACCAATAAGGTAAGGCAATATTGTTGTCAGACATCCTGATTATTCTGGAATATGGCTTCACAGTAATATAGGTTTATATAAAAACCATGTGTGATTAACATCTAATGTCACACTCTATTTCTTATTAATTTTTTAAATAAAAAAGGATAAGGTGTCTCTAGGCTAGGCCAAATTCAAAGCAACAGGTCTTCCTTCTTTCACAGTTAAACACTCACATTGAAGTTTGTAACTCTAGCTGTGATTGGTCATCTTCACTCCTCTGGTTGGATATTTCAAAATAACACACTTCTTCGTCATATTCCCCCACATTGTTGCTTGTTTGAGAGTTTGCATACAGTTCTTGTGATTTTGGCAGCTGTTGCTGTAGTTTCTGAAAACAAAAAAAAAGGATTTATCAGTCATTTTAGGTCAGCCTTAAATAAAATGGGAACTATCACACCTCCTGCTACTTCCAAGAATTAATGGTTCCATTGGAAGTTTTCCACTGCAAGCCCATAATTTAACAGTTTTACCCCTGTTTTTGATTTTCATGAAAGTTTATGAAAATTATGTGGAAGTTTTACTTTTCTTGTGACACTTTTTTATTAGTGCTACATTTAGTTATGAAGTTCTGTCTGAACCATACTCTAGTTCAGCGGTTCCTGAAAGGTGGTCCGCAGAACCCTGGGGTTCCATGGAAAGGCCGCAAGGGTTCCGTAAAAAATATTATCCCACGTTTCGTGACCGACGTTGTTCGCGCGCACCGACTTGTTTACGCACAAGGGAGGGGCAGGGCGTGCGGGCGGAGTAGTACGGGGGTTGCGCTAGTAAAAGTATAATCAATTAGGGTTCCAAAATTGGGAAACCCTGCTCTAGTTTATACTATAAATTAATAAACTAAAATTACCATGTCCTCCAAGCCCCTGATGTGAAGTTCTCTGCCAGCGTCTATGAGCTCATTGAGGTGATCAACGGAAACCAGGACTTCACCTGTGTAAATGTATTCCAGCACTGAGCACAAAGTTGTGTAGGATATTTTCTGTAATAAACAATTTACAGAAATTAGCATTTTCTCTACAAATGCATATAAACCTAAGACAAATTGACATAAACCGAAGGATAAAAATAAGAAATTTACGTTCAAAAATACCACAGGATGAGGACACTGTATGGACGCAATAAGCTCTTTGAGGTAAGGACTCGCCAGTGCCACAATAACCTGGTGCACCTTGACGAAGTGACCATCTGCAGCCAATGTCATATCAACAAACTCCCCATTCTACAAATAAAATAAAATAATTACATTATGTATTATCTCTAAGTTTATATTTCTGCTATAAAGCATTCTCTAATGAATCAAATATTGTTTTGATATCAAAACGATTTTAATTCTAAAAGATCCAGTTTCTAAACAGCAGTAAATGTATGGAGGATTATTCTAGGTAATATAATTGTACCTGTTGTAGAGAGCTCAAACCATTACAAATATTTCTTCTGTATTCATCCCAAGCCAAGGAAAACTGTGACTGCTGTGCCATTATTCAATTTATTTTTGATTCTGCAAATCTAGTATCTCATTACTATTTATTTTTAGTGCCAATAACTCAAGTGCTTTCTACAAAAACGAAAGTTTTTTAAGCAATAAGTGTTTTTGTGTTCTTAAAAATCTTATTTTGAAGAATTCTTCTTCTTTTTTGATTTAAAAATTGTAAAATTCTGCACAAATTGCAAGGAAAACAATGCAAGCAAACACAGATATGGATTAGAGCAAGCAAGAAGCAAACCAGCAAACGTCAAAGCTGTCAAAAAATTGACACCGCGTCTCTATGACGCTAACAGATAATCTATTAAACCATAGACAATACTAAGGGTTAGGCTTAACTATTCATTACGGTGAGAAAACAGTAAAACAGGTCATCCATCATCCAGAGCAGATCCAGAGGTTTCAAAAGGGGATCAATCAAGTATAGCCTGACCAGGAACATAAAAACCCTGGCATAGAGGCGCTTCAATTGCATTTGATAGTGCAACACTGGGTACAGTCGTACCTGTATTAAATTAATAGGCTAACTTTATGTATCAGGATTCAGGATTATAGGCTAATTTAATATTTTCATAAATTAACAAAAACATATTATATTATAGGTAAACTGGTTTAAATAAATTAAATGAAACCATCAATCGAGCAAGTAGGATTTTATTATTATTCATCAATAATCAAATTCTGAACTTTTCGCTCTATTTATTTAATAAACATTAAGATAATAAATTTTATAACATTAACTTAAAATTACTTAAAAACTAAAAATTTAAAATTACTTACGATAAAAACTATTTACAAAATAAAAAATACTTCACCCCCAGCGCCGCAGTCAGGAATGGTGCCCAAAAGGCTGGCAGCATTGCCACGTTGAATGGCCAGGCTAATTCTCTGGCCGAAATAGCTGCCAGCCTTTTGATCACCGGTCACCTCGGTGAGCCTCTTTGCCAGTTCCTTATAAAAGGAACGAGCGCTTGGACCCCATGGTCCCATAGTCTCAACCCCAAACGGCACAAATATATAACTCTCATTGAGAGCTGCATATTTGCGCCGCTTGGAGCACTCAGCCGAGGCCGCCGCCGCGCCTGCGGCAAGGGAGGTACCTCCTGTACTCAGAATACGGAACAAACCAGAAACCGTCAACGGGCGTAAATGTGTATTCATATCTCAGAATACGGAACAAACCAGAAACCGTCAACGGGCGTAAATGTGTATTCATATAAAGTACTCCAAATCGCACTACTTTGACTTTAGAGCAATCAGTCAATGGCCGGCGCGCGCATTGTTTACATATCCGTCAGATTGACACTTTATAATTAAATTATGCCGTCTTGTGCCGTTCCAACATGTAAGAATGCTACTGGAATTACGAAGAAAGTGCATGGGATCATGTTTTATCCGTAAGTAGCACATTTCCAATTCATTTTAATTAAATAATAATTTTCAAAAAAAATCACGGTTGTATTTTGTAAGTGTTGCCACAGGTCAACGGAATATTTTACCCTACTTTTTTATATTGAATTACATTTGTCTACTTATAAAAAATTCACGCGTTAATTTTGTTAGCGTTACCACAGAATAATGGAATATTTTCCCCATCCTTTTTGTTTTAATTAGTTTTTAGTGTAATTTCATCCATGACATGACAACCTGATTAATTAAATTATAAGTGCCACTTGTGGTCTAAACNTACTTTTTTATTATAGAACTAGCTGACCCGGCGAACTTCGTACCGCCTTAGCGTAGAGATTTTCTTAATATTTTTTTCCGTAAGAACCATCCTTGGACTTCCACAAACATTTAAAAAAAAGAATTATCGAAATCGGTTCAGCCGTTCACACGTGATGCCGTGACAACGCGAAACGGGTTTCATTTTTATATATATATATAGATATAGATTACATTTGTCTATAAAAAATTCACGCGTTAATTTTGTTAGCGTTACCACAGAATAATGGAATATTTTCCCCATCCTTTTTGTTTTAATTTGTTTTTAGTGTATTTTCATCCATTACAATATGACAACCTGATTAATTAAATTATAAGTGCCACTTGTGGTCTAAACTGAATAAATATTTTTGATTTTGATTTGATTTTAATATTTGTATTAATTTATAATATTACTCCCTAAATAATGAGGAGATAATAAATTACTATCGTGAATTTCATACTTTCCCATTTATTCAAAAGTAAGGCATTGGTATCAACAGATCAGCAGCAGCAATATTTGTATATTTAATAATAATTTTAAGTAATTAATTATNAGACTCTGCCTGAAAGACCGCTAGTAGGCGAGCATGCTCTGCAGCATTTTCGGAGGAAGCCAATAAATCACTCTGAAAACGCAAACAGAGCGGCTCGTCCCACTGCCTCTGAGACGATAGAGAGGTAGGTGGATCGGCTCCCGGGCATGCCCTAGTCCAAGCGTTTCTGGCCTCTGCGAGGTGAGCCAACTCCACTACCCCTAAAGAAGGGGACAGTAATTTATTAAAGAGTTCGGCTGTACCATACGCAGAAGACAGAAAAGCTGGAAGGGCAATATGCGATATCTGACGTGTGCCTAGTCCTCCGAAACGCACAGGGAGAGAGGCCTGTTTCCAGGCGTTATCGGTAAATGCACAATTTAGAATTTTGGAGAGTGTCTCCCTGAGCGAACTATCAATGGTTGACAGTAGTCCTGGAAAAAGCCAAAAATGGGTACTACGTAAAAAATATATAAATTTTGGGGCGTATGCGCAAAAACGGATTAAATACAAAGCCATGTGAGGGTTTATCTTTAGCATATTTTCGGAGGACTGCTGAAATTTGGAAATTTATTCATTAATAAAAATCGGAATAGCCTCGTCAAAAATAGGGGAACCTAGAAGACGGAGTGACGTATTATTGAGAATTTTGATATTGGGAGCTAAAGCTGAAAATTTTGTAATAATGTCTTGTAACTGAACATGTGAAAATTTTGATTCTGGGATAAATAGCTCGCATTTTGAATAATTGAGATCAAGTCCGATACTTTTGAATTTATCAATGATGGTGTGGAAGTCTGAGAGAACGGATGAAATATCGCCAGCGATAGTTCCGTCATCTAGGTACCACACATTAAATTTTGAATTTAGTGAATTAATAATGGGTTGTATTGCCAAACTAAAAATAGCGGGCCCGAGAGGATCACCTTGCTGACAGCCGACAGATGAATATAATAGGTTGTTTTTGAAAATTAATTTTGTGGGTTTGCTATAGCATTGCCAAAGATAATTGTAAATATAAGGAACTTTTTGATGAATGGCTGAAAGCAAGGCACCTCTATCTACCGAGTTGAAGGCGTTCTTGACATCCACCTTCAGCACCACCTCCGCGGCGTCAAGTGACAGGAAGGTACGGAGAGCGTGAACGGCTGCTTCGCATCCACCTTTGACGCCGAAACCAAGCTGTACTGGTTGGAATTCTGCAGAAACGGTAGGTAAAATATGAGAACAACAAATTTTGGATGCTATACGGCGAAGGGTGGAGCCAACAGCTATAGGGCGAATGCCGCCATCTTTTTTCCGTAAAGCTATTAAGTTGGCTCCATAAAGAATTTCGATAATGTCAGCTGGTACTTCGCCGGATAGCATTAGGTTTACCAAAAGAGTCATATTGTGTAATAAAACTCTGCCAGCGTCACCGACTGAGACAGAGAGAAGGTCTTTGAGGTGTTGAGGCGAAAGACCGTCTAGGCCGCTGGCAGACCCGCTTTTGAATGAAAAGATGGCAGACGATACGTCATCTTCTTTGCAGATTATGTGGGCAGCGGTAGGATCAGGAGGCGGAGGCAGGAGGAGATTCGGTGCTGGAGGTGGGTGCTTATCCTCAAGAGCACTGAGTGTTTCCTGGCAGTCGACGGCGACAACATCGTTGCTAAATAAAAGATTGGCGGCTCCACGGAGATCACCATCGCTAACTTTTGATTCAATTAATTTTATGGATTTATTGGAATTTTGGGGCCGAGAGGGAGGAATAACAATGGAATGAACGGAGGGATTTAGACGGCAGTTTTCTTTTATTTTTTGTGTTAATGACATGCTATTATTTTGATTGATATGTAGGATTCTATAGGAAAACGTTAGGAGTTCTGCCCAGCTCTCAGTCGTGTTTACTCTAATCACATGCTCGATGCAATGTGATAGAGCAACAGCGACTGAAGGCCGTGCAGAACGAGGGATTCTTTTCAAGAGTGGAAGTGAATTTTTTAGGTTGCCGAGAGTTTGCCAAAGAGGTTGGTTAGCCGGGTGTGGAGCTGGAGAAACTGCTGGTAAGGAAACATGAGGGGATTTATGACATCTGCCAATGTGTATATTCAAGCCCCGGTTACCTTTAAAAAACCGGGGCTGTGGGCAATGAGGGCATTGTACCAGTTGTACGTCGTCGCTGCCAGGGATTGAAGAACTTGCCGACATTCACGTCAAGACAAATAGAGTAATTATGACGCTAAACTAATAAAAAGGATTCCAAAAACTCATAAAAAATAAAATATAAAAACACAGCACATTTAAACATCCCATATGTCATCATTGTTATCAACACGTCACGTCGTCGGCTTGGTTGCTAAGCAGCGCAGCTAAACAGCGAAGCACCGCGCATGCGTGGACAGCGCACGCCGAGGAATCGGTGAAGGGTTGCCGTAGCGCATGCGTTGGATTACATCCGGTTATTGGCTGGCTTACGGCAACCCACGTTGTCAAAAAGGGCGTCCTTGGATACTGTCAATACTGGATGATGACTGAAGATTATCAAAACACAGCTCAAAACAGCCACGGGGAGTCTGTCCTTATGCACAAGACAGGCCTGCCACTTACTGAAGGGAAATATATAGTCCAGGGGCTCGAACGCACAAGAATAACACAGAAAATATTATTTTAATCGGAGCATTTGAAGCGATCGGTTGACAGTTGACAGTTTTTTCTTGTATTTTGAACTTGAATATTCAACTACAATGTCTGCTCATGAACGCTTCAAACTCGGTACTTCTTTCCCAATTCCATAAAATTCAATACTTACAAAGTGACAAAAAACTTTAAAATAGGTAGTTGAAACAAACCACAGCTAATTTTCATAGTTGACTGTACTATACGATAAACATGTCAGTCAATTTGACAACCTTTGTCGGAAACATTATTCAATGAAAATATTGTCCGAACCCATAGTATTTCTCTTCG